TGCCCATGGCCACTGGGAGTTCCTAGTGATCGGGCGTACTCCGTTCTCAAAAGTGAAGCCAGTTGCCCAGCATTTTTTGGGAAGATTCAAGGAAGCCAAACGAGTCAGTTTTGTTCGCGTTGGCAGGCGGTCCTTTTTGTGAAGGTACAAATTAGGGTTTGAAAGGGAAACTTCAAAGGACTGCCATCCTGAGGGTCTTTGAAAGATAAACCCATATGGCCCATATGGCCCATATATGGCCCATATGGCCTTCTCCCGCGGAACCTGCCAAGAGCGGGCTGACCATTTGGTTCCCTTTCGAAACGCACGCCCGGAAATTGCACTCCGAAGAAGCCCGCACACACACACACATACCCCCCAAAAAGGGTACCCTCCAAAGGAAAGACAGAAAAGTCGCCAATGACCCTGAAAATGGTTGCCCTCACCAAAAAAAAAAACTCAACCCGAGGAGAGTGGCACCAGAACAGCCTACGTCGCATGCGTCACCCGAACAGGCTCTCGCCAAGAAGCTGATTCTACTTGGCAAGCGCAAGATGCAGAAGACCTGAGCGCACCTGCAAAACACCGAGCGTCCATTGGGTCCCCCTAGGTGCGCTAGGTGTGCCCGACCTCTCACCCGTTTCTTTGTTTTTTGGTTGAGAGGGTTCGGGACCTAAAATAGACTAAATAGACTACAGAAAAAGGGTACCAACTTATTCTAACCTCTCGAATCTGGACCTAGGCTATGTTAGGTTCCACTAGCTGTGTTGATTGCATCCATTTCGGCAACAACGTGCAGCTTCTGATTTTCGACTTTCACACTCAGCTCAATAAGCTATGGGACTGCGCGTGTGCCTTTGACTTTGGTTCTAGCAGTGCTTCATGCGTTCCAATGTTTCTTCCATTTGGTTAAGTTTTTGTGTTTTTTTATTTTCCCCTGTTGGTTTAAAGGGAATCTATCACTACTAGAAATACTCTTATTGAAATCGCTACGCGATCCGCCGACGCCAGTGGACAGTCCCCACGCACAATTGACCAAACACAGAAAATACCAGAGATGACGGGAATGCTGGGAATGCAGCCGGCTAGCCAAAAAAGTGCAGAACACCAGGTGTTTTGTTTTCGATATTTCCCGAAATCAACCATCAAAAACAGATTCTAGCAACCCCCCCTAAATACCCAAAAAATAGACTTCCAAACGCACGATAATGCAGGGGATGTTTCGCAGTAACTGCTCTGTACAGGTGGGATTGCAAAAACACTCATTTTTGGAGCGCATTATGCTTTTGACTGGGCTGCAAAACTCGCCAGTCCAGACGTTACCAACAATATGTTCACCACTCAGTACCAGTTCCCAGAACGACAACACATACCCTGAAACTATAACACAGCTCTAAACTGCACAAACAGTGTTAAACATGGTCTCCACCCGCTCATGGTTTCGAGATGCATCCTGAAATGTCTACTTTCATGCACCCAGAAAATGAGTGGCAATCCCTTCTTCCAACTGTAGCTTCATGCATTTTGCTGCTGACTTTCTGCTAAGATCTTCGAGCAGTAACCCAACTGCCACTCCTGATTAACTCACCGATCGCGGGTTATGAGGATGAACTCGGCTTGAGCCCATGATAAAGATATCCCTGACAGAATCCTTATTGGGGTGCGAAAATTCGGGCAATCTTATGCAGAAAATGTGCCGGCAGCCGCCAGCGAAGAATCCCCTGCGCCAAAAAAACCAGAAGGCACATTTGAATACCTCCAGCTCCGAGTCCGGCTCCCTTCCAACAAGCTATGTTAAAAATATGCACCACATGGAAAGCCACAAATGGTCCAAAGGACCTGAGAGTTTGCCTGGCCCCCCCCCCCCCGACCCTTTTAACCCTTTTCGGTGAGCAAAGCCAGCGTCCCAAAGCAGTCATCCGGGTGTACCGGACTACTGAGTGGTGAACATATTGTTGGTAACGTCTGGACTGGCGAGTTTTGCATCCCAGTCAAAAGCATAATGCGCTCCAAAAATGAGTGTTTTTGCCAGGAGTTCCGCAAGGACGTGGTAGTGTAGTCAAAGTTACAGAAAGTTGAGCTTTCATTTCGACTTGCCCGGGCAAGTGAGGAAAGCCGTTGCCCGATGTGTCAAAAGCTGAAAGACTGGCTGCGTATTGGGCAAGGATTGAAGTTTGGAACCCCCCATAGGAGTTTGTCTCAGTATGGCGGACCCTAAAATGCTTGGCTTCTGGTGTCCTTTGAAAACCAAGCAAAAGTGGGCATCCTCAAAAGAAATCACCCCCATGTGACAAACACAATTTGAAAGAATGGTCACCAACCCTTTAACTCTAACGAGAGGTTGGCAACCATTCTGCAGATTTGCTTGTTTTACTCTGATTTAGGGATGGTCATGGAACCCTCAATAGGAGAGTTGGACAGCCATCGTAAGAATCTACTGCTTTTGCTTGGGGTGAGTAAGGATGGTCATTAACTTTGTCGGGGACTTGGACAACCATGAGGATTGCTGGTAGGGCAACCATGACCATGTTTGGTCAATGTTTGCAGGCGGTCCGTTCGGGGTTCAGTTGGGAGATGGGATGAGCTCCAAGTTTCAACCACTGTTGGAACCGTCTACTTCACACACGCCCCTTGCGGTAGCAAGTTTTGACATTTGCACAGAGGCAAGGCTATGAGTTTCAACGCTCCAGCTTCCCTCCAAAAACTCGTCCAAAACAACGATCCTCACGGAAATTGATGTCCACCAGAGCTCACTTCCTGCGTTCATGGACTTTAAACTTTTTGGGAACACCATCTTGGTGTTAAACAACAAGTTCCAGGACTTTTCTCGGCCAACCGCAGTCCAACTGGAACAGCTGACTCATTTCGGAAAAGTGGGATCCAGACTCGCGCACCCGTCACTCGTCGCGGGTCTAGGACCCCCAAGGGTACCCTAAGGAGACACCCGAGACACGTGGGTTGGATTCCCTTTTTGGTTTCCCTCCAAAGGGGCCCGTTTTGAGAAACCCGCTTGGGTGCTCTGGGCACCCCTGTGTTGCTTGCATGCTTGGGGGCTCTACAGATGCCTTTGTTATATTGCAAGTAAGCCAACCATGCTCAACTGTACAGCCATGGGCTTCTCAGATCCCCCATTTGCAATATTTGCGGCATCCATGATGCCGCCGTGTTACGTGCTCTTGCCAGAATCATTTCCCAGGTTTGCAAAGCATTTGAGGTTTCTACAGGGTCGACTCCTTTTGTACATGCTGCGGATTGCTCGGTTGAAGATAGTGCAAGTAGGTTCTGCACGTAGAGTCTGTGATTTACATGGCTGTGGGTCAAATCCAATGGGACCCATTTTGGGGTAGGTGCACCACCCATTTTTCGGGATCTTAGTGGGGATTGAATCGGATATTCACTGGGGGTACGATTTGATTTTGGCTTTTGACCCATGGCCACATGGGTTGCTCAGAACTTCGGTTTGCCCCAGTTGGTGGGTGGCAGACCGGTTTCCCTTCTTGTTTTTCGAGTTCCCCACTTAACTTGACCACCAACGGACTGGGCTTTTTCACGTTGCGGGTCACTCTCTGGAAGCGCCAACCTCGAGACATCGAGACATGGCTTCTCTTCAATTTAAAAGGCTGCAACTCACTTCCTGAGTTCATGAACTTTAAACTGTTTGGGAAGACCATTTTAGTGGTAAATAAAAAGTTTGGACTTCTTTTTGGCCATCCACTCAGCAAGTGAGGCAATCTTTGAGTCCATCCAGCGTTGCAGGCCGTTCCCAGAAAGCTCGCAAGGCATACCCGTGGTTGCAAACTACACGGTGCCAAGTGCCAACTTGGTTGCAACACCGTCCAAAATGCATGGAGCGAATACATCTCAATGCGGTGCGTGTGTCTTGGTTTGAGGCTCGGTGCTCTCTGGTAGTTTTGATCTTGACACCGAAGACACATCGCCGACTTTGAGGGGGAGGGAGGTTCAATTGTTCCCATTCCACTTCTTATGATTCATGCTGCTCCCACGTGTTAAAAGTAGAAATAGCATTCCGATTCCATGTTCGGGTGGCAGTGGTTCATACCCATGTGGGCATGTGTCAAAATAGAGGAACCTCAAAAATGTGTCTTTCCGGTTTGGTTTCCTTTCATGCCAAACAAAATAAGCTCAGGTGATATCCCCAACAGCATGGTGCACTTTTTTAGTGTTCGCAGAACCTCGTGGAACCCTGGTGGAACCCTCGTAGAACCTTACCTCAGGGCCGCCCCGGACCACCCCGGAGCCTATCTGGGCTGAGACCCCAAAGCTTTCAGCTGTTGGGGAAAAACCGGTGCCCTCGCGTTTGATCGATCCCTAAACTTGGCCTTAGCCAGCTTCAGCCTTCTTTCTGAACCTGCGGCTGTGGACGGCTCAAAGCCTTCGCACATTTGGGTGGTTTTCAGCCCACATGCCGGTCGACGGGCCGACAGAACGCCCTGTCCACATGTTGAAGCCCATTTAGTGCCACTCATGGGGTCGCGATATCACGCCCACGGGCCTCTTCAAGACAAAACTTGGGCGGTTCGCTCCTTGCGAGGCATGGCTCGGATTTTTTTTCACTTGCAATTTGAAGCAAGGATCCAGTAGAATTGGGGGAAACCAGATGAAAACCTCGAGGCAACTTAGCAAATGGCTCCGATGTGAAGACCCGGGCAGCGAAGGCCCAGCCAACAGGCACCTGTCGGGTTCCCATGGTGTTTCCCCAAGGGTTGATCAAAGCTTTGCATTTTGCGGGATGTTAGGACGTGAGAACTTTTTGCCAACTGGGTGTTCCATAGGGAGTTGGTCAAAAGGTGTGGGACAACCTTTTGGGGAAAACAAGATGAGGTCTCCCACGAAATGAGAAAAGTTAGCCTGCTCGTTTGGCGACCAGGAGTATTGTTTCACTCCCCACATCTTTCTTGTAAGAATATTGTTGGACATGTCGAGCGCCTCAATGTTGAGGCTTAGATCGACTCAGAACTGGTCCATCGAGTAGTTACCTGGTACCTAGTTTCCGGGGTTACTGGATCCACTGGGATAGCTTTGAAACAATCCCAATGGCCTCCGCCGTTTGCGATCCACCGTGTGCCATGCCGCACGTCAGCACATCAGTGGAGCAGCTGGAGCTGGTTGTAGCATCCCCATGGACGTACGCGCCAGGTGCGGAGCAGATTGCGAATTCGGATTTGGACATACTGAGACAAACTAACATTATGCTTCTAGTTCTCCCATCTGGCTGGTGAGTCAAAATCAAAGACCTTTTACTTCTATGACCACGGCGTCGTCTCCCTGTTGCCGCGTTGCCGAAGGATCGCTTCGGGTGAGCCACATGTTGAGGTGAGAGCGGCCAAGGTTGCCCACGAAAGGGAACATCAATGAGGATGCTCTGCCCTTGGTGCACAGGTGTCCGTTTGGGTTGGTTTCTAGGTCCCCCAGCTAGGTGCCCTTTCTCACCCCTTGTTTGGTTGAGAACCCCCTACTAAAATAGACGACAGGGAAAAGTTGGTACCCTTATTCTAACCTCTCTACTGGAGGACCTAGGTGTGGACAGAAATAGATTTCGCTGTGTTGGAGCCATCAATTTGTCCAACAGATCACCTACGGTTTGGTGCAAATTCATGTTCCTGTCTTTCGCTTGACCAGAGGCGAAAAACTCTATTCTCCCATTGCTGGCCCTCCCGGTGGTTTCAGATGCCAGCTGAGGGTGTACCTTGGCAGAGCTTAGCAGCTCGTTTGGCTAAAGCCGTCTATGTGTCATGGTCTCAAAAGGCTGCCTCTATCAGATTATCAAGCTTCCTCAAACAGGTGAGGCAAACAAATATCAACTTGCGCAAGTATGGCATTCTGTTTGTTTGCTAGTGGTTACGTTGTTGCTGGTTTGTTGGCACAAGCATGTCTTGGATGTTTTTTTGGTGTTTGCAAGCAGCTTGTGACCGAGCACGAAGGTATCCGGCCGGAACAGGCGAGGTTCGAAACGCGATCTCTGCTTTTGTGCGGGTACTACCCCCCGAGAAGAATATGCAAGGATGGGAGTGCAAGAATGTGCGGTGCAGCATTCGGGTGATGAGCAGCATCGTGGGGAAGGAGATTCTGAAGATACGTACGCACACTTTCACTCCGCGGGACGGCCGCCCCGGCCGTCCCGCGGAATATGGCTTCCACAAGCTAGTGAGGCTTCAGGAACTGACGCGCGGGTCGGGACTGTTGGATGGAGACTCCAAGGTCCGCGTGCGTGCTTCGGTCAGCAACCTTCCTTTTGCGAAGCCTCGCAACATGGTTGTTGTTGGGAAGCATTTTACATTTTTGCTTATTATGGTTTAGGGGTTGAAATCCCGCCTTAACTGCTAAGATTTAAGTTGTTGCTCCCCTTCCAACGTCAACCAAGGCAATGCCCTACAAATCGACTTGTCCGCCGAGCTTCAGCCGGTCCGGATCTTGGTGCCAGACGGGCCACCCCTCATCTTTGACCAACGTATCTTGGCGGCTCCCAGCCATCCGGCTCCTTAGCTTTGGAGACTTTTAGTGTTTAGTGGTAAAAGTTAGTCACTTTTAGCGGGAGATTTGAGGGCAGCCCAGGTATCTTGGTGGCACGCTCCGAGTACTTTCAAAAGATGTTCGCTGCGGAATGCAAGGAAGCGTCAACTGGCGTAGTTGACCTGCGCCAGGATGCGAACGCAAGCCACCAGTGCGTGTCCGCAATGCTAAGCTTTCTCCTGACAAAGTGCCTCGACCCGGATGTGGATCTGGAGCTGGCTTTAGCGCTGCACGCCATAGCGGACAAATTCTGCTTGCGAGATTTGAGGGAGGCAGGGTACGTGTTCATGGCATAATAACTTACGGGGCTGGGGTCCTGAGTGTGATGAATCAAGGGAGTCAACGGGTTGCAAATGTGCCTGTTCCTTTCACAGGAGGTCGAGGGGCAACACCATGTTAAACCTCCACGTTCATTTAGTGGGAGTTGTGTCATATACCAACTTGCTGGGTGAACAAAAGTCTTGAGCGGCTTCAGGTGGGATAAGCAGATGTTGAGGAAACATGGTGCGCAAGCATCACACGATATCACGCATAAGCTCAGCCCGTCAAACATAAGTTCCCCTTGTAGGTGTCCCAGCTAGGTGCCAACTTGTTCACCCCTTTTTTGGTTGGGAGTTGGGAGGGGAACCCCCTACAAAAATAGACTACATAAGGCCACACGCAAGACGCACGTAAGCCCTGGCTACGTTGCTGAAAATTCGCCCTCGCAGCCTTTTCGGGCAGTGCGCTGGAGCAGCCGAAATTCTAGGGGCTGATTCCCCATTCTTTCAGGCATCAGCTGCTCATGTGTTTGTTGGCAGGCAGCACGGTGCACGCTCAAGGACATGCTCTCGGAAGAGAACGTGCTGCACATTTTGCACCAGGTCCTAGATATTGGTGGCGACATGCCAGCATTCCTGTTTCACTTGCGAGACCTACCTGGGCACGCTCTGTTTGACTAAGCAGGAGAGTTTGTCCTTTCGTTTTTGGGTTTGCCCGCTTTGTCTTTGAATAGGGGAGACTCCAGTGTGACAGTTGTCCTGGTTTCCCCTTGAAGCCACGTCCGGAACGGGGGAAGCCTCACAACAAGTTGACCACGCCCGATTCTCATTGGTAGAGATCTTGCAGCGATTGGGTTGCGCTTTTGGACTCAACTGTCACCGTTTCTGGATTCCAACAAGAACAAACCACGCCCACAAGAATCTGTTCCTTTCCCCCCTAAAAAACCTGACAAAGCTCAAAAAGAGTGTTGACCCGTTTAGAGCTGTTGCTTAGAACTGTTCAAAAAAGTGGGCTTATCCCTGTGGCAGGTTATTTTCGCTGTTGGTTACCTTCAAAACTACCTGAAAAGAGTTTGAGCTTTGGACCCCCAAGCCGGGAGTTCCCGCTTTCCCTTTGCGAACGCGTTCAGCCTAGGCCATCTGGAGAAGTTGTGCTGGCAGATGCTGCAAGCAGATGGCGGGCTGTTGGTCCGACAGGAGGATCAACTGGACGCGGTGATCCAACAGACCCCAGCGCCGCGGCGCAACGAGTCAGGGTTCTTGTCAATACAAGCGAGTGTGTGTGTGTGTGTGCGTGTTCTTTTGAGGGTGCTCTTTTCAGCTTATTGCTCAGGAAAACCAAAAGGAGACCTGCCAGTTTTGATGGGTCCCCCTGTGTTGAGACAAACCTATATCAGTGCCAGACTGGACCAACTTTTGCATATTTGCCCCTTTGGTTTCCCTCATTCTTCCGGTTTTCCCAGCAAAAAGTTGACACTTGCAGGATGCGTCTGGCCAGGTGATGTTTTTTGAAGTGGCAGACCTGACCAAGTCCCCAAAAAGGGCACCCTCCGAAAAAGTCACACCATGACCCTGAAAAGGGGGCAACCTGCCCAAAAAGAAAACATCACATCACCCCGACGAGAGGGGACAGGAACAGACTACATACCTCAGTAATTCCCAGCCATCCGGTTCCTTAGCTTTTTAGATATTTTTAGTGTTTGGTGGTTGGATTTCCATTTGACTTGCTAAAATCACTTTTCGGGGGATCTGAAAACGGGCAGCCCCGATACGTGTCAGACCCCAAGCTCAGGCTCTGGCCAAGAAGCTGATCCTGCTTGGCAAGCGCAAGATGCAGAAGACCAGCTGAGCGCACGTGCCACACCGGTTGGCATCGATTGGGTTCCGCTAGCTGTGTTGATCTTGATGGCTCCCAGCCATCCCCTTAGCTTTTAGCCTTTTGGTGGTTAGTGGTACTTTCCATTTAACCCACAGTTAAACTTTTAGCGAGGGATCTGAGGCAGCCCAGTGATCCCATCCATTTCGGCAACAATGTGCAGCTTCTGATTTTCGGCTTTCACTCTCAGCTCGATACAGCCATGGGACCACGCGTGGGTCGCAAAAGTGCCTTTTGCTTTGGTTCTAGCGCTGCTTCATGCATTCCAATCGAAAGACCATTGCTAGCAGGAATTGGCCACAAAAGACTGGATCCATCAACTTTGGTGCATTTTGCTTGGATGTTACTAATGGGTTGTCCATTACACCACTAAAAGTTAAACTTTTAGCAGAGGAGCAACCGAGTCAATGTTTGCATTTAAAAAGAGAGTGTGTGTGTGTGTGTGTTGTTGAACAAGAGCGATGGATGGAGCTGATTATTCATGATGCTTTTGGCTGGGCTGCAAAACTCGCCAGTCCAGACATGACCAACAATATGTTCACCACTCATTGGCGGTTCCCATGAAATCAAGAGGGAACGACAACACATCCCCTGAAACACAGCAGGAAGCTATAACACAGGCAAACAGATGAACATTACCCTCTAAATTGTGCAAACATGGTCTCCACCCGTTCATGGTTTTGAGATGTGTCCGAAATGTCCGCCCAGAAAATCAATGGGAATCCCTTCTTCCACCTGCAGCTTCATGCATTTTGCTGCTGACTTTTCTGCTAAGATCTTCGAGCAGCAACCCAACTGCAACTCCCGGTTATAACTCACCGATCGCGGGTTATGAAGATAAACTCGGCTTGAGCCCATGATAATATCCCTGGCAGAATCCTTATTGAGGTGTGTGATCCGGGCAAGCTTATCCAGAAAATGTAGCCCTCATGCAGCTCTTACATGGAGGTCGCTCAATTAAACTCACTTCAGCCTTGCAGCTGATCGCTCCTGGTAAGCAAGTGGGAAGTTCCGACTTTGCCACTTGCCACTTGCCACTTTGCCCACGGAGCTTGAAGGGCGCAATGTTTTGAGTCAAGGAAAACCACCCCTTCCACCCCTTCGTGGACCACTGCTTTGGGATGCTGGCTTTGCTATCCGAAAAGGGTTGGGGTTCCCCGCAAGCCCTTTCTGAGGCCCCTAAGACACCCTAGTAGACCAATAGAGGGAGGCTCTATCAGTCCCTAGTTCTGAAAACGCCACGCATCCCTCAAAGGATCCTGTCAAACTCTATTTTCTGGGCCTGCGGCCTCTAGCCGGCTACGCCTCTTTGAAGTTAGACCATGTCATGTCATGGTTTTTGTATGAGAAACATATCCTGTGCTATGTTATGGCTGGTTAGGTTTTGCATGTGATGCCGGGGATGCCAGCTTTCTGGGCCCCAGCCGGGCCCCAACCCAGAAGGCTGACATGGGGTCGCGCGCGCGTGCCAGAGGCCCCAGAAACAGCAGCCCAAAAAGAACAGCCCGCAAACCAGCCCGGAAACGCAAACGCAACAAAACACCGCAAATAGCAGCGTTTTCCTTTTTTGGCGGTATTTACAGCGTTTTGGAGAGCGAGGACGGCATGCCCAGCAGCGCTTGGCGCCAAAATGCGCAAGAATGAGCCTCTGGGTTGAGAGGCTTTTTGGAAGGAAGTCTTGATGATGCAGACCAAGCCCCGCTGAAGCATCACCCAGGCCCAACCCCAGACCCTGATGATGTCAGCCACATGGCCTAAACCCTGCATATACGCGATGTTTTGCGAGGGTTTCCCACGGGCAAGCAAAACCGCAAGCCCGAGCTGGTGATGCAGAGGTGCCGGATTTAAGCCGCGCATCACGACCAAGTGGCGAGGGTCGGCGGCACCAGGGTGCACCCCCTATAGCTAAAGCTAGCAGGCTAATTGCCTAGCGGCGACATGCTACCCCAGGAGGCGTAGCCGGATTTAGCAGGCTGACGCCTGATGCCGCCGACCCCCGTAACATCATCATCATTAGCATCAGCATCATTATCATCATCGTCATCACTGTCATCATCATCCTCAGCATCCTCATCATCCATCATCAGAACAACATCACCATCGGCATCGGCATCCTCAGCAGGATGATGCTAGCAAAGATGGGGATGCAAAAGCTGTCTTTTTCCCCGGTCGTGGCAGACCAAAAAGGCAGCTTCTGTCCCCAGCATGCTAGGCATCATCGAAGGCATTTGCGAGATGATGCTGGCAAAGCTGGGGATGCAAAAGCTGCCTTTTTTCCCGGTTGTCCAAGACAAAAAAGGCAGGTCTTGCATCCCCAGCATCCCTAGCATCACGCTAGAGACAGGCAGTATGATGCTGGTGAAGCTGGGGATGCAACCGCTCCTTTTTCCCGGTTGCCGTGACCAAAAAGGCGCAAGAGACTTGTCCTTTTGCGGGAGTTTTTTGGTTGACGTCAGGCCGGTAGTCTAACGAGGACCAACCCCGAACTTCATCATCATCATCATCGTCATCATCGTCAGCGGCGTCATCATCATCATCGGCATCACCATCATCATCACTCTTCATCATTATCATCATCATAATCATCATCATCATCATCATCTTCATCATCCTCAGCAGCATCAGCATCATCATCATCATCGTCATCTTCCCGTAGTCTTCCGTCAACTTCCCGCAGTCTTCCGTCATCTTCCCATCGGCTTCCCGTAGTCTTCCGTGTTAGACGTCAGGGTTAGAGGCTGGGGGTTAGGGTCATCTTCCGTAGTCCCATCATTTTCCCGTCATCTTTTCCGAGTCTTCCGTCGTCTTCCCGTAGTCTTCCGTCATCTGTCATCTTCCCGCACTCTTCCGTCGCTTCCCGTAGTCTTCCCGTAGTCTTCCGTCATCTTCCCGTAGTCTTCCGTTGTCTTCCCGTAGTCTTCCGTCATCTTGCCGTAGTCTTCTGTCAGCTTCCCGTCATCTTCCCGTAGTCTTCCGTCATCTTCCCGTAGTCTTCCGTCATCTTCCCGTAGTCTTCCGTCATCTTCCCGCAGTCTTCCGTCAGCTTCCCGTCATCTTCCCGTAGTCTTCCGTCAGCTTCCCGTCATCTTCCCGTAGTCTTCCGCCATCTTTTCCCGTAGTTACTCTTCCGTCATCTTCCCGCAGTCTTCCGTCATCTTCCCGTCAGCTTCCCGTAGTCTTCCGTCATCTTCCCGTAGTCTTCCGTCAGCTTCCCACAGTCTTCCGCCGTCCGTCAGCTTCCCGTCACCTTCCCGTAGTCTTCCGTGGAGTCTTCCGTCATCTTCCCGTAGTCTTCCGTCATCTTCCCGCAGTCTTCCGTTATCTTCCCGTAGTCTTCGGTCAGCTTCCCGTCATCTTTCCGTAGTCTTCCATCATCTTCCCATAGTCTTCCGTCATCTTCCCGTAGTCTTCCGTCATCTTCCCACAGTCTTCCGTCAGCTTCCCGTAGAGCTTCCCGTCATGTTCCCGTAGTCTTCCGTCATCTTCCCGTAGTCTTTCATCATGATTATCCATCCTCACGGTTAGAGGTTAAGGTTTGGAGGTTAGGGTTAGAGGTCAGGGTTAGAGGTTAGGGTTAGAGGCAGGGTTCGAGTAGGGTTAGAGGGTTAGAGGTTGGGGTTAGAGGTTAGGGTTAGAGGTTAGGGTTAGAGGTAAGGGTAGAGGTTAGGGTCAGAGGTGGGGTTAGAGGGTTAGAGGTTGGGGTTAGAGGTTAGGGTTAGAGGTTAGGGTTAGAGGTTAGGGTTAGAGGTTAGGGTTAGAGGTAAGGGTAGAGGTTAGGGTTAGAGGTTAGGGTTAGAGGGTTAGAGGTTAGGGTTAGAGGTTAGGGTTAGAGGTAAGGGTAGAGGTTAGGGTTAGAGGTTAGGGTTAGAGGGAGGTAAGGGTAGAGGTTAGGGTTAGAGGTTAGGGTTAGAGGGTTAGAGGTTAGGGTTAGAGAGGGTTGCTCCCGAGCCTCAGGGCGACAAAACCATAAACAGACCAACAAACAGCCAGCAGCCAAAAGCCCAACCGAACAGTCAACAGCGCTAAGGATCTCTGGAAAACCAAAGGAAATGCCTCAAATTCGGGAGCCACTGATCCTTCGCTAGTGGCTACCTTCCCCAAAGAAACATCAGGTGCGTTTCAATCGTGAAACCTGCGGCCCATTCTGGCATCCGCAGCCCTCGTGTTCCAGCGGATCCAGGAAGGGCCTTGCAGCGCGCGACTGCCATGCCGCGCTTGGACTTGGCAGTGGAGTGTCCCTGGAATTTCGATCCAGGCGGGCCGAAGCCGACAGAGGAAAAGATGACTCGCTGGTGGAAACTGGTTAGGGGGTTCTGCAACCGGTGCCATGCAGATGGTCCAACCATTGTTCTAGGGGTTGTTTCTCCATTCTTTTCAACCATCATTCTTTTCAAAAACGCGGCGTTGTTTTTCTCCATTGGATTGTGGAGGTTTTCTAGAAAGATTCGGATCCCTGGAAAAATTGGGAAAGTACCCTTAGAATCCTTGGTAAGTCACATTTCTGCACAATGGAAATGGAAGGTACCGCTAGAACTGTGCAGGTTCTATGGTGGGGCAATGTCAAGTCTCGGTCCTAAAAGGTTTTAGGTCCCCCAGCGATTGGTGCCCTTCTCTACCATTTTTGGTTGGGAGATTCGGTTCCCCTAGTAAAATAGACTGCAGAAAAAGTTGGTACCCTTGTTCTAAGCAATTTTGGGTTAAGTTCTTGGGCCTGACAAATGTCGGATTGACCCAACCTAGTGGACCCGTCATTCCCACGTTGCCTACAGCAAACCTTGAGATATGGGAAAACAGGGCACCTTGGGCAGGTCCCAGGCCCGAAATGGGTGACTCGCTTTCTTGGAGGAATCGGACCGGAACCTTGAAATGGTGCTGCGGCTAGCCAAGGCTCATTTTGTTTTATTTGTTGATGTAACTCGCACCTATTTATGGCAAGCCCCAGCCATCATGAGGAAAACTGATTGCGATAGGAGATGGTCCTGACTGTCACATTTCTTGCTGTTCAGCAGTGCCGAAAACACACATCTGGACAACCGAACTAACGACATGGCTCCTTACTTGGGGATTCCTAGTTTCAGTTGTTTTGTTTTTTGTGCAATTGTGTCCAGACAAGAAGTGCATCAAGGAAAGCAGGCAAGACACCTCCCAGGCCAAAAGGTGCATTCGGCGGCGGCATGCAGCGCGCGGAAGGATGGCGTCAAGTGCCGGCTCAAGGTGTGCCTTGGGCCTCAAAGGTCGCGATGATCCTTTTCCCAGTGGATCCCAGCTACTATAGTAGGCTCCCGATCGCTATTGTCCTGTTGTCAAAGGGTGGCAAGCCCTTGGTTACCTTGATGTAGATTCGCATTGAAACACGTGCAAGTTTCAACACAGGCGGAAATTCTAGTTCTTTATGACTTTGGGTTCACGGGTCTTTGGTTACTTTAGCTTGTTGGTTGAAACTTTGATATTGGAAGGCACAAAAAGTCAGTTCAATGTTTTGCAGAGGGGCCAAGAATCGGGTGACCTCAAAAATGGTGAACCTTTTGATTTCCCTCAAAAACTCACCCCCATTTCTTTAGAGGAGGGAGGTTCGCAAAAAAAGGCGCCCAATTGCGCACAAACTAAATATGTTTCTCTTGAGTTCTATTTGGTTGGAACTTTCACCTTCAACTTGCTTGGCAAATGTAAGTCTTACCTTCCAACAATCAGCTGAACTGTTTGCACAGGGGGCAATAGCCACCAAGATCTGGGGCTTGCTTTGTAGGCGAAAATTCAATTTGTTTAGGGTACCAGTTACACAGCCTTTGGCCACTTGAGCCGTTCGCTCAATATTCGGGGGGAACTCTCTTTCTGCTGCGTAGCCCCGCGTAGGCAAATCTGGTGCGGAGAAGGATTGCATAGGCCGTTCACGTAGATCCTGCGTAGGCAGCTTCACGTGCCATCTTGGCTTTGTGGCCCCCTTTTTTGAGCAAACCCTGCTGGCCCGGCATAGGCTCCGCGTAGGGCCTGCGACGGCATGCATGCCTACGGCTCACAGGCAACTGCTTGCTGTCTTGGTCTTTGCCCCTATCCCGCTGCAAGCGGAGAGATGTTTGTAGCTGCAAAAATGAAGCCCAACGCGCCCGTCAAGCAGCAGAAAGGCTACGCAAAGCTGCTGCCAAGAGGTTCTGTCAACATCAAGCTTCATAGCGGTGTTCGCCACATGCACTGCTTCGTTTTATCTACGACCAGAGCCATGCTGGCGAGCCTCAAGAGTAGCACCCAAGCAAAGTCCGCATAGTCACTCCGCGGTGGGTGCTGGGTACGCCGCGCAGGAGCCCCCAGATGTCGCATGCCTGCAGAGGTATCGTGTAGGCATCACACAAGCCTTTGATTGAAAGAATTCTACTCACTTGTCGTGTTGTCAAACTTTGCTTTCGGGCCGGAAAAGAATGCGGCAAGCTTACATCTCTGCCTTCCATTCTGGTTCATGGTCATTGCAAGTGGAGTGATGAGCAAGTCATGGCCCGGAAACTGAGCATTTGACTGCTCTAACAGTCACTACGTTACCATGACTGCCCTGGCTTCAAGTCAGTGCATCAGATTGAACCGACTCTCTTTTCTTGGTGGCTCCCAGCCAATAGCCTTTTACTGTTTAGTGGTGGTTTCCATTTAACCCACTAAACGTTAAACTTTTAGCGGGGGATCTGAGGGCAGCCCAGTTTCGACATTCGCAAAGTTTGTGTTGACGTTTGGCAACGAAGGTTTCCAGCAGGCACAGCTTCTTGCGCTCGGACGGGGATACAGGCTCTCTCTGCGTTCGTAGAAGTGATCTCCCCGCAGCAGGAATGGGTGTGCAAAGATGTTCGCTACAGCATCAAGTTGATCAGCAGGGGACCTCGGGAAAACATCAAGAAGACGGAAACCTTCACTTTTTCTTCAGCAGCGAATGATCGCGGCTGGCATGAGTTCGTGAAGCATGAAGAGTTGTCAGAGAGCTCGGGGCTGCTGGACAGAGACTGGAAGGTGCACTTGGTTGCCTGGGTGGACGGGCTGCCAGACGTGGATCTGCCGCAGCCGCAAGCAGACATCGACTTTTCCACGGAGCTCAATCCGGTGCAGATCTTGGTGTCAGACGGGCCAGCCCTGATCTTTGACCAGCGTATCTTAGTTGCGCGATCCGAGTACTTCCAAAAGATGTTGACCGCAGAGTACAAGGAATCAGGGTTGCGCAGAATGCGTTAAGCCCCGCACCCCAGCACCTCAAAGGGAAGCCAAGAGGATGTTGCAGAAACCAAATCTGTTCAAACGTGTTGAAATTGGGGGGGGGGGGGGGGGTTGGCTCAAGTCTGACAGTCATCCTGGCCAGGAATCCTCCACTCGCGTGGTAGATCTCCGCCAGGATGCGCAAGCAAGCCACAAGTGCGTGGTTGCGCTGCTCAGCTTCTTGCTGACAAACTCCCTCGACCCACACATGGACTTTGACTTGGCTACGGCCCTGTGGGCCATGGGGGACAAGTTCTGCCTGCGAGGCTTGAAGAAGGCCACTTGGGTTTGACTCGAAATGGGAAACCCTGTTCAAAAACCAACTATTCTAGGGGTACCTTCCATTTCCATTTTTTCGAGGGATCCTTCTTTCCAGGAAACCATCAAACACCCAGAAAAGAAAACAGATCCGGTTTTTTTCAAATTCTAGACTACGTGGGGTTTGACAGGACGATTCTTATCTGCTTTCTGCCACTTTCTGTGAGCCTGAAAAGGATGAAGTAGCGGGAACGGCCCACTGGTATCATAGACAACCATGGGCCACTTGGCCAAATGCAGTTTGTGGTTTTCCTCTTTTAGCAATGTTACTGCGAGAGGGCCGACCCTCAGTATGTGACAAGACGAGTTGGTGGTATGTCCGGTCAAAGGCTGATTCCATATTTATGGAACTTATGGCCATTTTGGACCCTTGCGAGGCTGGTTCTCCAAAGCTAACGCATAAGCAACGCTGACTTCACCAATGAGCCAGGGAGCCGGGCAAGGCTCCACATATGTTTACACACTTCTCCTTGCGCTTCTAGAATAAGGCCAAAAGCCAGGCCAAAACTCGGAAAGTTTTAGGGGTTCCCAAGACAAGTCCTACAGAAAATGGTGACCTAAGACAAGACTACCCTCCCTCCAACAATCATAGAGCTAACAGACAGAGGGCTACTCCTTTGGCCAATACCCTCCGATCGTCAGCTTCCATGATTGGAAGGAGAGTAAGGCGTCAAGATGAAAATATGTGTGCGGCCCAGCCGGGAATGCTTTTCATCACCCTGAGGCAGCTGAGGTTCTTCTCGTGGACATGATCTCGGAAAAGACTGTGCTGCGCATGTTGACCCTTGTCTTTGACACCGACAGTGACCAGGTAGCAAGTTCTTGTGAGGGTATTTTTCGAGGGTTCCCTGTTTTGTGGTTTTGAAGAGAAAACCGCCATTTCCGGGCTTCCATAAAAAAGAGGAGCCACCCATGTGGGCATGTTGTAGTCACAGTGGCCTGGCTTGCCTTTGGCTGGCCGTAAAAAGCACCCCCAAACCACACCCACACAACAACGCGAACCCATGTGTGGTCAAAAGACCGGTTCCTTTGCTTGGCGTAAACAGGAATGGTCATCCACCTGGGAGTAGAGATTCTTGGTATACAACCACATACCTAGAACATCCTTCCGGCAGAAATTTCCGCCCATTTTGGGAAAAGGCGCCTTTTTCCCCGTGACGGCGTTTTTGACTTGGCGCCGGCGTTTTTTGCTTGTTCGCGATAAGGTACCTTAAGCATCGCATAGCCCTACTCGCTTGGACTTCTGAGCACTGCTTTTGCTTTGAACTGCGATTCAATGGTGTTCCCTGCCGTTGATGGCTTGTTGGACTTCCATCTCTTTCTTTCTGATCAACCCATGGCTTGCTTTGATGCCCACATGGATGGGGGAAGTTTGGCGATCCTGGAAAGTGCAGGTGCGACAGAACATTCACAGGCGAGCATTCCTTTGTTATTTCTGGGAATGCCTGGTGATGTTTTAGGCCTTCACAACACGCCGGACACTCTTGGCAACGTGTTCTTGTCCAATGTTCGGAGCTTTCTGGGCCGGAGCGCGGGCGGAATTCCCCGGGAAACGGGCGGAATTCCCCGGGAAACGGGCGGAATTCCCCGGGAAACGGGCGGAATTCCCCGGGCGGAATTCCCCAGGTCGAAAAACAATGGACGTCCATCCCCCTTTGATCAGCGTTTGAGACCATGGTTTTAGTTGCATGGCTGACTGCAAGCCTGCCATGGATCTGCAGGGTGTCTGCCATCGCCCGAGACGCGCCGAGACATGCTGGGTGGGCAAGGGAAACAATCATTCGAGTCTAGACCTTCTCACAGCCTTTGCTGGCAAGACGGGCTGGGTGAAAATGGTTTGGTGGCGTCGTCCTTTGAAGCGTGCGTCAGTTGGGACAATTGCCAAAACATTGGCAACCATTGAGGGCTGAGTGCATCGTGGGCATCTAACTGTAGCGTTGCGGCGACGGCGTTTTTCCTTGGCTCGGGCGTTTTCCCCCATCCCCGGCGTTTTTTCCGAACAACGGCGGAAATTTCTGCCTTTGAGGAAGCGGGCGGAAATTTCCGCCAACGGAGTTTCTAGGTATGCTCCAGCGAAGCTGGATGACGGAAGTTTCCATCCTCGCCCGATCCCAGAGCACTCCTCCCAATTCTCGATCGCAGATTCGAACGGCGCCACAGTGAGAGCGCTGCGACAAGCGCGATGCCCGCAGAGGGCTCATCACTTTTTGGCAAATTTGCACGGCGCCACAGCGAGAGCTCCCCCCAGAAAGGGGGATCTAGCACTTTTTGCACGGCGCATCACGGCGCCACAGCGAGAGCGCTCGACACGCGCGATCCTCGCAGAGGGTTCATCCAGCACCTCGCAAATGTGTACTTCAGCGAGAGCGCAGGCAGGGCCAATTCAAGGTGAGATGTGTTTGCCTTTGATTGTTTTTTCTTGCTTGGCCTTTGGATGCGTTGCCTCGTTTTTCATTTGTGTGTTTTCTTTCTCTGCTTTGCCTTTCTTTTTGTGCAACTTGCCTTGAGTTGCTTTTCTTTGCTTCCACGTGCTTCGCGTTGCCCTGTACTTTCTTCTCGTTGCCGCGCCTTGCCTTGCCTCGCTTCGCCTGCTCTGGGTTGCTTTGCTTTGCTTCGCCTTGCTTGCCTGCCGTGGTTTGTCGTGGAACGAACGCCGGCATTTGAGCGCCGTGGCACAGAAGTAGACTAAGTGTAGTTACGTGAAGACAAATTGTCGTTTGGCTAGAAATTCGTTTGCTCTCAAATCCCAGGTGATCTGGAGGCAATGTGCTGGAAGCTGCTGCAGGAGGAGCTGGGTTGCTCCTGCGGTCTTTGATTCCTGGGTTTCCAACCACAGGTCGGTTTTCACCACAAAGAAATCGTAATTTGACCAAGTGCCTTGGCTTACCTCCAACCAAGTTTCTAGGGAGGTATCCCTCGGCGCGATACCCCGAGGAGCGGGGCCTACTGCACGACCAGGAGGACCAGTTGGATGCTCTGATCCAAGAAAGCCCTGCGCCCTGTCAGCAAGCAGACAGACAGTCAGGCCTTCCCTTGCAAAATTGAGTTGGTTACCTCTTTTTTCTGTTTTTTGAGAATCCAGTGACAAGAAAGACTGCCCTTAGCGCCCTTTGTCCCATGGCCACTGCTGCTAAAACCAGTTGCAGTTTGAGGGTTCTGCCGGCTGTCTTGACTTGCAACCATTATCTAGCGGGTCGCGCAGAGGCTATCCATTGAATGGACCCAGCCAGGCGGACGACGGGCGCTGCGACAGGATTCCCAATACGACGAGGGTTCTTTACTATTCTTTTGTGCGTGATGCTGCGGCATCACCGTTTGGGCCTCTGCAAAATGAGCAGCTTCCTTTTTTCATGGGGCGAGGTTGAAAGGGGAAACACAGCCTTGAGGCCTCCCTGGTGCTAGTGTAGTGTGTGTCCGTGCCTAATTGGATTTAATTTTAACCTAAAGAAACCGTTTACCATCACGGAAGCTGCTACCGGACATCAAACAAAACGCCAACGGCCCGCTGGAGGGCCCATCTTACAGTGGGGGGTCAGATCGTACAGAATCGGGTCTTCCACTTTGGGTTTTTGAGGGAAACCAAACGGAAAACATTACGGTAATTTAGTTCACCCACCAAATCATGGTCAACTCTGGGACCAAAGGACACGGGCGGGCGCCGCGCACGGGACACTCGCTGAGGCCTTGGCCAAACGCCTGATCCTCTTCAGAGACAAGTTCTAGCTTTGGTTTCTGTGCACACGGTTTGCTTCGGGGTCATGCTTTTCCAGTTGTGAGTTACCCGCAAGCAGGAAGCCTGGCATGGTTGCTCTCTTTGGGCGTGTCCTTGTCCCAAAGCTTGCTCTCTTTGCGTGCCTTCCTGTACAGGACGCTCTGGTTGCCCTGTTGGCACCGTTCCCGGTAGGTTCCCAGCTCAGAGCCTCCAAAAAGCGAGCTCCCTTCAGCAACGCTTGGGCGCGGCCGAAGTTTCCGAGGACATTGCGTTTTTTCAAAGAGCGTGGTTCACATGGGTGTCGCTGTGCAGGGAAAGCGACTGGAAAGCCAACATTCTCTCACTTGCCCAAATCGAATCGACCTTTTGATCCAACCTGGTTGTTTCCCCATTTTGGCAACCGTCATGAGTCACAAAAAAGATGCTCATCTTTTATTTCCAGCTCTTTTGGGCAACTGAGTTCTGGGGCTTCGCCCATATTGACACACCCGAATGTTCCGGGCCAGAGTTCCAGGTAAACATCCCAGGCGAACTCTCGAGCCAAGTACATATCGGGTGCAGCGTCACTACGCAAAGAAAGGATTGCGCGTGGCGCTCTCAAGTTACGCATGCCCAAGGATCAAGGTCTTCAAAACGGGCTCGCAAAGCTTTGCTCTTTTTGACTGCTTTTTCTCACTGCTACTGCGGGTTTAGGCCACGGTCAAGATGGTTTGAGACTCTGACCCCAAGCCCAAGGAAACCAAAATTTGGGACACATTTCGCCGATTTGACAAATACCAGCGAACCACAAGAGGCAGTGAGCACGCGCGTCTCGCCAGGCGCAGGGGCAGATGGCCACCCTCACCTTCCGCGCGCTCAAAGGTGAGGCGAGGATGGGGCGAGTAAGGGAAGCCGATGGTGGGTGTTATACTTACCTCTTTAAAACACCACTTCTCTCAACTTTTTGGGTAACATGGGCTAAAAAAGTCTGTAAAAGATGAGAACTTCCCCAGGTTGCTTGGAGTTTTAAGGGGCAAGTATAGACGCGCGGCGTTTTCCTGGTGCTTGGCTCGCTGTTTAGGCCCTGGGGTGTGGGCCAGCTTTCGCCAGGGGTGGGGCTGTTGGGTCCCATGCGCTTTGAGGGGCGGAGCCCTGACAAGCAGAGCGGAGGTCTAAGGAAGGGTGGGTTTCAATTGTCCGTCAGAAAAAAAAGGCCCTAATCCTAGGCAGCACCCTGTGGCTGTCAGACGCAGGGCGGCTTAGAAAAGGAGAGGTGGCAGCGATGCTCCAGATGTTAAAGGAACCCACCACAGAATCTGACAAGCTTTACTGTTCTTGGTTTTCGTGCGTCTGTTCATATTTTGCGGGCGCAAGCAAACACTTGTAGGTCTTGGTTCTTTGCATGGCGTCCATTCGTTTTGGACCTGCCAAGCTTGCTTGTTGCTTGGGTGGATGCCTTCTGCTAGCCCAGACCTCGAGTCATGCGGGTTGTGAGTTTACCTTCGAGACCAAGACCAGAACTAGGTGCTCAAAATGGCTTGCCCTGGCAATTGGAAGCATGGACTGAAACCTGCGGTCCCCTGGTTTAATTTTGACCCATCCTCATATCCCAAAGAGAGGTTAAGGGCTACATCTTCCACACATGCCCTAGGCAGACGCGGTGTGGCACGCGTCGCTCGCAGAGCTTCCGCCCAAGTGTCTCGAGAAGGCTGGGAGTTGGACATAGGTGTTGGTTTGGCTCGGTTTGGCTGTGGGTCAAAACCAATGGGATCCCATTTTGGGGTAGGTGCACCACCCATTTTAGAACCACCCATTTTAGAACCTACTTTAGTGGGGATTGGGATGTTCACCGGGGTACGGGCTTTTGACCCATGGCCGTTTCCTTTGCTCAGCTTACTTCCAATTGGTGGATTGCATTAGTGGCTTCGTGGCTAAGGAGCGGTTTCCCATTTCCCCTCGAAAAAGGCGTTCAAATCCTCCAGCCACCGAACGGATTTGCGCAGCAATCCCTTCGACACATACCATGTTGGTTCCCCACAAGGCAAGGGCTTAACCAGCTCTGGCTTACAAGTTCTGTGGGGTTCCTTCTCAACGTCAAGATTAGAAGTTGGCCTGGGGTAGGTGACTCGACACACAGGAGATTCCTGGTGCTAGGCATCATGTGAATTCTTGTGAGCATTGAGCATCCCTAGTACTTGGTACTGGCGTGTTCCTTGAGCCAGCACCTGGCTTGGAACGAAGACAGGCGCTATATTGCGACGGATGCATGTGTTTGGTTGTTTGTTTTCGGAGACGCGGGGGTGCTGCGGGGAGTTCGTTTGTGATGTTCCGAGGTCCATCGCATGTTGTGACAGTGACCCGACCGAACTGCGTACCGGGGTAGATGGCCCCAATATGTGTCTATGAGAATACCATGTAAAGTGTCAATGTGAGTTCAAATTATATGTAGGATACAGCCTCTCTTGAGTACAAAAGGTCTAACGACCTTTTGCTCAGGGGGTTTGGAGCGACCCAGAATTAGCATGGGTCCCAACATGATGAACCCCTTCTTGGGTTTTAGACGTTTTAGCAGCACCTTGCGGGTCTGTCTGTTTTGAGAGTACTCATTTTGTGCGGTTCAATGGGAAACCAAAAGGAGAGCCACCATTTTTGGGGGGTCCAACCTTAAAACAGACGCCCTTCTTAGCCCAATCCCGATTTTGGGTTCCCGGTTTTCAAGTCGACTCGCAGGTGGAAGAGGTGGGCGCCTGGAAAGAGGTCACTCTGCCCTCCAGTCAGGCGCAATCGGATTCATTCTCCGATCCGCTTCCGTGTCCATTTTTTTCAGCCATCGTTCTTTTCAAAAACCGGAGCCATTTCCTCAGGGTTTTTGGTTTTCTAGAAAGATTCGGATCCCCGGAAAGAATGGGGAGTTACCCGGGCTTGAATGAGAAGCCAAAGGAGTGTGTTGCTCAAAATTAGGGACCCCAGGTGGTTGGTTCCGTTTGGTGTACCCTGAGCACCATAGAAAAAGGAGACCCCCTATTTTGAGAAACACCCTTGTTGTGGAGGAAATCTCTCTGAGACAAAATCAAACTGGCAAAGCAAGAGAGTACGTGAGGGTGTTTGGGTTGCCACGTTTCTGCGATACAGTTTGAAGGAACCATTGGAGATGGGAATCCCATTTCCATACAAGTGCAGGTGTGTCGTTTGGGCTGTGAAGGTTGCTGAAGGGTTGTGACCAGGCCACTGAGATAGAGGCGATTCCCCAAATCTTGCAGAGCAGGGAAGAGGCTGGATGCTGGATGTCCCCATGTTCGGAGCCTTCAAGTTTGTGAGGAATCAGCAGGGCTCCTTAAAAGATCTCCATTTTGCAACCATTTGAAACATGTTGCTTTTTCAACACCAAAATAAGGTTGGACACAACACCATTTACAAGTTGCAATGTTCAGGTGTATAATGCATCCGGATCCCTGTTCAGTCAGTGGAAAGATGGTATCATAGATACGCACGTCGTATTCAATACTGTCTGGCAGGAGAGAAGCAATAAGCAGAGTACAGGGAGACCTGAACGGTGTGGCTGGTGGCAAGTTGTGACCAGGTCGATTTCGTGTGGTTCCATGATCCCTAACTTGGGTTGTTTCCATGAGTCAGACTGGTTCCTTTTTCCCAAACACATCTCTGTTTGGGCACTCAATAACTGCTTCAAAATCCTCAACAGCGCAAGCGAGGCTACAAGCATCGGTTCCTCAAGCTAGCTCGACGGGGGTTTCTGCCCTTGGAGGGTGCTGGTAGTGAGTTCATCGTTTCTTGGGGCCCAACCACGTACCCCTGTCCCCCTGGTATATGTGGAGAAAAACGGAAAGAGAACTCGCTGGTATCACCCCTATGGAGCATCCCTGATGGTTTCCCCGTATCACACCAGCGAGCAAATTTGGCAGATTTGCACGTGTCTTGGCAGGTTTGCATGGCAGGTCAATGTTACATGGCTTGGTTGTGTGAAAATTGGCCGCTCAGGACTCTAGACTTCAGGTGCTCCACAGAATTCCCTTTGACAACTGGGAGAAACAAAAACAAACAACCTCCAGGAACCCTTCCACTGCCACGTTGGGAAGGGAAAATTCCAGTGGCTCCCGTCTCCTGTTCCAGGTTCAGTTTCCCATTTGGATCCCAACGATTCATTCCCATCACCCGGACTCGGAAGGTTAACCCCTACACCAGCAAGAATAGGGAACCCCCCCCCAAAGAAAACAACCATAAAATTGGCAATGGTTTCTTTGTGGTTTCCCTTTCCACTTCAAAAGGGGACACCCCCAACAAACAAACACACACATATATATGTATATATTTGTATATATATATATGTACATATATATATATATGTAAAAAGAAATGGCTCACACAAAAAATAATAAATATATATATATATACACCAAAATGTACACAAAAATGGCTCCAGGTTTTCTACCCTTCGGAGCCGTGTTTTTTCACCCCCTCCCCCTCTTCAGACCCCAACGAGAAGCCCCCCGCCGGGAGCCCCGCGTGGGTCCACCATACGGCCAGCTGCCGCATCTGCTGCGGCGCCTGGACTACGCGCTGCTGCACTTGTCGCTGAGGCGCCGGGCGCGGGGCGGAACCCGCAACGTGCGGGTGAGATATGTGGGGGGGCACGCTCGGTGAAGAAATTTGTGTTTGTGTGGGTCATTGTGGGTGCTTGTGTTTGTGTGTGCGCGTGGCCTTGTGCTTTTGTTCAGGTTACGCGTTTTCATGCGTTTTCAGGTTGGTCTAAACACCAAAAGGAAGCCTACCAGCTTGCCATTTTAGGGGTCCCCCTATTTTGAGGCAACAACCAAGGCCACCCAAGGCTAAGAGTGTGCCCTTTGGTTAACCTGATGGTTCGAGAGAATGTCGAGGCGTTTCTAACAACTGAACCACCAAAGTGCGATCCTGTTGCCACGAAAAATATGTGCGACAAGTTTCTTGGCCCCCTCAATCCTGACATGTTCATACCAAGTTCATGACAGTTCCTCAAAATGCCCCTCTAGATTCTAGATCGTATTTTCAACGGCGTGCCTTTTTTAAGGGGACCCACCATTCTTGGGGGTGTTCTTTTTGCTTGTCCTTAGCACAGCCACACAGGGTGTCCCTTAAAGACACGCAGTTTCAGAGCCCCTCTGAGACGCAAATCGGATGTGCCCGTCCAAAACTTCCCCGAAGAGCGCTTTTAGAGCTTAAAATGTGTGTGCATTTGAATGGGTCCCGCGTGCTTTGGCAGAGTGAGTGATTTATAGCCGATGGTGAGGTGGTTCCAGCTTTTAACCTTCCATGTCCAAATGGTCCGAACAAGTTGACCCCCGCAGGTTCCATGGCCTACCTGAGCCTGGGTATTTGGGAAATTTTGGGTGGTGTCTCGAAACTACTTGAATGGTCAACCAAGTTAGTAGGTTACAACGGTGGTCAGCCAACCTTCATCATAGCAATAGCCCTGGTTATGACCCACCCAAGTAGACCCTCAAAATCATTGGCTTCCTGGTTCTAAGGATTTTCCCTGTTGGTGTCCACTGTGCTTGACCTGCTTCCGTGCTTTTCCTCCAGTTTCCCTTTTCGAACCGCGCAAAACAGGGTTCTTCCGAAAAAAAGAAGAAGAAACAAAAAAAGGAAGGCACCATACCCCGTCCAGATCGGTTTGGGTGCTTTGTTGAGGGTGGTCAACTAAGGTTGATATAAAGGCACGCCTTTTTCCGAGTGCCATGTTGTTCTCTAATGAAACTTGTTCAGACAAACCCATGTCATGTGTATGTATGTGTGTGTGTGTGTTTCCTTGAACCAATGCAAGACGGCTCATGTTCATAATCCATGCCAGTGTGTATATTGCAACATATATTATGCATGCATATCAATGCAGATCGCAGTGGTGCATACCACCAGAGGAGCGAACAATCAGACAACTTGTGCGGATGCTCAGCAAATGCTTATCCAGCACCGAGCTTATCACATTGAGACATGCATGAAGTTGATTTGAATGAAATGAAGATATGCAGAAGCTGTCTCTGGGTCATAAACGTTTTGTCGTACCTGGATTTATTTGTGGGTAGACCACTCAGGCCTGAACAGATGTTGCCAATGAGATGATGTCAGATGTGTCATGCCAGAGGTGGTGTCCTTAATGATTGTCAAAGCAGAACTCCGGGGTGTTTGGTGAATCCAAGGTTGCAGTTCTCTCATGCAAAAAGAAAACGGCCACACAAGTCGGTGCTAAGTCAATCAATACCAAAGACCAAGATGGGGCGATGTCTTTTGAAACATGGATCTTCACTCTTGTTCGCATGCTGTAGGTTTTGATGTGTCTGGCTCTGATTGTTTTTTTCAGGGGGCTGCAAACAGCAACAGGTTTTTGCTACCGTACCGAGGTTGGACAGATCTTGGATCTTTCCAGGCTCCTTGCTTAGCACTTCGACATGTTACTGGTTGTTCAGCGTTTTTATAGCGGAAGCATCCACTCTCTGTGAAAGTGCCGAAACGGAAGGGGTGTGTTTTTGCTGAATCGCCAACGACTTCGGGACTTTCGGGAGTCGAGGCCTCAAGCTGTATGTGGTGAGTCAAGTCGCTTCGCTTCAGGTGAGCCGGTGTGCCGCTGTGACGTCCGGAGCGCGGCTCTGGAAGACATAATTTGGAATTCACCGCTTCATGCGGAAGTGGTATCCAGGCACAGGCTGAGGAACGAGCCAAATCATGCGATCGAAACGGAGTTCGGGTAGAAGGGCCGGAAGCGAGAGAAAGGTCACCTTTCCCTTGTTGCGGCGGGTTAATTCCCAAGGGTATGCCGCTATGAAGAAGTGACTACAGGGAAACGATATGAAAGTAAAAGAGAAAGGCAATAATATCATGTAGGACACATTCCTTCTCTATCATTTGGCCGGAATGGAGTCCCGACCATCAGCTTTGGATATCCGCCCTGACACACTTCTTTACCGTGGGTTTTGGGTAGATGTGATGTGCTCGAAAGACTGCAAACCATAGGGAAGCCTTCAACTTGGTCCAAGGAGAAGCGCTAGGGGTGCAAATCATTTGGCTGCTTGGTTGGATCTTTCAACGTTAGGCCACCAATGAGCAAAAACACAGAATTTGTTTTTGGTCCAGGGGAATATCCGCCACACAGTTTTGTAGGAATCCGGGTGTTTTGGCTGAGGAGTTGCATTATGCATATTACTGGTTGGTCGCTGAACTTGGGAGGCACATAGGGGACTCTGTGAAGTTCCCACGAAACCAGGTGAACACTGATTTTTTCATCACAATCAGATAAGAAACGCCTAGTGGAACCTCTCTGCCTTGCCAGACTTAGCTTGCCTCTTGAACATTTTGCCTTTCTGGCTCTCCGTCGTGTTCTGTTTCAACCAGTTGTTTATTTGCTGGGGCCGCAGGATTGGACAATCTGTGGATTGCTTGAGCCAATCAATGCATGCAACTTGGTCTCGCTCGCGCCTGTGGAATTTGTGAAACGGCCGTCGATCAGAGTCTGCTGGCCGCGTTGGAATTCAGAGGTGCACTGCTTGAAAAGAGGTCTCATGATTGTGGGAAATGCATTTGTTTTTACAAAACAGAACAAACAAATTAAACAACTTTCTGCGATACACATAGTAAAGTGGTCGCAAAGATGGGAAACCACTAAAGGGTGCCACAGAAAGGCACGAATGTCTGGGAATTTGCATGGAAAGACCGCAGGATAGTACAGAAGGGACTTGGAGGGAGGGAACATGTTGAGTTGGCAGCACAAGCAACCATAGCCAGTTATTAATCAATGAGCCCCTATCCGACTTTGAACGAACTGTAGTGATACACCATAAACCATGGTTGTAGATGGGGCTACCATGATTTTGACCATGCTACAACATGTCCGCTTTTACTCTGTCACGGTTTCCCTTCTAACACCATCCACGGGGTCCGCAATCTTAGGACCCTCTGGGCCAAGAATCTCTCAAGACCAACAGTTGGAATCAACTCATGGTAAAAATTGTCCCTGATCTCAGAAGGAAAATGAACACGACTGGTCAACATGGATCATTGCTTCGCACCAAACACGCCTCCATGCACGACCCATGCACGACCCAGCAGCCTCCAAGGGCTGGTTTTTCTCATCACCCGGTTGGCCCCCCGTAAACTTGGGTCTCCGATCCCAAAACGATTTTAGATTTTAGGGTAGACTAGTTGTGGGAACAGAGTCTTAAAGTATCATGTTCTGTCCCCCGGATGTGGGCCAAGACAAATGCGTTTTGGACACTCGGGGTGGTTCTTTTGTGTTGTTCTTTGTTGCTTTAAGAAGGAAGTTTGAGCTGTGTAGTTTCCCCTGTGTTGTTCCCAATGGTTTTCAGAGGGATGGTCGTCAAGGTCTTTCATCAAAAACCGCAGCGGATGTTTGGCGGCAAGTTTTTAGCATCGCGCAGCACCTTTAAGAAAAACACGTAAACCCATTGATGACCTCTTACGAGGAAATCAACTGCCCAAAAGGCCACTGCACTGACCACTGCACTGGGCCGAATTTCTCATTAACGAGCGATGGGGGAAGCAACCTGAGTTTGGTTTTGCCAAGCTGCCAGATCCAAGTGTTCTGCAGGGGGTCATGAGACTAATTCAGATGCGCAACTGCCAGGCTCAGGCTTGGCAATTGGACTGCTTGGACTAGTAGCGCAATGCAAAGCACAGCTTGGGAGGGCAATTCCAATTCTGTCCCAGGCCGACTTCGATATCAAGGGTGCCACAGAAGGATCCGTCGATATGACTTGGCTTCCATTTTGAGCTGGTCTCCCACAGCCCCCTAGCTTCTTCCATTTGCGTAAGAATATGTAAGCCCCTTTTGGTTTGAAAGGGCATCCATCACGTCTGGAAATATGTTGCAGCCAACAAAGGGTCTGGACACCAACTCGCAGGTTTCAAAGCACCTTGACAATTGGCTGGCTGTTGGGGGAGCCAATGACCCCTTCAGCCAGGACCAAACGAGCCAACCTGCCAGACTTGTCCCTGGGTTCCCGTAAATTAAGCCCGTGTCCTTTCGTGTGTCCTTTTTTCTTCTTGGTCTCAAGTTGCTCATTGGTTGCAACTTGGTGCCACCCCCAAACCCCCAACAGCAAGTGCTCTTTACCCTCCCACCAGCTAACGTGGAAGCGCACAGACCCCTGTAGAAAGACTACTTTTCTCTTGGAAAGGGCCTTTTTGCACTTCCATGTTAGTTGGTGGGCGGGATAAACCCGGCCGAGTCGGATTCCACCAGCTGTTGTGTTCCGAGGCTAGGTCCCTCAGTAGTGCCCTTTCTCACCCCTTTTTTGGTTGGGGGGGGAACCCCCTACTAAAATCAACAAATCAGAAAAAAACAAGGTGGTACCAACTTATTATAACCTCTCAAATCTGGACCTAGAAGAAATGACCCAATCTCTGGACCAGTTGAGGGCGACCGCTTGTGTTCTTCGGGCTTCGGGCTTCGCCATGGTGTCGCCCCACCTGCTCCGCGACCTGCGGCTTCTGCACCGAGTGCTCTGCCCCAACGCGCCGAAGGCTTCGCAGAGCTCCACGCTGGGCGCACCTCGGCACCGCGCAGAGAGACGGAGGGAGGGGGCCAAAGCGGCCGGAGCGGAGTTTTTCCACTCAGTGGTTCCTAGCCATCCGATTCCTTAGCTTTTTAGTTTTCTAGCTTTTTAACTGGGGATTTCCATTTAACCTGCTAATTTTTTCAGGAGGCCCTTTCAAAAGTGTTCTAGGCCCAGTTGCCCACTGGGTTGCTTCCTTTTTCTCAACTTTTTTTGGGAAGGGTTCCGGTTAAAAACTCCACCAACCACAAAAAGGATGCCGATTCTTTTTCCCCTGGCCACTGGGCATGTGAGCAGGTGTCCCTCTGCCTTGTGGAACCTCTCGCTTCCCGAGCAGTCTAGTGGCACTCAAAGAGCTTGGCTACTTTTTGTTGGCCCATCCACCCAGGAAGTGAGTTGTGCAACGTAGGGTTTTAGGGCTAGGTTCTGTGATAAGAAAGAACCTGTGAAGTGAGAAAGTCGTCATGGGGATGACCCATAGTGTTGCAGAAAGGCTGATATTCGACATCTCTGAAGCGAGGACCAGCGCCCAAAACGCCCCGGCCATTTAGTAGGTGGGTCCTACTGGTTTAATTAAATAAGCCAAAATAAAAACCTTGGCCATGTTAGTAGAACCAAAAGTGAATGGGTGAAACGTGCGCTGCTCATATGGCCGCTCAAAATTGATTCGTGGACAGGAATCCCCGAAAAAAATGTCCAGCATTTGGGGGTCGCTGGGGTCATGAATCCGACTGTTTTTGTTTGGGGGTCTCTTCTTGGGGGGGGTCATTGTCAAAGTCAGTATGTGGAATCGGTTGTTTCTTGTTAACCTATCAGGGTTTGACTTTGATCACAGGCACGGGGCCAGTTAAACCAACCCCAAAAAGGGTACTCGCAAAAGTGTCCGTTCACGTTGACCCCAGATTCATCAGAGCCCCAGTTCCTTAATACTGTGGATGGCGGCGAAATCCATTTCGCACCGTCCAAAAACCCGCGCGTCTGCCATGTACACTTCTCATGGTTTCGTTTCGTGCGAAATGGATGTGGTAACCACCCACCGGGGTGTGAGTCAAGTGTACGGTGCCCAAAATGAGTTGCCCTCGGCGGAAACAAGGCTTGACTTTGACCCACACCCATATGGCTGTGGCTCAAAAAACCGGTACCAAAATGGAACCCTGGTAAGTGGAAACATGGACCGAAACCTGCGGTTTGCCCCTCCTGCTGAAAATTTTGAGCCACACCCATCATGTTTCATCCCCGAGGTTGGGCCAAGTTGTTGGGCCACGTAAGACTTGTCTCATTCTCATTCCCTACTCATCGCACCAGCAAGAATATCCCACCTGATGCCATTTATACCACTACCAGTTTATGCCGCATAAATATCCAGCTGGTGGTTTCCTTTATTCGAGAAACCCAAAACACTTCATTCCCTAGCTATCACACCAGCAAGACTTTGAAAGAAAGATGTAAGAGCCTAAATTTTCCACTACCAATCCAAAAAAAATGAAGCCATCGACCCATTTCTTTCCCCGGGCGCTCACCACTCGCCCACGAGGACCTCTTCGAGCCCGTCTTCGCGCAGTCCACGCGCCGCGCCTTTGAGGCCTTGGAGCTCCTCTGCGCGGAGCTCGCCGGCGCGGACGATCCGGCGCGATCGCCGCGGCTCGGCTCACACGCGAAGCGGGCGCTGCGGGCGGCCCTCTGCCGGGTTGGTGCAGGTTCTGGCGGTTGGTTGGGAGTTGAATTCGTGGTTTTGGCCGGTGTTTGAGGTGTTTGGGGGTTGAAGGTAGTTGTTTGGAGTTGAATCTTGGAGTTGTGTGGCTGAATTTTTCGGAGTTGAATGTTTTGGGCTGAATTTGTGTTTGTTGTTTTGATCTCTCTTAGGTTATGACTGGATTCGTAACTCAGGTGTCAGCTGTTGTCCCACACAGCTGGATCTGTTTTTTTCTCGGCTGTCTCGAGGCTGGCGTCTTTGGAGCCCTTCGAGACCGCGTCCGCGAACCTGGGGGTGCGAGCCAGGCGCGGTCAGAAGGGACGCTGATTGGGGGCCGCTGATGTCGACGGAGGAATTGTTTACCCTCCAAAAACCTAGGTTTCCCAAAACATGCCCTACAAACAGAGCGCATTTGGAGTGGAAAAACGGGGTCTGGTGTTCCCACCCTCCCGAAACCCACAAGTTGCCCCTAGCAGTTGGGGGTATTGATCAACCCCCACATGGAAGCTGCACCGGAACCGGTCCTCTTACAAGGCATATATGGTCTTCCAGCAACCCCTGAGCAGGTTCTGCCTTTGTTTTGGGAGCTTAAACCTATTGATGGGGAGTGCTCCTCCAAATGTGGTCTGAACCCCCCCACTAAAAGGGGCAATCAAAATCAACCAGGGGTTTATGCATGCGGGTTTCCCATGACAACCATGGTAAGTGGGGGAATTGCGGTTAGTCTCCATTGTTTGTTTTCAAAGCTATTTTATACATTCGCGTAGATCAGGGAGAAAACAGAATCAATAATTATTACGCATCCACCCTATCGCCCCTTGAAAGAGTCTGCTGAGGAAGGTTTTGGTTGCTGAAACCATTTACTGTTAGCTCCGGACTAATCAATATTGACTTAGGGTTGATCCCAAAAATGTGTTACTGACTCCCTTCAATTCCATTTGGGTATGGCTGAGTTTAAGAGCAGCTGCGATTTGTGCCACACTGCAGTAGAACCACATGCATTCCAACATGTTTTTCCCGATGTTCCATACCTATCGGAAAACCACGAGCAAAGTTATTTCTCATCTCCAACCCGTTTCAGAAATGTTTGTTGGACACCACTTGAGGTTTTCAACCAAACAACTGTTGGAGGGTGCTGGTTAAGAAAGAAACGGTGGAAACCCCGAAGGGCCCTACTGAAATTGGATCGGCGTACTTGGGTGTTCGTTGCCAAGTGAGTAAGTTGTGGGTAACCTAGGTTGCAACCCACTTACAAGTTCCCCCGGTTGAATGTGGGGTTAACCTTGTTAGCGAGTTTTATTGAAATCGCTACGCGATCCGCCGACGCCAGTGGACAGTCCCCCATTAACAAACTGCAGGGTGCCTCAAGTTTGGGGTCAGGAAAAAGACGTCTTTTTGCCTATGTCATTTTTCATGTCCCAGATGCTGAGGATGCTGGAAATGCAAGGGATGCAGCCACACAACTTACAAGAACAAACCCAATCTTCACGCTCAAGATTTTAAGACTTTCACACACGCGACATTGACCAAACACAGAAAATACGAGAGTTGTGGGGAATGCTGGGAATGCAGCCGGCTAGCCACAAAAAAGTGCAAAACACCAAGGTTTTTCAATATTTCCCAAAAGCAGCCATCAAAAACCGATACTAGCAACCCCCCTCAAATACCCTAAGAATGGACTTCCAAAAGCACGATAATGCAGGGGATGTTTCGCAGTAGCTGCTCCGTACAGGTGGGGAATTGCAAGAAAACTTGTTTTTTTGCAAATTTCAACAGTTCCTCAAGTGTCACTGCACTTGGCTTCACCCAAACCCCTAACAGGCCAATTCCAACATCGCTTGAAACAGCACAACGCCACTAGTATCTGCAAAAGAAAGAGACAAATTCATGGGAACAAGATAATCCTGATGATGCTGGGGATGCAGATCCTGCGCGTCCGGGGGAAACCCCCCCCCCCCTAGAGACCTAGGCGAAACGCAGATTTCTAGCACGAAAGACCCAAAAACACTGGAAAAATACAGGGTTTTGGACACGTAGCACAGCATGCCCAAAAAATAGCAGTCCCAAAAGCCGAAGGCTTTGATAAGAGATTCCGAAGGAAGACCAAGTTGCGGACTGCCATCTACACGCTCGACTGGCGTCGGCGGATTACCAAGGTCAACCAGCTACTAACTTAGCGAATCAAACATCCAAGTTGCTTCTCATCAACAGCGGTTCGGCCCGTCTTGGGGGGAGCCGGAACCCGGCCCTTGAGAACCAGAGTCTGATCCAGTGTAGGTAACCATGATTTGTGTTTGTCTATGGCAGGTCTTTGGTGTGACCGGATTGCGCCTTACGGTGTTTTTATGTACAATGGCAGGGTGTGAGAGCACACCCATAAAAGCGGCCACTGCGAGGAGCCCGCTGCAGCCGGGGCAGTTGGTGTGCTTCTACCCTGGCCGGATCTTTACCTCTGAGGCGCTGGTGGGGGATCGACATGGAACTCACAGTGGAAAGCTGAAGCTTTTGTGGGAGAAACCAAACCCAGTGGACTCATTTACCTGGTAAAGGTAGCTTAACCAAGGGAACTGCCCAAAAGCTGGTTTCCTAACATTTGGTACAACTCAGTTCTCCAAAGCAATCCCGACCTTTTCACCGTTTTTGGTTTTCCTATGTTGGTTCACTTTTGGTCACACCAAAAGGAGATCGCCTTTATTTCCAGGTTCTAAAAGGCGGAGTGAGACAAGGGAAGCCACAAAAAGACGCCAACAATTTCAGGGCACCGGATCCCGGTAGTCAAAGCTATGGCCGGCCGGATTTCGGACCCTGCCGCCTTTGGAAGGCCCTCGTTGGCATCGAATTTTGGTATCTCCAAAAAAAGGCGCACCCCTCCAAAATGACAACAACGGGGTTGTCCTTTTGGCTTCCTAAAGAAACCTCCCAAAAACGGGTACCAGCAAACACTGACCCAGGTCAACCTTATATTCGTAAGTCCCCAGTTTCTGGATGTACCTTTTTGGGGGGGTTGAGGAAACGTCAGAGCTTGGAGGGAAGGCGTTGGCTTTTGTCCCCAGCGACAAATTTTAGTCATTTGCCCAAGGAAATCCGCCAAAGGCCCACCTTTTCTGGCCAGCTCTTTTGGTTAATCATGAGTATCTCAAGAACAACTTTTGAATGGGCATTCGTTTGTCTCCAGTTGAGTTGGACGGAGGCCGGGAATCAGAAAAGCTGACGAGAAAACTACGGGATTTAGATATCGGCAAAAAGTCATGGCAGGGCGGGCGCACCATTCCTTGTTCTTGGTTCACGTGTTTCATGGATTTGTTGTCTTGGTTCATGGTGAGTGGAACTGCAAAGAGCATTCGCTTGGGCGCGGTGATTCCAAAAGCAGCTTAGGCGCAGCTCCCGCCGGGAGATCAACTCTTTACCAACGAGTACGACAACATCCACCTGGCCCCTCGGCCCCTTGTCCTCGCTCGGGACGATATCGAGTTTGAAGACTCCAGTTCTTTGAGCCGTTTGCGACGTTTTTTGGAGGGCCCTCTGAAAAAGCAACGACCAAAGCACAAGTGCCTTTGTTTCGACCTTTTTGGAGCGGGACTCCCCTGAATTTTCCCTAAGAACCTGGGAAAACTCTCCAAGTGTGTGTTCATGATTTCGCAGACCGGTTTGTGTAGCACCCATTCGAAGCTCCAAGGCCATTGCCAGGTTTTTTGCCTCCAGGTTTTGCATGACGGCTTCCCCCGGTTCCCCCCACAGCAGAAAGCAACGGCACTCAGGCCTCAAAGGAAAGAACGGAGGCCTCAATGGGTGGCTTCTTTTTGGCTTCGGCAAACCAAAACGGGGGGGCCACAAAAAGACACACCGATGTGCGGGGGGGGGGGGGAGGGTCTGTTCTGGGTGGCTTAACGTATTTTGCAGGGAGACCCAATAACAACCGCCCCCGAACATGAGGGGTCAAACTTGGCCTGACTGCTGGGAAATTGAAACACCACTTTCCTCTAAAAGGGGAGCCTCTGATTATAATGACGGGATATTCCATTGTGGTTGAGTAGCCCACCTCTCAGGAGGGCTAGAGAGGGTGCGTGCCCCTGGAGCTCACTTTGGTTTCCCTGTCCAGAAAGAACGTCAAGGTTCCAAAATGATGACCTGTCATTTCCAGGTCCCACCAGGGCAAGTGAGGTAGTTATGTTGCTTTGCCCTTACCAACCTGAGGCCGCACCAACTCCAAAAAACATGGTAATCCCAATTCAAAATGCACGGCTACGTGCCCCGGAGTTGTTTACCTTGGGAAATCAGATTCGGGTGTTTAAAAAAATGGAAGGGAACCTCTCCAGACAAGTGGTCCCCTTTTGGTTTCCTTTCAAAACCATGCTTTTAAAGGGGTCCCCTATTTTGAGACATCCACACAGGGGTCCCTATACTTCCTTTTGTGGTGCGTTTTAAACATCACCTTTTGGCCCGTGAAAGTTTGGCGAGTTTGCTCTTTGGTGGCGGTGACGTTCGGAAACTATCGGGAGCCCTGCGCGTTTTGCGGGTACTTGGATCCAAGTAGCCTTTTTCCCAATGGGGCTGAATTTCCTTTTTTGAAGCTCCGGAGACCAAGACATATCTAGCTCCACCTTTTATTTGGCGTGTAAGAGCCGTGGAGACCGAGTCGCATCCAGCTCCACGTGGGGCGCTTCAGGCTCGCGTCACCGCGTCTGAGTCGAAAGCCGAGGACGGCAAGGCCTGGTACCCGGCCGCCTGGCGCCAACATGAAGCGCTGACCCAGCGGCCGCCGCCGCATCTCTGGCCGGGACCCGTCGACCCGTCGGGCGGTTTTCGCGGGTCCCGTTGGGTCGGGTCCCATCGGGTCGCGTTGATTTTTCCCTGCCCGCAAAGAAGGACATGCGCACTTTAAGCGGTGCATGTCCTTCTGAAAAAAAAATCCCCGGTGGAACTGTTGTTTGGTGGTTTGGATTGGTGGTTTGGTGGTGAAGTCCCATGTTCCCTCTAGAATCAGGGGTTTAAATCCAATTCATTCCAATCCAAACCACCAATTAGCGGTTGTTGAAAATACAGCAGACCCATGTTGCCAAATGGGAATGATACTGGTCAAAGACGTCAAAGCCCACACCAGTGGCACCAGCTCTCGGATGGATGCAACCCAAAAACTGGTTGATGAACCACCTAGCTGCGAAGCGGATTTTGTCCATCCCACAGTGGGTGCAACTTTTTAGGGAACCCCAAAATGGTTTCGGCTTCCTTTTGGTTTCCCCTCAAAACTACCATAAAAGGGGCAGCCTCGGAGAAAAAAACAACTCTAACATGTTTCCAGTTTTGGGGTGGTTCACAGGGAAATCAAAAGCCGGGTTGGAGAGTCCCACCCTCATATTTCCGCTGGTGAAAACATCGCCCCTTGCCGCGTTGAAGTCTGCTTCCTTGGGTGACGTGTTAAACATGTTTTTTTTTTTTTAAGGGGGAGCCCTGAAGGTGGCGGGGGGGGGGCGTTTGCGGCGTTTGCCTGTTCTGCCTGCTCACAGAAAGTGCCCCTTGCCCAATTTTAGGATGTGCAAGCCACTTAAGTGAGTCTAGCTCCATGGTATCACTGGGAGGACTGGGGTTGGCTGACTTGTAACCATGATTATCTCCCATTTGCCATTGAACACCCAAGCACAGGCTTACTTTGCGAACACTGTTTGGAGGGCCCACGATTTTTTCAGTTGTGGGGGAGGCTCCGGGTGAGCCTCGGGGCAGTCTCACTTTCCAAGTTTCTGAACGTTTCAGTTTTGGGAAGACAACTTTAGTTGCAAACAACAAGCCCAGTGCTTCCAGTTGCCACTAAAGTAGGTAACCAGGTTTTTCTTGACCTGCAGGTGTTACATGGTGGTTTCCCCTGGTTACCTGCTATAGTGGTGACTGGAAGCACTGGGAAGGTTAGGCTTCGCACTCAGGAAGTGATTTGCCGTTCTGACTTTCTGGAGAGGTTCAAAGGTCAAAGGAAAGAAAGGATGCTGCCATTCACCTACCTTTGGGGAAAACCAAATAGCTGTTCAGATCTTTCTGTTTCTTCAAGTTTAGGGATTGAGTTAGGAAGAACTTCATCTCCATCTTGATCTCCTTCCGGAGCCATGGTAAGCCCAAGCATTTGCGGGTTTCCTGTGCCCAGTTGCGGATCCCTGTTACTCTCTGGAGTCTCCCCCAAACAACCAGCCGACATATTTTCTAAGTTCACATTTTGACCCACAGCCATCCCAACTGAGTCAAATTTCGCGGAGGCATGGGAACCGCCTGGCGGTGGGGAACTTGCTGAACCACCCGCAGCCCACGCAGCTGCCACTTGCTGGAAAAGTTCTGCACACCGCGAAAGAAACCTGAGCGAATTTGAGTGTGATGTGTTGGGGATTCGGAGCCCTCCAAAGAAGACAAAATGGCAAACCACAAAGCAAAGAAAAGAGGTGCCCGCAAAAAATGGCACCCAAAAATGGGTAAAGTGTGTTTCCCACAAGGGGTACCCTCAAAGAAAGACGCACACATTTGGGTATCCCTCCATCACGCCATCCCTTGCCCCCCAAAAAGGGAAAAAGGATGCTCTGGAAGTCAACATTAGGCAACCAAAAGTGTCCAACTGCCCGAAAATACAGATACAGCGCAATAGGTGAAGCCGCCAGTGAAAGGAAACGCCACGAATCGCCGGTGAAACTGCCCTGGCAAGCACTCACTCCCTGAGTTCCGTTTCGGAAATTGAACCTTTTGGTAAGACCATGTTTGTGGTAAGCAAACAGCTCAGACTTTTCTTTGGCCCATCCACTCAGGGTCGTTTATGGCGTTTTCCACAACCCAGGCGCTTACACACGCACCCCCGGTTTTCCACTGGTGTTTGATAGGTCAAATCAAAATTGACACCCAGTGCTTCCAGTTGCAAATTCTGCTGTAGGTTGCCAGGGTTTCTCGCCGGGTTTTACACTCAGCGGTCCAATGCCGACCTTCTCACCTTTTGGTGTTCCTATGTTGGTTCATCTTTAGCTACTGCCAAAGGTGATCACCTTTTATTCCGGATCCCTTGACCAAGTGAGTGCATGATAATTTCACGTAGCTACCTAGAAGGGCTTGCCTAGTTAGGGCCTACTTGGACGTTCAACCAACTCAGTAAGTTGGTAAGTCGCTTATAACCATGGTTAGGGGACTAACCCCAGTTTCCCACTTATCACCATGGTTATAATCTACCTGGACCTCACACCACCCAGATTGATTAACTATTGCAACCCACAAATTATGGTTGGTGAACTTCCCCTTTGAAAGGGTGGTTTGACGGTCCAGGTACTTGCCTGACGTTGGTTGCACCTCCAAGTAGACCTTTTGGACACAGATCGATGGCATGTCCATCAATAATAGGATCACGACCTGATCGGCTCCTGGTTTGAGCGTCCTAAGAACCTCCAAGTTCTGCCTGGAGTCTCCTTGTGACTCTTCAAAAATGGTTGGTCATTACCCAAAATAGTGGTTGGTCATTGACCGGGTCAGAAGGAGACTCCAGGTGCACGGCCGACTTCTCTTGGCGCCTCGGGCGCTTGGCGCCCGGCGCGGAGGCGCTTGAGACGCGTCAGGCCCAACGTGGCGCCCATGGCCTTCGCGTGGCCGGGCTGGCAGCAGCTGGGCATCGAGTCCCCGGCCTTCTGGGCGCGCTTGGTGCCCCACGTGGAAGTGGGAGACAACGGCAGGCGGGCTGAGGGGTGAGGGCTGAGGAGTGGGGAGGTGGTTGGGTGGGGTGAAGTGGTGGGTCCGGTCCGGTCCGGTCAGGTCGGGTCGGGTCGGGTCGGGCCGGGTCGGGTCGGGTGAGATGAGACGGGGTGGTTGGGTGTGGGGGTGGGGGGAAATGGGGGGGTCGGTGTGAGGTGGGATGGGGTGGTTGGGTGTGGTGTGGGTGTGGAGTCTATGTTGAGGCGTTTGGATGCGTAATCTATCACTACTGGAAATGCCTGTTTCATATTTTTCCGAGGGACGGATGAGGAATCGCGAGGTTCTCAGTTGACAGAAGCCCGACTCCTTGCACTTTGAACCCGTAGCCCAGCCCAGGAATCCAATTCTGAATATCGGAGGGCCAGATGTTCCGTTCGGATGGAACTTGCGATAGGCAGGGAATGAGAAATGGAATGAACCGTTTTGAGAGTCCCTTAAATTACAGGAAATCAGCATCCGGGATGGCGTTTCTTTCGGCGTCATTCCATTGTTCATTCCATGGAATGAGCAGTATTTCAAGGTGCTTACATCTTCAGATTCCCAAAAACCTTGGCCCAACCAAATCCAGGGATCAAACATGACATGGCTGCGGAACCAAAACCAAACCGGGGAAAGGCCCCAGATTTCAACCGACAGCCGACTCGGGACTTTCAGAAGCCTGGGGAGCCCTTTGGTGAAGCAACTTGACTTCACTCGGATGGGTTGTCCTATTTGGTTTTTGGGGTGTTGGGGGTTCTGTTCATGGTTCTGGGGCCATGTTGTTTTATAGGCCTTTGGGGTTCTCTTCATGATTCTTGATTGCTATTGGTTTGGATCTTAGGACTTTAAACTTTTCGAGAAATCGAGGGGGTGTCCACTAAACCCACAAAAGTTTGTTTTTTGGCGGAGGGGTCAACAGCAACCAAGTCTTAGGCTGCAAAAGGCAAAGTGTTTTGGAAGCCCATACCAAGGGTTGGAAAGATACTCTCCGAAATCAAGATGTCGGTACGGTACACAGCAGCCCTCGCTTGCGCTTCCGTGTTGGTTGATTGGTGGGGTTGTAACTTGTTCGCAAAATTGGCTGTGCTACCCACTGACGAGCAAAAGCATTGCGCTTCAAAAAGCTTTGTGGCTCTTTTTGCCTTTGGGTTGCGCTTCATGTTTCCTTTCAACCATTTGCACCACATCCTCCGCTCGTAGCTCGCTCCTGTCGACGGCTTCCTTACGGACTGTCCACTTCCATTTGGTTAAGAATATGTGCGTATTTTCCCCTGTTGGGCTTAAAGGGAATCTATCACTACTGGAAATATTTACAATGGGACTTCAGCAAATGGAGGTCCACGAAAAGTCGAGGTGAGCCACAATCAACACCCGGGTAGATGAAGGTTAGTAAGGGCCGATCCCAGCCATAGATAGCTGCAGCCGCCTTCTTAATTCTTGAAGCATGGTGCTGGGTTCACCATTTGTGTACCGGGGTGTGATTGTGGCTAAGGTGGTTTTTGCTGCAGGCCTTTTTGCCCGGTCCAAAGGACTGCCTAGGCCCCCCAGCCTCCAGCAATTGGTGCCCGACCGACTTCTCGCCGTCTTTTTGTTTGGTTGGGAGATTCAGCTCCCCTACTAAAATCGACTGCAGAAAAAAGGTTGGAACCCTTACTTTTGATGTTCCCCTGTCGGTTTTTAGAAGGAATCGATTTCACTACTGAACATATTTTCTCATTTTTTCCAGGGGGCGAAAAAGCAAATGGAAGGTGCTCATTCTTGAGAGCGATCTGCGAAACCCGTAAAACGCGGCGCGCTTTCTTTGGCTCAGGGTGGCAAGAACGCCCTCTGGAGAGGCTGGTCAGAAGGAGCCTCGGCGGTGAGGGAAGGTTTATTCAGACCTGGCCCTGGAAAGGGCACCCGAGTGGTCAGTGGTGCCCTTTTTTGCCTTTTTGGCGGGGACGGGTTCCCTTTAGCTGACAACATACTCCTGCCATTTTTTTAATTCATGCTTAGCCCTTCCCCTTTGTGGGACGGCCTGATTTTTTCCTTCGGCCAGGATGTGGGCTCCACTCACTCCAATTGGGGGGGTGGGGTCTTGAGCAATGTGGCAAAACCAACCGAGAAAGGATGCCCTTTTTCTCCCCTGGCCACTGGGCATGTCAGGCGGCAGATAGTACTCCAAGCCCTGTTGGTATAGATGTTGTTGCTTTGGTTTGGGGTGGGGGGTTCCCTTCCGACATCCCTTTGGGTGAGCAACCAGGGAAAATGAGGCAGGTAGACCTTCAACAGGTGTCTTTGGTGGTCTCTCTCACATGCCATGTTCCGGCAAGAAGTGCGGTGTGCCAAGCAAAAAAAACGCCTCATGCAGGTTGGTCCACCCAGTGGAGTTGGTAGATGGCATTCCAGCCCGTGTTGGTTACTCGTAATCCCTATCCCTATCTACAGCGCGGACTGATGCCATTTGCCGACTTTCGCTGATTTTTTGTTCGCGCCCTCCGACCTTCGGGCATGCGTGGGATCAAATGTGAAAGGTTAACCAGGGCTCTGAAGATATGTGTCCCCTTTTCGTTATGTCTGTTTGGTTGGATCTTAGGGAAAGAGGGCGGATTTTCAAGTTGAATCACAAAAAAGTGAACAACGTTTCGTAGAGGCGTCAACGGCGACCAAGTTTGTTGTTGGTTTAAGCTTCCCTTTGCTGTGCGGCATATGTTTGTTATTTTCCCGTATTGGTTTTTAAAGGGAATCTATCGCTACTGGAAGTAATTATGTTCACGTTTTCCAGGGGACTTAAGCAAATCGTAGCCAGATATCCCCTTTTTGGCCAATTGGGTGAGTTTTCGTCGGTGATGTTTTTGGGTTGTAAATAAAGGGAATCCTGTCAAACCAAACGGGTTGTCGTGGCATTTTCCAAAACCCCCGATTTTCCACCGGTGTTCGACCATCAGGCGTGTCAACTTCCTGGGCTTCCAGTTATTAAGTTTATAATGTGTTTTTTCTTTGTACACCTTATCCCCTTATCATCATGAGGTCATCCTGGAAGTATGGTAGCCATTCTTTCTTACCATCACGCTCAGTGGTCCAAAGCCGACCTTTTGACCTATTTAATGTCCATCTTGAGTCAGGACCCCCCAAAGGTCATAATTAACCTACATACTGAGTCGGTTGAACATCCAAGCATGTCCATGTTCCGTTCGTTTGTTCCACTGGTTGTTCCATATGACGATCGGAAGGCGTCGGAAGGCCGCTTTCCTTTTGGGGATGGGTCACCGATCCGCAAGAGGGTAGATTCCACAGGTCCAACCAGTTATCCACAGCAAATTGACCCGATCCGACCTTTTGGGTTAACCCTATTTTGGGTTGATGTTTGGACCAAGAGGTGGTCACCTTGCATTTCAAGGTCCCTAAAGGACAAGTGAGCCACTTGCTCAAAACACGGGTAAATGAAGGTTTGTAAGGGACGATCCCAACCATAAATGGCTGCGCATATCCGCCTTCTTAGTTCTTGAAGCCTGGTTCTGGGTGCACCATTTTTGTACCGGGTTTTGACTATGACTAAAATGACCATACATGGGTACCTTTTCGCATCTGGTGGGAAACATTGTCTTTTTAGGGCTTCTCTCCAATGATCATCCCATGTATATCGGGCCTTCAGGCCGTTTTGTTCAAACCACCAGGGGGCCGCAGGTTTTAGCCCATGCTCGATTTGCCAGGGCTTGACCCATTTTTGGAACCTATTGCTTTGACCCACAGCAGTGAGAAAGCCTTCAGGCTGTTTTTTTTTCTTGACTGCTAATGGGTTGGATCTTTAGACTCTACCTGTTCGGGAAATCAAGTTGGGTTTTTCCACTAAACCCACAAAGAGTGACAAGCTCTTTGCCGAGGGGTCGTTGCTTTAGACCCCCCGCGTCACCGAGGCCACCTTCCCGGCGTGGCCGCACCTGGGCCTCGCCTTCTTCGCACTGCGCGAAGTGGAAGCGGAGGAGCTGCTGCTGAACTACCGCCTCTCCCCGCCCTTTCCCAGCGTCTGGGCGTCAAGGGCCCAAGGGCCCGGCCGCTCACTGCGCAGATGCCGATTCCCCCCCCCACAAAAAAAGGAGGCAAGGGTTCATCATTTTGGTCATATACCCCTGCAGGTCATCGATTTGGGGTTCCCGTTGTTTGGAGATACCCAATCCGCCGGATCAAGATGAAAACCAAACTTCACGAACTTCAGTGGCTTTCCTGTCGGGTGTTCCTTTGAAACGAACCAAATGCGCTACACTCAACAAAAGACACTTCCAATGAAGATACCGACTGAGAGGGGAACCCCCCCTAAACAAAAAGCAACAAACAACAGGGGTGATCGAAATGGGGTTCACACAGCGTGGGTCAAAATAGGTGGAACGCGCAGTGTCCCTTTCAAGCAACCTGAAGCCGGGTATCCTCAAAAACCCTGCAGAAACGAATGGATGTAATTCGGGACCCTTTGTTGACTTCATCTAGCTGGGGATTCATGTCTACCAAGCACTTTTGAGGTGGCTCCTGTTTAAATGTCATAGTTGGGCCCCCGAAATGATGGGTTCGCCCCAACACCACACAGAGTTCCTGGGCGTCCTGGGGTTGCAGTTCGGGGTGAAAATTCGGATCCCCTTACACCTGAGGTGGGTTGGCCGGCTGGCTTGGTGGGTGGGTGCAAAGGACGCACCAACTAAAACCAATTGCGTTTGAGCTCTCAAATTCGCTTGCCCGTTGGCAAGCCTTGAGCTTTTGCTTGGCTGGAATCTTCATCATCGCCTGCAGCATTCACGTGGACGTGTTGGGCCAGAAAGAAGCAGATAGAATTGAAGTGCAACAAGAGCGTGAGACTTGTTCAGTGAAGTCAGCGGGGTCAGACCGGGCAGACCGCAAATTGGAATGCCTTGGATGGCACAGGGAAACCAAGAGGACACTGACCTGGACGAGAGACCTTCCATCTGCTTAAGAATATTTGTTATTGGCCCTTGTTGGTTTCAAAGGGAATCTACCACTTCCGGGGGGAAAAAAAAAAAAAACAATGTTTCTTTTTTTCCAGAGGGCTTAATTAAGCAAATAGAAGAAACTCAATTTGAGAAACTCTTCAATTTGCTTGTTTTGTGTGAGCTCCTTGCTACAAATAGTCCAGGCCCAAAGAGTTCCAGTTCTTTTTTGTCCGTTCGTGTCGCGGGTTCCAACTGTGTCACCGAGGCTGGTACTCGCCCGTAGACGAGGATGCCCTGGACGCGGAAGTGGAGCGGCACCTGTGAGCGCGAAAAAGGAGATGCCGAGCGGGCAAATGCTGCAGAGCTTCCATTTGGTTAAGAATAGTTCTTTTTCCCCCTGTTGGTTTTAAAGGAAATCTATCACTACTGGAACTATTTTTATTTTTCCCAGGGACTTAAGCAAATGGAGGAGAATGTTCACAGTCTTCGATGGAGCAGTGTCCAGACAACATCCGTTCGCACCACTTTGACACCATGAAAAACACGGTGCTCGTCGGTATTTACAGGGGAATCAACTCAGAAACCAGGGTTTCTGAGTTCGGTGGTGCGTTGTATGGATTGCGATTTCGACCATCCACGGGTTTTTCTCAACCCCCTCTGGGTGTGTCGTGTTTGAGTCGGTACCCTTTCTAGGTCCCCCAGTAGTGCCCTTTCTCACCGTTTTGTGGAGGAGGGTTCCGCTAATTACTCAAATAGACAAACAAGAAAAAAGTTGGTACCCTTATTCTGACCTCTCTACTGCAGAACCTAGCTTGGATGATTCCTGGAAAACCTCTTTGACTTTTTGGAAACCTCTCTACTGGAGGACTAGCTTTTGACACCAACGAAAAACCCAACGCCAGTGTTCAAGGGAACTACGCCGCTCCGAGGCCTCCAAAAGCATCTTCCTGATGCCGAAGGACTCTGGGTGGAAGCTGAATGTGTGGGTGGCTCGTTTTTTCTTAAAGGGGACCACTCCAAATGGGGTTGGTTATTCCTGGTTTCATGTCAAAAACGGGGGGAAAAAGTGGAACCCTCAAAAACACCGACACACCCATATCCAGAAGACGGAAGTACAACGTTTCGCTTTTGGTGTCTCTTTAAAAGCCACGGGGTACCTACCCATATTGCTGGTGGCTCCTGATTTGTGTTCCTTGTATCGGCCAAAAATGGAGGGTACTAACTCCAAACCACACCCGGGGGGGGAGCTTTGGAAGCTATGTGGGCAAACACCCATCGCGATTGTCGTTCGAATGAATGGTAGATTGTCCATTTGGGAGGGGCGTGGACTCAGTGTCCGACCATGTACTTTGGGAACTGCACGTTTTGACCGTGGCTCATTTGCAAAATCAAGTTGTCCACACCTGGCAGATGATTTAACCGCTTTTGCCATCTAGCGATGTTCGAGGGCATCCCTCAAAATATGGAAAGCTAAGAAGTGGTTGAAAGGCCTCGCTGGGAAGGACTTGGAAAGGACACGAACAAGAAAGGAGGGAGGGTGTGTGTGTGTGTGTTGCTATTTGGTAACGGATCGTTGGTTACTTTAACTTGTTGGTTGAAACTTTGTGGATTTCCGTCTTGGACCCACAAAAAATGAAGAAGAGGGGTCAGCAGCAACCAAGGTGCGTGTTTTCTATTTGGTTCAGGTAGAGCGCTCCTGAGGCACGGAGTGGACATAGCGCCAATATATTGCCATACGACCCAGCAAGCCACCCCAAGCAAAGCCTTGGGGAAGGCCAGAATACACCAAAACCGGGTGAGCTAGCGTCGAGATTTCCAAGCTCCGTGTGTAGTCGAGTACTTTGCGAGTCACTGACGATATGATTGGTCGCTTTCAGTTGGTTTGGGGAGGACACATGGGGGTATAACGAGCTCAACATGATAAGGTCCTTTACTTGCGGATCCCTTAATTCAGCATTTGGAATTGTAGTAAAATGTGCAGAATCCTTCATGCACCAAATTGTCCAGCATGTCCTGCTGGGAAGCATTCGCAATGCTGTCCGTTGCTTGCCTGGTCAAAAGGTTTGATTGCTTAGGCATCCCCTGGCAAATGTAGCACAGAAGGAGGGTGTTTCTGCCCCATGTAGCAAGGACATCTCAACATATTCCGTCTTCATATCCGCCGTTTTTTGTGGCTACATGGGCAAAATACAACCTGCCCCAAGGTGAGATGAGCAGCGCCCAAGAATGCGCTGTCCAGTGGCTGTTTTAGTAAGTGCTTCGGTCTTTTGGTCGGCATCATGGAGTTCATAGTGAGACTTACACCAGCCGCTCGCATCGATATTGGTAGAACCAAAAATCCAATGTGTTTTTGTTTGCGCTGCTCAGGTTTTTAACAGATGAGTAAAACGCGTGTCAAATATGTGTACCAAAACTGGCAACTTAACCAACGGAGGCGTCAATCCGGAGGAGCCAAACATCCTGTGAATCAAGTCATGATCCTGGCCCTTACAAGGAGATTTGGCCATGGAACGTCATACATGCTGATCAATGCCTGTTTTTGTTTTGCAGTCCGGGTGTGACTGTTCCAACTGTCATATGGGTGTGGGTCAAAATCAGGCCAGCAAGAGACCACAGGTTGTCCAACTTTCGATTTACCAGGGCAGCCCATTCTGCGCTAAGGCCGCTGGTTGCATTTCTGGACTTCGAAAGGGGACCGGGAATCCCGGTGAGCCACTTGCTCAAATCGTGGGTAGATGAAGGCTAGGGAGAGTCCCAACCAGAGATGTGGTGCCTTCGCAGCCTTTTTGGTTCTTCTGGGCCCAGACGATGTTTCATACCTCAAGTGGAAAGAGGGAGCCTGAGTTGAACTCAGGGTACTGCATTTCTGCAGACTTGGAACCCAAGACATTCACAAAGGCCTGGCCTTCTCGTTTGGCTGTTTCCAAGCAAAAAGTTGGCTCTGGCCCAGGTGTTTTGAGGATTCTCAAATTGTTTAAACACCCCTCAACCCCCACTCAACCCCACCTTTGTTGTTGGCACGAATCGTTTTTCTGTTTTTGCGGGCTTCGCAGGAGACGGCGCAGCAGACGTCCCCGGAGCCCCTCAGACGAGAAAATCGCCTTTTTCCGTGGTTCCACTCCAAATACCTCTGTTTTTAGCGTATTGATTGAAAACCAGAGTAAATTTATGGCTATTGGTGTTCAGGGTTTTGCTTAAAGTTGTCGAGGGTAAATGTGGGTGTAGGGGGTATGTTTCATTTGGGTCTGGCCTTCTTTGCGAGAATACCCTTAGTGGATTGTGAAAGGGGAAGCACCATTTTATTGGTGTTCGTGTGTCACGTGTGTCACGTGTGTCACGTGTGTCACGTGTGTCACGTGTGTCGTGTGTCGTGTGTCGTGTGTCGTGTGTCGTGTGTGTGTGTGTGTGTGTGTGTGTGTGTGTGTGTGTGTGTGTGTGTGTGTGTGTGTGTGTGTGTGTGTGTGTGTGTGTGTGTGTGTGTGTGTGTGTGTGTGTGTGTGTGTGTGTGTGTGTGTGTGTGTGTGTGTGTGTGTGTGTGTGTGTGTGTGTGTGTGTGTGTGTGTGTGTGTGTGTGTGTGTGTGTGTGTGTGTGTGTGTGTGTGTGTGTGTGTGTGTGTGTGTGTGTGTGTGTGTGTGTGTGTGTGTGTGTGTGTGTGTGTGTGTGTGTGTGTGTGTGTGTGTGTGTGTGTGTGTGTGTGTGTGTGTGTGTGTGTGTGTGTGTGTGTGTGTGTGTGTGTGTGTGTGTGTGTGTGTGTGTGTGTGTGTGTGTGTGTGTGTGTGTGTGTGTGTGTGTGTGTGTGTGTGTGTGTGTGTGTGTGTGTGTGTGTGTGTGTGTGTGTGTGTGTGTGTGTGTGTGTGTGTGTGTGTGTGTGTGTGTGTGTGTGTGTGTGTGTGTGTGTGTGTGTGTGTGTGTGTGTGTGTGTGTGTGTGTGTGTGTGTGTGTGTGTGTGTGTGTGTGTGTGTGTGTGTGTGTGTGTGTGTGTGTGTGTGTGTGTGTGTGTGTGTGTGTGTGTGTGTGTGTGTGTGTGTGTGTGTGTGTGTGTGTGTGTGTGTGTGTGTGTGTGTGTGTGTGTGTGTGTGTGTGTGTGTGTGTGTGTGTGTGTGTGTGTGTGTGTGTGTGTGTGTGTGTGTGTGTGTGTGTGTGTGTGTGTGTGTGTGTGTGTGTGTGTGTGTGTGTGTGTGTGTGTGTGTGTGTGTGTGTGTGTGTGTGTGTGTGTGTGTGTGTGTGTGTGTGTGTGTGTGACTGTGTGTGTGTGTGCGTGTGTTTTTTCCGGATTGGCACTCCCAGAGATGGCGGTCATCCCTTTGAACCTTTGGGTGGGTTTGTTTAGCCCATGTTGCACGCTGCCCCCGAACACAGTGCACTGGCAACGTGCCCGTGGGTAAATGTAAAGCCTATGGTTCATTTGGGAGGAGACCAAGGCCCAAACCCAGCAAGCAACGTTCACCGCCCCCAAGCCAACACAAGCCAGGGGTCTTGCTTCTAAAGGGGCCAAACTGGACTGCCCAGTTGGGCTCTTCTGTACGGCTTCATGTTAGCTTACCCTGAGAGGAAGTTCAGAAAGAACAAATTCCTGCAAAGACGACTTTTCCCACATAGAAACGGTGGGCTTCCTAGTCCCACTTGCAAAGCGAATCGATGGGGTCTTTGGGTTTCCCTTGCTGGTGCATGGGGGGCCAAACCATCTTTCTTCTTAGTTGAGGGGCCACCAGATGGTTGTAGAGACCCCAGATGTCGGACCCTTCATTGAAATGTTCGATCCCATGGATTTCGGTTTTGGGTGTTGGGCCTTTGTGAGGTCCCGTTTGATGCTTCTCGGGCACAAGAACCCGGACAAACTGTCAAAGTGTGAATGGGCTGCCAAGCCAAGTTTCAGATCATGTTGTGTGATTCCCAGATCCATCTACCTGGTGTTGTCGGAAGGAACCACCCGATGCAGAGACCAAAAGAAGCTGATTACTATACGAGCAACCAGGATCTGTCAGGATTAGTTGTCCCCTTATATCTGATACTGTGGATGCACGCAGTCCTGCTCCCAGATGGGATGGATGAACCCTCAATGGGGCAACCACCCAGCGACTGGTGCAACAAAATCCCGAGATCAGAGTCCTCGAAGAGTGGCCCATGTGCGCCATGGTCAAAACTCCCTTTTGCTTGGGGTTGCTAGCCCATCAACCTCTTTAGCCTCAGTTGACATGGAACCTGACAGGGGGGGGTCCTGGAAGACCATGTTCCTTTTAAAGGGACCCCCTGGTTGCATGTGAATTGGTGGGAGGGGACTGGTTAGAGGATCCCAGGTAAACGCTCCCGACAAACCCATGACCATAACCAGACGAGGTTTGACCATGGCACTGGTGATGAACGCCTAGGCTTCCAATTTGTGTTCTGGGTGTTTATGTGGTCCCTAGGTGAAATGGTCATGAGTCATGTACACGTTAACCTCAAATGAATCGGAGGGCCGCGCCAACCAAGGGTGTTTTTTTTGGAGCAAGGATAATATATATATACATATATATATATATCCATTGGTCGGCTGCCAAGCTACGTTTTAACCTCGGTTTTGGCAAGGAAGTTCTACGAATTCTCTGCGTCCTGTGACAACTAGGATCTGCCTGGAGTCTCCTTCTGACCCTTCAAAAACGGTTGGTCATGACTCCCAAAAGAATGGGCCGGGTCATTGACCCATTTTTATTTAAAGGTCCATTGAGTCAAAACAAATTGGGATTTATCAGCGCAAATCAAATATTAAAATATAAAAAATCTACCAACAGGAAGACTCCAGGTTCTTTTCAGACCAGTGGAGTCACTGTCGCGGATTTCCGCTCCGGCAGCCGCAATCCGAACCCCAAGGCTTTGGCCGCAGGCGCGGAGCCGGCGTTTTGGTGTTTTTTTTTTTTTTTTTTGCGGGGGGCGGGGGGCGGGGGTGGTTTGTTTTTGTCGGGTGTGTGTTTTGCCGCGCAGCGCCTCAAGAAAACAAGGGGATGTCTCCTTTTTTGGGGGGGAACGTCCGGAAACGAAAAACACATCCTTTTTGGGGGGACATCCGGAGAAAAACATGTGGTTGGCCCTTTGGATTTCCTTTTTAAACCACTGGAAGGGGAACTCACAAAAACCTCGCACACCCACAAGTGAATCGTTGGGTGTTCAATCAACTTGGTAGGTTAGAACCGTGGTTATTACTAGGGAAACGGGGGTTGGCTGACTTGTAGCTATGGTTAGAAGCCACTTACTAAGGTTGAACACCCAAGTTGGGTGCCTGGACCCCCAGAGTGGACCGATTCCTTTTTTGCAGCCCAAGAAACTCACCAAAAACACCCAGGGAGGGGGGGATGTTTGGAGCCGTGTTCCGATCACCTCAACTTGTCTTTGCCAAGGCCAAGGCGAGGAGGTTTTTCCCTTTCTTGGGGCCAACCGGGACCCGCAAATCCAAAGATAGGGGTAGCTTCCATGTCCATTCTGAACCCAGGGATCCGAATCTTTCTAGAAAACCTCCGGAATGCCAGGGAAAAGAGCGCTGGGGTTTTTGAAAAGAACGAGGGTGGAAAAGAATGGAAACGGAATCAACCCCTAGAAAGATGAAGAAGAAGCGAAGCAAACAGAATTGCATGACCCATTGATATTGCGGAGGAACAAAAACCATTTCGCACCACCTAAGAAGCCCTGCAATGATGAATCTCCTGTAAATACCAACAAGCAACGGTGTTTCATGGTTTCATTTCGTGGTGCGAAATGGATTTTGTTCGCATGAACCCCCAATCTCCCATATGCGGCCTGTCAACCATTTGTGGTTGGCTACACCAAAAGCACCAAGTTTGGGGAAGAACACACGGGGAGCCCTGGAAAGCAGGAAGCAGCTTTTGTTGTTCTATTGTTTGGTCAACAAAAAGGTGGCCCTGGAGGTCACGCAGTGAATAAGGCATTGGTTTTGCAGACTCAAGGACTGGTGTTATTTGGAAAGCCCTCGCAATATGTTTAAGCCATTATTTTAGTTTGTAAGGGCGAATCTGTAGGAAGTCACCCTTCCACCAACCAAAACGGAAGTGCACCGGCGCCCTCCAAAAAGGGTTTGTACAGTTCCGCGGCTTGTGAGAGGGTATTCTGTCGCTGACGAAAAGGGGTTCAGGGAGGAAACTTCAACACCAAGCTATGCTTGTCCACGTCAAACGCACATGTGCGTAGCGCAGCTGACATGTTTGCAATACGTGGCCGGCCTACAAACCCTGGGAAAGTTACTGGCTGGCAAAATGCCCGACAAGGTGAAAGCAGGGCTTGCAGATGTCGTGACTTTGGACGAGCCAGAGAATCCTTCAGCCAGCACAAAATCAGGCACTTGAATGGTGCCAAGGGAAAATTGGGGATGAAGGATGCCTTGACAGGAAGGGCATAAAACTGTCTGTTTCGCAGAGTAGGGTTAAATTGGGAACCCTCCCCACAAAATCGGGGATTTCAAGGGTGCCAACGGACGAAAAGGTGAGGGACAGGTCCAACGGGCGCCACACAGCGATTTTCAGGCGCCAGCACAGCTGAGCAGCCAGCCGAACCTGCCAAAGCGCGCGGAGGGAGAGGGTGGAGGGCGGGCAGAGGCGCGAATAGATTTTTGGTGGCAGGAGAAAGCATTCAGGTGAATCTCAAATTAGGGACCCCTCGTTTCCTTTTGGTTTCCTTTTAAATCCATCCACAAACGGGTTCCCTATTTTGAGACACACCCGTTCCATTGTGCCACCATTGGAAACAGGGTTCATGGTATTGACGTCATGATTGGGTGCTAGAATCTGTGTGCACTTAGGGGGCCTCTCTTGTTTGACTTCATGTTCGGGTGGAAATATATGAAGTTCGCAGTAAGGGGGTTAGGGGGCTCGAGGTGTTGGGGCGATCGAAAGGTGGCCGAGCTGAAAGGGCGTGCAGAATCAGGACCATTTGTGTGTGTCGAAATAATAAAATAATAAAAGTATTGGTTGCTGTTTCTCTCTTAGTTTTTGTTTTGGAGGGGCTGCTCTTCAGGGAGATGTCGTCCCTCTCACGGAAGCTGACAGGAAGGTTTTTGTGACGACTTACCTTTAGGCAAGACCCTGTCCACTTCCATGATCCTTGGAACCACCTATGGTGGCATTGAAGTTGATATGCGGCTTGAGTCAAGGCGCCATGCCCTCTAAGTGAGAGAGTGCACGCTTGGAGTTACATGGCTTCAGCATGGCTGTGTCCGTTGAGGGTAATTACCCTTTTTCACCTGGGTTTGAAGGGAAGCCAAAAGCAACACCACCATGTGTCGGGGGAGGGGGGGACATCCAACTCCCTATTTGGTTGAAATGAATCCATTGGCGAAAGGATTTGACTCGTGCAGAGATTTCCCAGCGAGGATGATGAGTAGTTGGATCTGCAATCTTCCATTCCAAGCGGCCAAGCTGAAGAAAGAAAGATACGCTAGTTTGCCAAAGCAAGTAGTGTTTGGTGGGCACTGGGTCAAAAGGGCCATAGGGGACAAATGATGAAATATGGCCTCTGTTTTTAAGGTTCCCCGTTCTGGTTCTGGTTCTAAAGGCAAGCCCAAAAGGAAAACCGATGCCATTTTTCTAAGGGTAGCTTCCCCATTCTTTCCGGGCATCTTTTTTTCTAGAAAGCCACCAAAACCCTGGGCAAACAGCGCACGGTTTTTGAAAAGGAAGGTTGAAAAGAATGGAAACGGAATCAACCCCTAGAAAAATGGCGGACCCCAAAACGGTTGGCTGGTGTCCTTTGAAAACCAAGCAAAAGTCGGCATGGGGGATCCGACCTCCAAAAACCGCGCCCGAGACGCGGCGAAACGGAAGTCGAAGACTTGAGCCTCAGGCCGAGCTCGACAGTGGCCACACAGACCGACACGGCCGGAAGCTTGGTCCTCTGAAGCTCCATGGAACAGTGGGTGAAGTATAACGACCTCACACGACCGAATTCACCCCAAATGGTGGTTGATGTGGGGAATACGCCTGACCTACCTCTGGGTGGCTCAGCCATCCCGCTAAAAGTTGCACTTTTAGCGAGGGCTATGTCACTTTATGGCTATTTGGTAGCGGATCTTCGGACTTTAACAACTTGGTTGAAGCTTTTAATGGCTTTGTCCGTGTTGGACCCACAAAAGATTGAACTTTTTGCAGAGGGTCAACAGCAACCAAGATCAACTGTTACAATCTCGGAAGAGCCAAAAGTCAATCGGTGTTGGGCATTGCTCAGTTGCAACGCCTTTCCTGGATGTCGAGGTGGCCTGCCTTGATGTCGCAAGCAGAGCAGCAAGCCCATTTACATGTTCTCTTCGAGGACACCTGCCGTTTCGACATCAAGGAGCAGACTGGTGTTCTTGAACAGCTTGTGACAAGTTCGCGGATGCCCCTCTTGCAATGTTGGGCTACGGCGTTGGAGTGAGTAGGGACCGCAGGTGCTCTTACACGGCGCCGATCATGGCTGCCAACAAGCCAGACATCGATCTCTCCTTTTCTAGGCCCCCAACTAGGTGCCCTTTCTCACCGTTTCTTTTTTAGGGGAGGGTTCCCCGACTAAAATGGACTACAGAAAAAAGGGTGCTCTTATTCTAACCTCTCCACTGGGGGACCTAGTTTTGGAAAGATCCCACAGATGTGCTTTGCAAGCCACAGCTTAGCAGGCCAGATAGGGCACATCTCGGATTGCGCGGACAGTCAAGACTTGAGGTCGTCGCACCTTTGCCCCGAGGTGTCACTTGCTTCTTGTTGAATTACAAAGGGAGACACGTTTGGTTGTTTCAAAAGGGGCCAACAGGAAAACCACCATGTGTTGGTAGGGGTCCAAATCCCTTTTTGCCACACATGTTCCGGATCTTCCCACTTAACCCCAAAGGGTTCTTGGGCAGTACAGCAGATGAGCAGTTTGAGCCACACGCAATTTTCGTGTCAGGTGTTGTGATCTTTTGCGGACCCCATTATTTAACATTGCCAGACTTAGCTGACTGTGTCAACTTGTTGCCTTCTTGGGGGTGCCTTCATGTTTTCTTTCTTTTTGCAGGGTCCCTGTCTATGTTTGGCCAAGTCAACTCCAAAGGGTTCTTGGGTGGTTCCCCCTGTGTGTGTTTGTTTCCTTCCGTTGTCTTTTCAACCATCATTGCCGACAAGCTTCATTTGCACACTCGTTCGCGGCTCGCGGCGACCCATATACGGGGAGCAAAACAAATAAATACTCTTGCAGACCCTCTCATTTCACATTGCCGGACTCAGCTGGCCGTTTTCAACTTCTTGCTGTCTTGGGGTTTCGTTTACGTTTCCTAGGTCGCCCAATAGTGCCCTTCTCTCTCCTTTTTTGGGGGAGGGTCCCCCTACTAAAATAGACTACCGAGAAAAGTAGGGACGCTTATTCTAACCTCTCCACTGGAGGACCTAGTAAGGATTCCTATTGCGGAACCATGGCCACGAGCCGCAGGAAACGGTTGCCACTGACTAGTTCGTCATACCCACGACTTCAAAGAAGTACACACGACTCGTTTGCGTATTCTTAGTCCTCCCTTCATGGTTCCTTTCAACCCTTTCTTTTTGGGGGAGGCTTCCCCTACTAAAATAGAACTTATTCTAAGCTCTTCAGTGGACTAGTTTCCTTTCAACCAGCAAACTTCTTGCAGGGCCCCGGTCGAAGTTTCGGCACGTCCGACGTGGAAAGCTCGAGGTGCTGGGGCCTTCCGAGCTGAGCCCCGAGGTCCCGAGGCGCGTCAGGGGAGGTGCGTTGGAGGTGTTTGGGGTGGGTCCAAAGAAAGGCTTGTCTCAGGAACCCGTGAAACCCCTAACGCCCTAAACCCCTAAAAAGCCCTACAAACCCCGACAAAACCCTACAAAACCCAAAGAAACCCTACAAAACCCCAAGGAACCCGTTTCTCAACCCGCCCATCTTGTACCAGGAGTTGTTTTTGGGCTTTTTGGTTATTTGGTTCTGTTCATTTTGAGTAGCTGCAGAAAGCAAGGTTTTTTGGTACCACAACAAGGGTTAGAAAGTTATGGAGTCCCTTTCTGGGGCGGTGGCGCAAGGGGCGGAATCCAAACCACCAACTAGGGGGAAGCAGCTGGAACCGGTCAGAATTTAGGGTTTGTCTTTAGGGTGCCTTTTTGGGATAGTTGAAAGGACCATTTCGGGGTCTCCCCTATTTTAAGACACCCCCTTCCTGTCGGTTTCTTTTGGGCCAGACATGGCTGGGGTTGTAGAAGCGGGCCTGATTTAGAGGGAGTCGTGGAGTAATTTTCGGTCACAAAACGTTGGTTTCCCATTAAATTGTGCCCCTGAATGTGGGCTATACATGGCTCGGGTTCTGAAAGTGGGCCTGCTTTCACGATCAGCATTTAGAGGGAATCGGTTTGTGATGTTCTGTCACTACACTCACTTGCAACCAAAGCAAATCGACCTTCAAACCTTTGGTTTCCCTGATTTGCCGCATGTTTAGTCATGGACCCAAACCCAGTGCTTCCAGTTACCACCATAGTAGAACCAGCGTAGATAGCCAAGTTGCTGTTTTTCTTCAGTCACTGTTGCTGGTTTTGGGGGTAAAGTTCATGGAAAAACACTGCAACTGGCGATCCAGAAAGGCTTCCCTATCTGTAGGTTTGACATCATGGTTTCCCCTTGCCTACTATAGTCAAGGTTCCCCAGTAGTGCCCTCTCTCACCCTTTTTTCGGAAAGGTTCCCCTACTAAAATAGGCGAACAAGAAAAAATGGTCCTGAAAAAAGTTGGTGCCCATATTCTAACCTCTCCACTGGAGGACCTAGTAGTGGCTGGCCTGGAAGCACTGGAATCACCTGAAACATGTGTGGGTGGTGAACGGAGTAAATGGGCTCAGGAGTGGGATGCATTGTTTGGCTCCGGGGGTTCAGGCGACAGAACCCCTAGGAAACACGTCCAGGAAACACTCCTATATAAATTTGAAGGATGACTCTGCTCAACGGTAAGTGATGGTGGAAGCATCAGAGTTGGGAGATCTTAGGAGTTTCCATGGCCAATTGAAGCGCTGTCCACCTTTCAGCGCCGCTCTTGGCCGTTGGAGGGCCAATTCACCAGGGGAATTTTGTAAGCGTGTTTGGTGTGCCGTTCACGGTAGGAAGCTTTTTTGGAAACAGTTTGGATTTTCCATTTAGACCCACAAGAAGTTTAGCTTTTGTGCAGAGGGGTCCACAGCAACCAAGGTTTTGAGTCGATGTTTGGTTCCAGGTGCCCCTCTCAAGGGACGCAACGCGGCCATTTGGGCGACGTTCCCCAGCTTCCTTTGAGAAGCTCCCAACCCACTCCGTGAGTTGGACTTCAGTCACTTTGAAAGGCTGGATGAATCATTTTGGTGTTTCAAACCAAACAAACAAAGCGGTGGTCCCACTGCTTCGGAAGTCCCCTTCTCTTCCGGTGGTTGTTATTTCCGGCCCTCGGATTTTTGGGGCAATCCTGATTTTTGTTTCAAGCCAAGCAAACAAAATTGCTGTTCAACGACCTTTTGGCCAATCCACTGCTTAAGTGCCTCGGTCCCGACCAGGGGCGACTGGGCGGCGGGAGTTCAGCACGAGGCGACCGAAGCATCCCAAGCGGTTCCTATGAACAGTGAGTTCACTGCCTGAGTTCCGTTTCGGACTTTAGTCACTTTTTGAGGCTGGACCAATCTAGTGGTAAAAAAGAATGTTTTGGACTTGCTTTTGGGCCCATCCACGCAGGAAGTGAGAAAGTGGGTGCTCTTCTTTCTTTTTGTTAGGGACCCGAAGAGTGGGTGGTTTTCCTGTTGGTTTCCCTTGAGGCAATGGGTTTCCATACGGCTGCACCCTCCCACCTAGAATCCACCCTGGTAACCCTCGAAAAACATTGGTCTCCCAAACTGCACCAGTTGAGATGGATGAAACCCCAACCAAGTCAGCAGGAGATTCTCCGTCAGTACCACCATCATGGCAAACACTACAATCACCATTGCCAGAACCTATAGAAACGGCTCAATCAGGTTGCATGAGAGCGAAACCCGCCAGCTCGGAATTTAGATGAAATGAAGGCCACACCTTCGCCGCTTGGATGGGTGGCGAAAGGTACCTTCTCATGCTCCCAGTTGCGGCACCCAATGATTTTGTCCCTTGTGCTTTGGTAGCGTCTCCACGTAAAACGGCGGCACCGGAGAAAAAAACAAAAGTTCCCTTGTTCTACTGAACAACAGGAGGAGGGGAGGGGCTGGGGGGGTGAATGAGAAACCAAACGGACAGCCACCAGTCGGCGTGTGTGTGTGTGTATGCACGTATCTTTGACATATATCTACTTAGAGATTCCTGAAATCGGGCTAAGTTACCCCCTACTCCAAATATCTTTTGTTTAGAACATGCTTGGAAAAACTGGCTTCTATGGAAAATTCCTCTAGGAAAAGACGGGTATTTGGTGTAGGGGGATCACGAGTAGCGCCAATGCAGACACGGGGTACCCAGTAGGATCCAGGTGAGTTCAATTAAAATCAGACGGGTTGTTTGCCGCCACATGCTGTCGCCACAGTCCACGGGGTTCAGGACCCATTGAAAAACGCCCCAGGCTTGGTGAACCTCTCAATCTGTGTGGCTATTGCTTGGATCTTTGGACTTTAACTTCTTGGGAAACAGTGGAACTTAACATTCCCACAAACGGTTAACCTGTTTTGAAGAGGGGTCAACAGCAGCCAAGTACTTTTCCGGCTGTTGTGTTTGATTCGGTACCCTGTTAAAGGGCTGTAAAGGAAACCAAAATAAATTCGGGCATCCATATCTCAGAAGACAAGCTGTGTGTTGATTCCGTTTTCTTTCGGGGTGAGTCATTCGTGTGAAACAATTCCACTCTGTTTTTGTTGAATTCCCACATCCCAGACGTTTATCTTTGGGCGTTCATTTTTCTAGAGGTTGATTCCCCAGTCTTTTCAACCATCGTTCTTTTCACAAACCAGCTATTTTCCCCGGGTGTCTAGAGGTTTTCTAGAAAGAAGGATGCCTGGAAAGAATGGGGAAGGTAGCCCTAGAATTTTGAGATCAAACAAAAGCACGGCACCCGTTCGCGGCTTCCAAGCCCAACCTCCAGTGTCTGTCTTAGATCCCAGAAAGGCGTCTGCTTGGCGGTTTCTGCTTACGACCCCCACCCAAAAAATATCCAACCCTCCAAGAAAAGACAAGCCCTAACCCCCCCCCCCCCCCAAATAAAAAAAGGAACCCTCCAAAAAAAGACACGCCCTAAAAATCCCCGCCCCAAACAAAAACAGCGGTTTCTGCTTGCGACCCAAAAAAAGCACAAACAAAAAAGGAACCCTCCAAAAAAATGGAGAAGCCCGCCTTCCGTGCCATGAGTGCTTTACTTCGGTTTGACATTGGACCTGAGGAATTGAGAGAGCCGTTCATTCACCATGCCCGACTTCGGGAATCTTGTGAGTCGGTGGTATTGAATTCGCTGGTCCGAAGAATGGAATGAATTCAATCAATTCCGAATTGAATCTTATTCGTTGAATTCGCCCCATATTCAATCACAAGGCTTCGCTGCCCCGAATCCCGAGCCCGCGGATGCGCGGATGCGCGGATTCGCGGATTCGGAGGGCGAATTCTGCAGAACTGGAAGCGTGTTCACCTTAAGCCGAGAGCAACACCAGGTCGCCATGAAAAGGGAATGATTTTCGGACGTCTACGCCTGCTTTTGAAATGATTGCCTATGCAAGCTTTTGCACGGATACCGCATGAGAGGGGGCTTTCTTGATTTCACCAGTCGCAACACTTGATTCATTGTCTTGGTTTGGGGTTTGAGGGGGAATCTTGTGAGTCGTTACGTCAGTTGATTGAGTTTGCCCACCGATATTCAATGGGAAACGAAGCCCACCAAGCATTTCAAGGAAGCAAGCCCATACTTTCAAGACTGGGTTTGAAGGACATACTGTGGATGGCGGCGAAATCCAGAAATCGCACCTCTTTAAAAAAACCATGGTTGAAAACATTTGGTATTTGCCATTGGGAATCGAATCAGAAACCAGGGCTTCTGAGTCCGGTGCTGCGTTTTTTTGCACCGCGCAGGTGCGCGAGCCAAGGCCCGCGCCGCGGAGGTTCGACGAGGGGTCCCCCAGCTTTTTCGGTGCCAACTTTCTCACCCCTTTTTTGGTTGGGTTACCAACTAGGTCCCCCAGTAGTGCTCTTTTACCTACATATTATTTTATATATATATATATATATATATATATATATATATATATATATATATTTGGGGGGAGGGTTCCCCTACTAAATTAGACTGCAGAGAAAAGTTGGTGCAAACTTTCTCATTTCACATTGCCAGACTCAGACTCAGCGTTTGCAACTTCTTGCCTTTTTGGGGTTTCAATTAGGTTTCCTAGGTCGCCCAGTAGTGCCCTTCTCACCCGTTTCTTTTTTGGTTGGAAGGGTTCCCCTTCCAAATTAGACTACAGAAAAAAGTGGGGACCCAACTTATTCTAACCTCTCTACTGGAGAACCTAGCCAAGGATCGCTGAGGAACCTTAGTAAACCTTATACTCAGTTCTTCAAAGCCAACCTGTTCACCGTTTAGTTGTCGCTTGTAGGGTTCTCATGTTTGTCGTGGATCCAGAAGGTGATCACCTCTTTATTTCCGGGTCCCTAAACCGCAACTGAGGGGATCTTGTGAGCATGTTGTTTTCTCCTTTTGAAAACCTCACTTGCAACAGCAAGCCTCAATTGAAGGGCCAAACCCGACCTCCGTTGGAAGCTTTCGGACCTCAAAAAGCAGATGTTTCCCAAAAACAAAAGAGCTTGGACGTCCTGAGCCATAGCCCGCGCACTGCCATGAATCGCCCCTCATCGTTTTTGGGAATCGGACCTCCATTTCATGGTGGCTTCTTTATTGGCGAAACCTTTACCAAACGAAAGGCACCCGTGTGGCTCTGTCTCTCTGAGGGCACTCCCTTTGTGCGCTTCTTGGGTGACTTTACGAGAACACCAAAAGGAAACCGAAATCCATTTTGCGGGGGCTTCCCTAAAAAAGGACACCCACACATATGTATCTTTGCTCCCAGACCATTTTGTGAACAGACCTTTCACCTCCGCTCGCCAACAGCCCAGCAACCTGCGCGCTTTTCCGGAGCCTAAAGAAAAACTCCGGAGCATAAAATACGACCCCAAGAAGCTTTCAGCTTGGGAAGAAACGAAAGCATGGTTTGCCCATAGACCAATTTGGTTGGATTGCTTTGAAAACTGAGGGCGATTCCTGGTTTAGATGGGGTTTATTCCATTTACCAGGACCATCTATTTTTCCAAAAGGCCACCTATGGGTTTGCCTCTTCCACTGGTGGCTTGAGGCTGTGTGCTCAAGATACTGACAACTTGGTTGCAGTCATGGGAGCAGATAAACCTCTCACTCCCGTGCAAATTGGCGAGAGGAACCCAAAAAGGGGGTCCCCAAAAAGGAGGTTTCGATCCTAGAAACGAAGGGCTTCTGGGCTCCTTCCGTTCATACATAGTCCGCGGTGCCACTGTTGGACGCATTGGTTCCGTTGACGGAACAATGGCCGGCGTTGTGACTTGTGTGGAGTCGTGTTGAGTCGCTGTGATAAATGAATATGTCATTGTTTCTTTTTGAGAGTACCTTCTTTGGTTGGCTTTAAGGAACACCAAGAGGAAAACAGCAATGTTGGGGGTCTCCTAAAAAAGACACCCATATTATGTGATTTGGATGAGACTTTGACTAGTGCATCTTCATTAAGCCCAAAAGCTGTGTTAAACAATCGTGACGGATTTGTCATAATCAAGAAGTCTTCAAGAAGTTTAAGTATGGAAAAGCTATCATGCCATTCCTTGAATCCAAAGAAGTTGGGGTACCCCCAAAAAAGATGGGTACCCCCAAATACACTATACCTACATGGATATAAATCGCATGGGTTTACGCGGACGCCAAAGCGGTGAGCCACAGACAACTTGTCTCAATCTCCCATGAACCAACCTGGTCCCAATCATTAAAATATGTGAGGAAGCCCTTACTTTTGATTCTTTGCAGACTTCATACTGTGGATGGACGAAATCCTGCACCACCTAAGAACCCCTGGTTTCTGATGATTCCCTTGCAAATACCCCACAAACCACGGTTTCAACCATTGTTTTAAAGTGGTGCGAAGCACATTTTGTCCATCCTCAGTAGGTGTTGACGGTGACTCACCTTACCTTGGCTGCATTTTGCTTGGATGTTAGGACTTTAACTTTTTGCCAACTCGTGGGTTTTCCATTAAACCACTAAAAGTTGAACCCTTAGCAGGGAGCAGAAAGCCACCGAGTTACCTGGACGCTTCCAGAAGGCCGACGGGGGTCAATTGGTCAACGCACTCACGCACTAATCCGCGCAGGCCGAGCGTCGAGCAGGACTGACCTGGTTTCTGCGAGGGGCCCGTGCGGTCAAACAGAACACAAACCTTGGGGAGGACCATTTCATCCATTTGCTTAAGAATATTGTTGACTTCTCCCTGTTGGTTGTTCGAGGGAATCTATCACTACTGAAAAAATAAATAATTATTTTCCTCGGGGCTTAAGCAAATGGAAGATTTTGGGTGATTCAACAGGGTTCCCTATATTTCCCTAGGATGGTTTGAGCATTACCTCACTCCCGGATCGTTCCTGGACTTAAAGCTTTTTAGGGCTGGACCATGCTAGTGGCAAACAGAAAGTTTGATTACTTGTTTGACCAGTCTATTCAGAAAGTAAATTGCCTTTTGACCGAAGTGGCCATATCTAACCAAAAGGAAAACCACTTTCCCTCTTCTCTTTTCCCCAACAGCTGAAAGCTTTGGGGTCTCAGCCCAGATAGGCTCCGGGGTGGTCCGGGGCGGCCCAGAGGTAAGGTTCCACGAGGGTTCCACCAGGGTTCCACCAGGGTTCCACTAGGGTTCCACCAGGTACTAGATAGGGGACTCCGATAATCTCGAATGTTTGCTCTCTTGTTGTGCTGCATGAATCGGTCGCAAACGCGACAGTTTCCGTTGCTTCGCCCAGAATCAAGTGGATGCGTTTGTGCATTTGGTGCGTTCATGTTTGTTCCATACTGTGGATGGGCGACATCCTGCACCACCTAAGAAACCCTGTGGAATGATGATTCCCCCTGTAAATACCCACCAACAATGGTTTCCCATGGTTGCCAAGTGCGATGCGAACGGATTTTGCAACCACCCACGGGTGTCTTTGTTGGCTTGAAACGGTTCCCCCAACAGCACTGACCAGATGGCTTCTTCCATAGACTCACTTCCTGAGTTGGTGGACTTTAAACTTTTTGGAAAGACCATTTTAGTGGCAAATAAAAAGTTCCAGGACTTTTTCTTGGCCAGTCCACTTGGGAAGTGAGTAGGGCCACCTCTCCTTGTGGATCCCAGGCGTTTCGCAGCTTGGTAGGTAGCCCTTCGCAAGTTTCCAGATCTCTACCCGGGGAGCAGGAATGAATCACTGGACACCCCCGAACCCCCCCCAGCGCACCAACCCCCCCAGCGCACCAACCCCCCCAACCCACCAACCACCCCACCCCAACTATCGTGTCTTCTCGGTAGCCCGGGCAAGCGCCTGCTCGGAAGGCTCAAGAAGCCACGGCTCTCTTCCACTTGCGGAAGTGGAAATATGTTGCAATCTTCCCTGGTGGGTTTCAACGGTTGAATCTATGACTACTGGAAATATGCCTGTATTTGTTCCAGGGGGGGAAAAATGCTGATGGAGGCGTTAAGATCCCAAAACGGCATGGGCATCTGAGAACGAGGGCAACTTCCAGGCACTCCACACACACGCACCCCTGAAGAGGAGGCTAGCACATGCCACTTCCATACTTCACCAGAACTAGCTCCCCTTTTTGGATCTTTTTTGATCTTTTTGGGGGTTCCCTTGTTTTCCACTAACCAGGCATTTATTTTTTTGCTGGGGTCCTAATTCCAGCCAAGCATACTCGGACATGGGAGTACTGTGGCACTATGGGAGCATGGAAGTCATTTCATCATAGTTACTGGCGTAACTGGGCTGATTGTCCCCCTTACCAAGGTAAAACAACCTCTGCCTGACATTTGCAACAAGCATCCATCTAGGAAAAAAAAGATGCCGTTTGCTTTTGCGCGTTCTTCACCCTGTTCTTCCACCTGCAGGGTACTCTTTATATATCCCCCAGGGCCGGATCCACAGATTCGCCACCAGCTGGGCAATATCTTCCCCCCGTAGGTCCCCCAGGGCCGGATCAGATTCGCCACTGGGCGCCTCGAGAGATCGCGAGAGATCGCGTTTGAGCTTCAGGACCCGAGCCCGCCTGGCCCTTGATGTGTGGGGCGGTTCTCGGTGGCTTCGGGCGGTGGTGGGCCCCTTTTTTTGGTGGTACCGGTTTGTGGTACCGTTTTGTGTGGCTTTAAAGAGAAACCAAAAGGAACACCACTTTCCCTCTTCTTTTTTCCCCCAACTGTTGTGCTTGTTTTTGCTCACGCCACAAAATTAGCGGAGCCAGGCAATTTGCAGATGTTGCAACCTTCTTTTTTTTGGGTGGGGGGGGAGGGATATTAGCGTTTCCCCAACAGCTGAAAGATTTGGTGGTCTCAGCCCAGAGAGGCTTCGGGGTGGTCCGGGGCGGCCCTGAGGTAAGGTTCCACCAGGGCTCCACCAGGGTTCCTCGAGGTTCTGCGAGGGCTGCGGGGTGGTGCGAGCACTAAAAAGAGCACCGCATGCTGTTGGGGATATCACCTGAGCTCTTTTTTTTTGGGGGGGAGGTTCAGGAAACCTTAGAACCAAATCACCACAAAACATTTTTTGCAACCACCTTCTCTAGTGCAGTTTCCTTAAGCCTGTGTCGCTTTCCAAAATGGAGAGGAAAGTGTCCTTGGTAAGGGGGAGTGCAGCGAAGATGCCTTTGGGTCTGGTCAACATCCTTTTCAGCGAGAAAGGAGAAGATAAGGACATCCACCATGTTTGCGGACCAAATCCCTATCTTCTCACAGGAACCCTGCGTCGAGTGCAGCACAAGCGCGCCATACCCATCACAAGAAGGTTTCTTGTCACGCCAGCCTCAAGTCCTCGCAAGCTTTCCAAAGTCTGCTCAGTCACTGTCCAGCTGGATGCATTGACTCACGTTTTGACCTTTTTGACCTTTTTGTCATGGAGTTACTTCCAAAGCGAATCGACTTGTTGACCTTTTGTTTTTCTCCTGGACGATTTCTTGGCAAGGTTTCCTAGAAGGTGAGCCTTTTTGTTTCCTGGCCTTTTGGGCAAGTGAGTCGATGCATGTGTTCCGCTTTTCACTAGCTTTGCTACCTGTTCTGAATCCAGGGATCCGTCTGAAGCGACAGCCTACACACTAAGAGATGTCGAGTTTCTCACAAGAAGGGGTGAACCGATACCCAGTGCTTCCAGTTGCCACTATAAGGTAACCACAGGAAAAACCATGAATGGTAAAACCTACAGGTAAAAATACCTGGTTACCTTCTGTAGTGGTAACTGGAAGCAGCGAGTCGTGGGTTGGATGTGTCCCTTTTTCTTCTGCTCGTTTCCAAATTCAGCGAGTGCTCCTGTAACTCCAGTCCTCGCCGCTCGAAAGCTCTCTGGCGGCACACCGTCCTTCTGCAATGATCGCCGCAAGCTCTTGCAAAGGTACCGCATGAGAGGGGGCTTTCTTGATTTGACCGGTCGCAACACTTGATTGTCTTGGCTTCGGTTTGAGTCTCGGGCCCTGTTGGTCTTCAGCCCGGCCTTGGCTTCGGTTGCGCCGTCCCGGACAGGCGATGCCCATTGAAGGGGCGTGAACTGGCATGAGTTTGCGATGGCACAACTGTTGTTCGACCCCTATTGCCCCCCCAAAAAAGAAGAATGAAAATAAGAATAAGCACAAGCGCCTTACCCCTGTGAAGTGAGGAGAAGGATAATTAAAGGGGATGCAGAGCCAGAAAAAGCAGGTTATTGACAAGTGCTGCACTGGGACTTTGGTAGAGCCGCTCAGAAGCCCCTGGGATCGTTTGTTCAACCATGGCTCGGATTCCCCCGCCAGACAAACTCAGGGGGTCATGGATCGGATGAAGCATCACATCTTTGGCCCATTGTTCCCTTGGGAGCGTGGGGATATGTTGAGGGGAAACATGTGTTCAGCTTATAAGGGCACGATCACCCCAGTTAGCCCACTTACAAGCATGGGTCTAACCTGCTGAGTTGGTTGAACCATCCACCCTGGGTCTCAAAACGCCATATAAGCCATGGGGCTTCTTTTAACCACCACTGCTTGCCTAAGGATTGTCATCATCTAGGTACACTGGTACACCTTATGCTCGTCATATATATATATATATATGACTCTATGACTCCAAGGGCTCTAAGGACCTCTTATGCTTGTCATTTATACATATACACATATATATATATATATGTATGACTCTATATAATCCTTGTCCTTATGTCTAAAGCGACATCAAAGAAGCGGTTCATACATGAAGGTCCCCGTTCCCCTTGGCCCATTCCTTCACCGGGGCTAAGCCCTAGGCCCTAGGCTCCCCGATGTTTCGTCCGGAGGCATCGCGCAGCTACTCAGCAGGGCTTAGCTCGGAGCTCGGAAAAAGAAAAGAAACCCGGGGCGGGTGCTTGGACCAGAGTTTGGACCTGCCAAATAGACCGTCAAAGAAATCATGAAACAAAAACAAGTCAAAAACATATGTGAAAACCAAAATAATGATAGGTAAAAAAGAAGGCAAAATGAGAAAAGGGGTCCCTGAAAGTGAACATGTCTACAGGGTTGTTTCCTTGTCCCTTCTTGGAACCTCTAAGAGTGGCGATCGTTTCAATGGGAAGACCACTTGTCAATTGCAACTTTGAAGGGGGAATCCAGTGACCATGGCTTCTCCGAAAAGGGTTTCCGAAAGGGGGAATCCAGTGACCCCAGACTTCTCCATGTTTTCGGGGCAACTTGTTTCAGGCTTCTCCGAAAACACTTTTGGTCATGGCATGACTCACGTCGGTGTTTGGGACTTGACACTGGGAAGTTATAGATGTGACTTCTTTTTGTTAGGGTACCCCATGTTGGGCTGGTGTTTTGAATGAGGACAAAAGGAAAACCAGGCCCAATGTTGAGAATCCCCTGGCTTGAGAGAGACTAAGTTATGTTGCGAACAAGGTTTCAGCTTTTTCGGCGAAGCAGCTGGGTTCCTGCGTGGGCGTTGTTCGCAGGTGGGACATGAGAAATCGACCCGCCCTGTTGTATTTGCTCGTGCTCAGTAGGGAATGTGGGTTTCTGAACCTAGGGGTCCCACTAGTGGAAACCACAAGTTGGATGGTTCATAGGGATCATTCCCTCATTCCCTGCGTAGTGAAAGCAAGTTCTACGGGTTTGGCTTTGACATCTGTCCATGCCTGGGTGCTAAACCCACTTGGGGTTACTCACGGAGCTTGTGTTGGTTGCTCTTTGGTACAGCCGAACTTCCCCTTCAAGCTGGAAAATGAGATCAGTGTCCGACAAGATGGCCAAACCTTAGAGGTCAGAAAGCTGATAAACGGGTATTTTTGGTTTTAAGAAGCCGTGCCTCCGTTTGAGGCATTGCTTAAGTTCCATGGGGGAGAGGCTACATGGGGGAACACATGGCGACAGAGATAAAGGAGTGACTTAGGCATGACGTTGTCGTTTTTCTGTTTTTTTACCAGGCAAATATTCTACCCTTGTGCCGATCAGGTTTTGAAGAGCAGCCTAGGCTTGCTCAAAATGGGTTCACCCCTTTGTGCTTTAGCTTTAAAGGATAGCGCCATTGCTTTTTGCTGCTGTCCACTTGTTTTACCTTCACCGGGTGGGAACAGCGTCAATTTGTTCACCTCAGCTTTGCGAGCCCTTGGCTTACTTTGGAATCAGTGCTCTGAGCCACCCCTCTCCGTGAGCCTGTGCTAGCTTGGGAAATCGAACCTCGGCTTCTTCTAGATAGTATTTTCTTTACATGGGAAGCCACCCCGTTTCACCAAACCACCGGGCTCCAAGCCACCCTTTTCGAAAGAAGCTGCTAAGGTAGTGAGGGATTCGCTCTCGGCTGTTCTGTTGTATTTTGTTGGTATGCTGCTTTCTGTTTTGTTGATGTGTGTTTTTTTTTAATTTGGGTTCTTCAATGGTGTTGCTGTTTGTGTTTTGTTGATATGCTTATTTGATTCAATGAATGTTGCATGCTGTAATTGAATATCTTTGGCGAAAGTTTACCGCAAAACTCCCGAGGTGTTGGCGGCCGATCCCAGGCGCACGTAGCTGAGCGCGTTCTGCTTGGAACTCTCGGCGCTGTCTGAGATCGTGATTGAAAGTCTACTGTTTGGGGGGCGACGTGGGGAGGACATCCCAAATTCCCAGAAGACAAAAGCAGAAGGATGGGGTTGACAACACCCTCATTTCACCAGCAAAGGAGCTTATATGCAGGTTCCCTGTTGCAGTGGTGCTTTTAACACTTGGAAAGCTGGTTGATTCAGGTTTGACGAGACAAACTAACATAGGGAATATTGTACAAGAGGCGACCCCTGAAAGGCTGGACAGACGGTGCCTCCCTGAGGCCTCCCCTGAACGCTTGCACTTTGCTACATGGGCCTCGTACGCTTTTTGGAAAATGGAACGTCTTTCCGAAAACTTGATCAAAAAGCTTGGATGTGTTTGTTGCAGGTGAGTTGAATTCTCACAGTCATTCTGGCCGAGCCTTTATGGCCAATGATCTGGTCGGATTGTTGGGCGTTAACTTTTCCGTACTGGACCCACAAAAAGTGAAAGACTGTTTGCAGAGGCCTCAACCGCAACCGAGTGTTTTACGTTGGTGCGGATCTTGGTTGGTGCCCGAGACCCCTATAAGGGGCCGCCTCCAAATCATTCTGATCAACTGGTTTCATGGCGCCCATACTGTGGATGGACGACATCCTGCACCACCTACGAAAACCCTGGAATGATTCAATTCCCCAACGTAAATACCGTAGCAAGCGTTCTGGTTTGAACCGTACTTTCATTTCGTGGGCGAAATGGATTTCGCAACCATCCACACGGACCCATGAATACTGCACCCTGGTGTCGACCATGTGTGATTGGCCTTCCCCAAAAGCACCCCATACTGTTGATGGACGAAATCCTGCACCATCTGAGAAACCCTTGAATGATGATTTCCCTGTAAATACCAAAAAATGATATCCCATGGTTTCTCAGGTGGTGCAGGATTTTGTCCATCCACAGTATGTCAAATTTCCTGGAAAGGCCAGGATGAAATCCGAGTTTCCTGTAATTCGGCCACAGTGTTCCATGTGGAGATGCGCCGTTCTCTCCGCAAGCCGTCTGGAGCGCAGGTCCAAGAGCAAGCCGGGCCAGGCGAGGCAAAGTGCCCAGCACCGTTCGGTGCCTCTCCGATGTTTTTTTTTTGGGGGTGGGGTTGGTTGGGGGGGTTTTCACATGTCCCTTTTTGGAAATGAACAAACCACCAGTCCATTGCAAGGCTTCTAATCATCCAGTGCCCTTCGAGTCGATTTCGTCCACCTTTGCCCTTGCCCTGTAAGGCGTGTTTGCAAAATTCAGTGCCAAACATTTTTTGTTGTGCCCGCTGGAGCTTTGGGCTTACTCTTTTTCGGGCCAAGAATATGACCGCGGGAAGCCGCCAGTGTGGTCCCGCACCCCCCAAATGTGATCCGGCGTCCCCATTCTGAGAACCGAAAGGTGATGGTCATGCTTCAATGTTCCCAAGAAAAACACGAGAGTCTGCCAGCCGCTTCCAAACCTGAGGTGAAGGTAGGGCTTTAGGGCCGTAGGGTTGGTATGGGGCCGTGGGCGACTTTGCAAAGCGACCAACTTCTTGCTGGGCCACGTGTTGGATCACCCTTATGGACTCGCTCCATGCTGCTGTGAGGAGCATTGCTGTCCTTTCTGGCGAAAACGGGGCTCATTGTCCGGCACATTTTCATTTTCTCTAACTTGAGCATGGAAAGAGCCCAGTTGCTTCAGGCAAAAGCTCAACATTGACGACTTGATTGCCCGTAAGCCGCCCATGATCCCAAAGCCCGAGAACTTCCCAAAGCTCTTCGGGCCGGGAGGGGTTGTTGAACATGGTTCAAGTCCTAAAGGCATCGCCTTGCTGAGAGGAGGTAATCCATGAATCAGCAAAAGCCCAAAAGACCAGGGAATCTTCTCGCATCGAGATGTGCGGCTCGTTCCGTTGGCTCTTGGATCCATCATATCCATCCAATGGACAAACAGGCATGGGCCCTGTCTAGCTGTATGGCAATTTGCTTGGATCTTTGGACTTTAAAAATTTTCGGGAAACAGTTGGAGTGTCCTCGATGTTTGCCGTATTACAAAAGCGAAAAAGCTTTTTTGCGGAGGGGTCAACCGCTAAGAAGCAAGCGCACAAACATTTTCGGCGCAGGGCCCTGCCCCGAGCCTCACAGAGGCGGGAGCCGAAGCGTGAAGACACCAAACCTCTCTCCCTGAGTTCCTGCGCGAGCGGGATGATCAAAACCACCCAGAGATTTCGTGTGAAGGAAAATGGTTTGTATTATTCCAGGACGCTCCAGTCAGCTTCCATGTTAGCAGATGGGGGCTAGTTTTGAAGGCAGCCAAAGGGAAGCCGCCGACGTAAGGGGGGTCCCCCATCTGGTCAAATCAAATCCCCACCTTGCGAAGGCCGGTGATGAACCGATTATTTCTGTGGGGCCCGGTCCTGATTCTTCACTCCTTCCTTTGATATGTGGTAACAGATTATTGAAGATTAACTGTTTGGTTGGAACGGGTCGGATTTTCCATTGGACCCACAAAAAGTGAACATGTGTTTTTTGCGGAGGGGTCAACAGCACCAAGTTTCGTGAGTTCTGCTTCACCCAGCTTTGGACTTTCGACCAATTCATTCGGGAGTGAGGGCACAGACATTTGCAAAGTGAACCTGGATGTGCTCAGTCTAAGCAACCCGACTAACCTCCGAGAGGGTTGTCGCAGTTGTGTGTGGCGGATGCACCAGACTGACTCGTTTGGTTGGATGACTTGTTCCAAACCAATCAAATGATTGAACCTTGACCCGCGGTCTTTATTTAGCCTTTGGCTGCTTGGGTTTTGCGTCTGTTGTGCACTCTTAAACCTCTTCGTAACCTTTGGGAGAACTGAGCCAAAGTCCGGGTTTACCCATTTTGGGGTCGTGCTTCAGGGAAACCAACCGGAGACCCCCACTTTCCGGGACAAGCTGGCGACACCCAGCCCTTGGCGAGGGCATGACGCCCTCGACCTCCACCGCTTCCTTGCCACACCGCGGAGCCCGGGCTCCCGGGTCTGGGCCATGGAGAAGACGCTGATACTGTGGATGGACAAAATCCTGCACCAAATTGAAACCATAGGAAACCATTGTTGACTTGGTGTTTAGAGCCCGGTGGTTTCGGGGGAAAGGAACCTCAGTTGGGAAGGTCTAAACCGAGCTCCAAACCGATGAGAGGGAAGCGGGGGAGGTTCCCTTCCAAATTCAAAGAGGGGTGGCTTGGATTTGGGGGGAAGCGGGAGGGGGGGTGGGGCGGTGGTTTCTCAACCAGGAAGATTTACCCAAGCCCGGGCTGTCAAGGGTGGCACTTCAGGTAAGGGGCTAATCCTAGGTCGAAAAAAGTGATTGGGATTCTGCTGGTTTGGGGGTGTGGTGGCAATCACTCAGACTAGTGATCTCTACTTAGAAACTTCCCAATGTATGCAGTGGTCCCCTAATTCGTTTAGGAACTCTGGACCCGAGTTTCCGGACAAAAATCGTTGTCTCCCTTGAAGGGTTGGCGTTCAGACGACGCGTTTGGGTTGTTGGCTCACTCGCCGAAAACCAGTAGGCAAGGCCTTGTTGGGTGTCTCTGGGCACCGTTTTTTGTGCGGCGGTTTGAGGGGAGAAACCGAATGGACGAGCAGTTTGGGTTTGGGACAAGCCCAGGTTTCGACTTGAGATGGTCGCACTCCCCGAATTTCCGTGGAATTTTTGTGGGAAGTTCCCTGACTAGGTCCCCCAGTAGTGCCCTTCTCTCCCCTTTTTTGGGGGAGGGTTCCCCTACTACAATAGACTACGGAAGAAAGTTGGTACCCTTATTCTAACGAATCATTCCTGACAAACCTCGGGGTCTTGAGGTCCAAAGCCTTCAAAATCCATCTGGACCCATTCAAAAGGCATAGGGAAACGACACGAAGAGACCGAAGTGTTGGATCCCAGGAAGTGACTTCATGTTGGATCTGTCTTTTCCGGGGTTGGGTGAGTTGTAAGGGAAGCCAAACGGAAACCCATCAATTTGGGAGGAGCCACGGACAAACTTCATGCGGTGGTTGCATGTTGGGTATCGCGAGCGTCCAAATCTCTCGCGGGACCAAGCAATTGGGCAAATCCAATCGTGACCTCTTCGAACGAGTTCAATTGTTCAAGGTTCCTTCAAGTAAAACATTGATGGATGAACTTGTGGTTTAACACTTGCTCAAGTAAAACATTGGATGAACTTGTGGTTTAACAGTTGCTGTGAACCATTTTTTGGGCAAAATTGGTTTGAACCGAAAGGAGATTATTCAAGAGATGGCTTAAAACGAAGGCTTCGAGGGGGAGTGATCCTGTAAGCAATTCCTAGTTCCTTCATGGTTGAACCTTTTTTCGTGCAGGCCCCTTGTGGCCACCGAAGGTTCAAGTTGGAATTTCCTGCGATTTGGCAAAACCCCCAAGAGTTGGATTGTTGTTTACGTCTTTGGGGTGAGTGCTTTGCTTCATCCTTTTTGGTATTGACAGGGAAACGGAATGGAAGGATAACCCGTCCAAGCTTTGGTTCGAACAAGTTGGAATCTGATATATGCTTGGAGAACTCCACTTCGAGCACGGATGGATGAACCCCATGAATATGAGTGTGCGTCAAACTGGGCAAATTTCTCCCCCCCCCCCCACAACAACAAAAAAAATGATTGTTAAAAAAAATAGACTTGTCCTTTGGTTGTTTCCTTTAATCTAGAGCAACCCCCAACATGTAGACATTCCTTTGTACTCGTTTCCCGTTGCATCTGCAACCTGAAAAGCCACCAAAAAAAATCGATGAGCCAGCCATCTGGGGCGCCTCGAGGCCTTCGCTAGCGTGAGCTCTGCCGCTCGGAAAGCATCGGAGGACCGAATCGGATCGGATCTAACTCCTCCCACGGTTTTGGTCTACGTCCCCCAGCTAGGTGCCAACTTTCTCACCCCTCTTTTGGTTGGGAGATTCGGTTCCCCTACTCAAATCGACTACAGAAAAAAGGGTGCCCTTCCTCTATCCTCTCTACTGGAGGACCTTTTTGGTGGATTTAAAGGGGAAGCCAAAAGAAACACCTACCATATATATATATATATATCACTTCCTGAGTTCATGAACTTAAAACTTTTTGGGAAGACCATTTTAGTGGCAAATATAAAGTTTGGGCTGTTTTTGGGCCATCCACTCAGCCAGTGAGACATATATATATATATGTATATATATATATATATATTTATTTATTTGTTTGGGGGGTCCCCTGAAAAAAAGACACGCCCAGCCGGAGCCGACGTTTGTTGAGTTGGTACCCGGCTTTGGGTTTAAAGGGAACTTAGCATGACGACCGTTTTGGGGAAAGCGCCCAGGCCCCACGGTTTTACTATCAAAGTCACCCCCTGTTCACTGTTCAGTGGCAATTTTGGCACCCCCGGAAGTCAGAATCATCACGGAGCAAGGTGGGTGGGCTTAAGACACGCCCGCCCCCGGCACCACCGCGCGGCTCAGGGGTTGAGGGAGAAGAAAGGCCCTGGTTGGGAGGGTCTCCCTTTGGCAACTTGACACCAACCCAGGATTATAGTTGGAGCTGGCTGATATGCCAGACACCCATGAACCTGTCCATTTCAAGTCTTGGACAACTTCACCAGGTAACTACTCTGGTGATTATACTTGGATGTTCAACCAACGTCAAGTAGGTGATTGCTAGTAAGTGGTTGGTCACTGGGGTGATCGTCCCCTTGCCATGGTCGAAGCCTACCTACGCAGCTTGAATTTGCAAGTAGTGGGAAACAAGTTTGGACTGGCGCATCCTAATTCTTTGCCCGTGTGGAAGCCTTTGAAGGGGCGGGCGCCAACATCTATGATATATGAATGTGTATATACATATATATATATAATATGAGTATGTGTGTATGTGTCCTGGGAGTCCATGACCTTTTTCGGGGTCATACGCCTTATGACAGAACAGCCCAGGAAATAAAAAGAAAGGGGGGAAAAAACATACGGGGGGCCAGGTATATATATATATATATGGTCACCCCCCCCCCCCAGGGCCTACCTTTGCCCTCTTCTAGTATATATATATACACATATACACATATATGTACGTTCGGTCAGCAACCCCTCCCCCATGATCTACCTTCGTTTAAAGTAAGTCCTTTCAAATAGTACTTGCATCTTGACACGCATGATTCATTCAGACTGCATATGTGAGGTTAAGGATACGCAGTGTCGCCGTTTAGGCGTAGGTTAGGTGTTCGATTAGGTGTTGGAACATTATAGATACGGGATATCCGGCCTCTAACTTGTGTTGGCCCGGTTTAGGGAAAGTGTGAACCACTCTAGGTTTTGATGACTCACTTTCTAGCGATGAAATTTGTTGGATCCCACTTTGGCATCACAGATTTCGGGTGTCCGGTCAACTTTGACTAAACTGGGCAACTTTTAGAGGGGTCCTTTGGTTCCAAGGCATTTTTGTGGCCGATTGAGGGTCCTTTTTGGGGTACTGTTTAAGTGGGCCGGTTTTCGGCGCCGTGCGCAGGAGAACATTCGGAACAAGTTCTTTGGGGAAAGTGGTTGGACCACCATCCAATCTGCTTTTGAGAATTGAGACGTTTTCGAGCTTCATCCAGGCTCCAAGCACAGAAGTTGGGCTCTCCAACGTATGTTTGCTTGTCAGCCGGCTTTCAAAGTCTGAGAGTGTCGATTTCTTCCAGCCTTGCCAAACCTTTTCTCGGAAGAAGACATATATGGGTGTGTGTGTGGTTTTGTTGGTGTAGCCTCCTGTCCACCAAAAACCGGAGTTTGACTGAGATCTCTTGGAAGACGATTTTCCAACGGGGACCCATTGGCTCAACGATTTTGAGACACGATCGTCTTTCCTTGGTGGCTCCCAGCCATCCGGTCCCTTAGCTTTTTAGATCCTTTTAGTGTTTAGTGGTTTGGTTTCCAGTTAACCTTGTTGGAAGCCAAAGAGGTTGTTGCAAAACTTGGCGGCCCCCAGACGTACGGTTCCGTAGCCTTTTAGGCTTTTAGGGTTTTAGGGTTTTAGGGTTTAGTGGTCGTTTCCATTTAACCCACTAAGAGTTTTTTTCACTTTTAGCGGGGGATCGGAAATCGGGCAGCCCAGTGTCTCAGGCGATGCTGCCGTCCGCCAGCGGGTCCTCCATTCAGGCGCAGTTCCGTAAGCTGGAGATGTTTTTTGCAGGGTCGGACGGAGATGCCCGCGAATGTTCATCGAGCGATATGGAAAAAGGGGGCGGATGTAGCCTTTACCTGAAACTGCCAGTTCTGATCTTTATTTCTTGGGAACGGATCTTTGGTCACTTTACCTTTTTGGTGGAAGCTTTGTGGATTGTTTGCGGCTTTTGGACCCGCGAAAGTGCACAAAAAACTGTTTGCAGGGTCCTTACAGCAAAAAACAAGCCCTGAACTGGGGTGAGGACTCACGCTCTGAGTTCCGAAGCGGGACTTGCGCCACGTTTCTTTGGGCCTGCACCATGTTAGTGGCCTTTGCAAAACGCTGGGACTTGCCTTTGCCAAGCGTTGGGACCCCCAGGCATGATTGCAAACACAAAAGCACCGGGACCCCTAGGTGTATTTTTAAAAAATAGAGCACAAAAAACGGAGCCCCGGCGCGATTTTTTAAATGCTAGAAGCACCAGCCATGAATTCGAAACCACAAAGCAAAACACAGGAGCCCTGTTTGGTGGGAAGTCCCTTCATGCACGGGCGGTGTCATGTTTGTTCAGGGTGAATCCTTCACTTTTAAAAGCATCTACAGTGAGGCGTGTGGAAAGCGCGTGCGAAGCTTCTTGAGGCCGGCCGAGTCCAGCCTTGCTGGGGAAATCAGTGTTCTGATCGGTAAGCCCCCCGCGTCTGGGCCCTGATTCCGAACTGGGGGCTTTACTCTCCACGTTGCCATGGAACCTGACTTTTCTGGGGCCCCAAATGACAAAGAATCTTCCTTTGAAACGGGACCCTTTAGTGGGTTCCATGGCAACGGGCAATTTTTAATCAGTCGGCATTCTCTGCCATTGCTTTCTGGAGGCTTTCGGAGTTTGAACGACAGCTTGGTCAGGCTTCGCACAACCAATCACTGGCAGGGGCCCCAGTCCACTTGCAGCCCCACTTCCCCCAAAGCCTCAAGGTTTGTGCCCGGGAAACAATCTGTTGGAGGCTTTAAAGGGTCGAATCGAAGGGGATGTCCGATCTTGGGCGGCCGGAGGGGGGAAGTGAAATTGGTGGTTAACTTGTGAAGAATGTGGGGATATGCGGAGGCAAGCTCTACATTTCCATTACGAGGACTTTTTGACCTTTTGGACCGGCCTGGTCAATCGATTGTTTCGTCCAAAATGATCGTAGAAATGAGAGGTTCTTGGTCCGAAGTGAAACTCTCCAAGCCCCCTGGATCAGCTTTGGCCCTTGCACCTCTCTTGGAGTCCAAATCTGAGGATTCTGACTCATCTCTAGCAACTTGTGCATACTTGTACCGTGAAAATTCAAATGGGTATGGGTCAAAATTCAACCAGAAAACCGCAGGTTGTAGTCCATGCTTCCATTTACCAGGGTTCCATTTTGGGTGCTTATTTTTGACCCACTGCCCAATCATGTTGGAGGAGAACCACCCGATGCACTTGTCAGGTCCCTCAACATGCTCGCTGGTTTGGGACCCACTTGGGACGAACTCAAGGGACTTCCCCTGCGCGTTTTTTTTTGGGGGGGTGCTTGCGTTTTGGCTGTGTTCAGGTGCCAGAGGGCCGTTTGTCATTTTGGAGGTCCTTTCAACCAAAACAAGCTGTGATGGACTTTACCCTCCCAGAACTGTATGTTTCCTCTAAAAGGGACCCTGCGGTTTGCTGTGTCCCGAAAAGATGTGTTACTTGCAGCTTCTCCTTAAGCAAACCGAGGGTCACCCACGCCCTGTCCTAGACTTAAGACGCCGGTCAACTTCTGGAGTGAGCTCCAGCAAAGCAAGTGCTTACCCTTTTTTCGGCTCCAAGCGAATTTCGCCATTGGCTGACTGGCGGGGCTGAAATGAGGCGCGCCCCCAGTTCCTCGTCCTGAAAGGAGCAGAAAAAAAACTGACGTCGGAAAGAAAGGGAGCAAAGCATTATCTTTGGCGGATTGCGAATCCTTCCAGCACTTCCCCTGCTCATCTTCTCTCCTTTCCACTTTTGTCCACCTTCCCTGCGTTGTCCTATTTGTCCACCTTGTTTGCCCCTTTCTTGCTGGTACTCAGCAGGGAAGGAGAAATGGAAAGACCCCAAAACGAAGCCATCCCCAAGTTGGTTTCCTTCCAGGAGTCCCAAAACGGTTCATTCCCAAAACCGGGCTCGGTCATTCCCCACCTATCGCACCAGCAAGTTGTCCGCTGTTTTCTCTCGTTGGCTTAGGAGCTGCCACCCGAACCGGAGGACTGCGCGTCCAAATCGGTCGCCGCTTTGGGGCCCCTTTTCTGGGCTGTCCGTTTGCTCTGCCAAAAGTCGACAATTTTGGGTCGGTGAATTTGAAAACCCCCACTAAGGCACTAAAAGCTAAGAAGCTAAGGGGATAGCTGGGAGCCACCAAGTTTAAGTGGGTTCAAAAGAAAACCGCAAGGAAGCCCGTTTCGAGGTTCGGAAAACCCGGCACGAACTGGCGCCAGTTGGAGAAGGGAGAACCTCCCTTTTCTTTTTTCTTGGGGACAAGCCCAAGCGTCAAAAGTTGGTTCCAAACTTTGCCAGACTTAGCTAAACGTGTGCCCTCTTGAGGCTCCGTCATTTCAAGTTGACTTTTTAAGGGGCCTCGGTCTGGCCCGCGTTTCTTGCATTTGCAGGTCGGCTGTCCGCAGGTGTGGAGGCGGTTGGTCCCCTCCTAAAGAAGGTCCATGAGCGGTTGGGGGTTGGGGACCCTGACTCTTTGGAGTAACCACGTGTTCCTGGACGGGTGCCACGCAAAAATCCTTCCCGCAACTATGGTTGCTTGCCCTTACACAAGCACCCAGTTTGCATTTTGGCCAGTGCATACACTCTGGACAAGCATAATAATCAACATACTAGGAATAAAGAGTTTCTGGTAGCGAGCCTTCATCCATAAACTATATTACATGTATACTGCAGAGATGAAGTTTGCGCAACTCAACGCAAATTCTGGGCCTTTTTGATTGGGTTGTGCCCTGGCGCCCCTGCTCAGTATACTTAGTGCCGGGTCTGGAAAACTTCAAGGACTACCCGTCCCTGTTCTTCTCCCTTTGGGCAAAGCAAGCGCTTCTGACTTGAGTGGATGGGCCCAAAAACTCAGGAAGTGAGATTGGTAGTTGTTGTTTTGCACTGCCACAAAAAAGGGATCCTTCTTGGAGTTGACCTGTTTGTTTGCTGGGTTCCCCACAAAAAAGTGGTCATCCCCGAAACAGGGGTCCCTTTTTCTAGCAGGGTCCCTGAGCCGGGATTTTGTGAAAAAGCCTACTCTTGAGTTGAACAGAAGGAGCCCTCAAAACCCGAGCGCTTCTTATCGTTATCGGAATCTCCTTAGAACATGGACTCCTTTTTGGGGGTCCATGTTAAACTCTAGTGTGACCAAACCGTAGGGGGGGGGGGGGTCCCCAATGAGGAGCATGTCCCACTTGGCCAGGCCATCCGATCACAACCAAACTTGCGTGCCTCGGCCAAATGCGGGGGCTGGGACTGGGGAAAGTCAGAAAATTATGTGGATGGATAAAATCCTGCACTTAAGAAACCCTAGAATGATGCTTCCCCTGTAAATACCAACAAAAATGGTTCCAACCATGGTTTCAAAGTGGTCTAGGATTTCGTCCATCCACAATCTAGGTCTATTGGCTGAAATGAATAAGTGGTATGTTCCCTTGTTCGTTTGAATGGGAATCTATTTTACTACTCGAAACATCTGTATTTTATTCCAGGGGACGAAAAAGCAAATGTAGGTGTTTGGTCATAGACTCATTCACTTGGGCTTGGCGAGGATGGGACCCCTTAGTTTGGACTTTGGACAACCATCATATGGCTCAACCTTGGTCAGGTCACCCTCCGGGCTTTTGCCCCCAAAAGTGAACCTCTCACGTCCTGGTCAGGTCCCTCAACCTCCAAAAAATCGCAAGCTGCACAGCGGTTCCTGGAGTGTCCTAAAGGAACCGCTGCGCAGGTAGGCGTCTTCCTCCGAGGCTCAGTGGTTTCACTTCGCTTGACCTGATGGGTTTGCGTGGTCTTCCTTCCCCCTTTAAAACACCTCCCCCCAAAAAAGGTAAAATCTCAAAAAGCGACCCCATATATGAGCTGTCGAAATGTCCCCACAACAAAACCCAAGGGGGGGCACTCATTGCACCTTGTCCACGGGCGCAGCATGTGACCACAGCGTATCAACGAACAAGAAGTCGCAACGGCGGCTGCCAAATGGTGGTCCGAATCGAGTGAGAAACCCTGTCAAGAGGTTGGCCTTTTATTTCGATGTTCTTTGAAGGAAAGATGAAGGGACATATGCCCATGGGTTCAACCCCCATAAACAGAATGGTTCACCAAATTTGGATGATGAAACTTCTTCGGCAAAGAATGGTGGTTATACGAACCCCTTTGTTTCAATGGTGGCTTGAACCCCAGGGTATGTATATTAAGTGGCCGGAACCAAAGGCTGTGAGAACATTACCAGATCTTGAGCCCGGTTGCCAGTGCGGTGGCCAAGATCTGTGAGGATTTGGGTGTGTCTTTTGGGGGACCTCAAAAATGTGTCCAGGGGGTCTTTTTTGCCACCTGTGGAAAAATGAGGGGGTCGCCAATTTTGGCTTCAACATTGAGGTTGCCAACCCCAACCACAAGCCCACTCAAACCCGCCCCCTCCCCCTACCCAATCCTCCCCCCCCGGCCGAAAATCGCGAGACCCGTCAGGCTCTCACGAGTCCATCTCCCCGGTGGCAGAAACTCGCCTCGCGCGCCTCGGCCGAGTGGCTCGCGGGAGCGCGTCTTTAAAGGGAAGCCCTCGTGCCCCAAAAAGGAAGGCTAGGTCACCCAGTAGTGCCAACTTTTACCGTTTCTTTGTTGGTTGGGAGAGTTCCCCTACTAAAATAGACTACAGAAAAAAAGTTGGTGGCCTTATTCTTCCCTCTCTACTGGAGGACCCAGCTTAGGTTCGGACAGGGCTCCTTCTCATAAGCCATCCTAGGGTAGTGTCGTTAGAATAGATGAGTCCCACTGGTATTGATCCAAGTTCCACTACCCTTCGCTAGTTACACCTGGGCAGACCGCATGCTTCTATGGAGTCAATCCTTGCGGACTTCCCCACTTCACTCCGCCTGAGCTGCCTCACGGTGTTCAATAGCAGGTAGGTACCGTGGTTGTATATGGCGCAGGGGTGCCCTCTCACAAGCCACCACCAACTGATCCTAAGTCCTCTCGGGGGCCCTTCTAAAGCCCTTGGTCTGTCACTTCCTCGCGCGTTGCTCAGTGCAGACAGCTTACCAAACCATGATCCCCAAGCCTCATTCCCCCTGGAAAAAATCGAGCAATGGTTCCCTTCACAAGGCGCCTTTTTCGGAACGGACCAATTTCAAAGACCTTTGAAAGGTGACCTCTAGGACAATCCTTTGCGCTGGGTGAGAACTTGGAAAGAATACATAAGTTGACCCATCCCCTTGCGGACCCCTTTGCGGAAAACTAAGAATCAGGGGTCACGGGCCTTAGACCATCACCCCTATCAAGGGAAACTGATCTAGTGTCCGAGCAATCTCTGACACGTTTCTGGGACGTGTTCTGGTTGGCAAGGCAACTCAAGTGAAGCAACCATGATGGTGTGCGAGGGAAACTCGAGTGGAGCAACTATTTCGAGTCGCAACGCTGCCAGCTGGAATGGCAAAGGAACCTCAGGTAAAGAAGCCATTGTGGTATGTTTTGCGGCAACTCAAGCAATCAATCTAATGCACAAGGGCGCCTCAAGTAAAACCACTGATGGTTCGGCAAAGGCTTGTTCAAAGTCTAAAGCTGTCATGGGTGTATAGGGCCCCCTACCTCCAGAGCTGCTTGAAAATGCTAAGCAAAAGGAATCCTTCAAGGTTTCAGCGCCCGCTCTACTTGCCCAAAGCGACTCGATCTGTTGGGTTTTTGTCTCTAACCTTTTACTTCCAGGTGCTTTGGGAAATTGAGTATATCGATATACCGTACGACAAAAAAACAAACGTTTGAACAGAGGACACGACAAGAAGCCTTCAACAGGGATCATTTGCCCGGCATGCACAAGGGTATGAACAAACCAGCTGGATAATCCCATCCAGGTGGTTGGTTTTCTTTTGCCTTCTGGTTGAAACCCTCCAAAAAGGTGTTCCGTATTGTGTGACGGACCCACTCCTCGCCAACTTAATCAAGATTGGCCCTCACGGTGATGCTCGAAATGCAAGTTGACAAGGCCGATATCGGGTTTGATGCATATTCAACTAAAATCGAGCATCGTTCCTTTTACTCAGTTCAAAGCTAACCTTTTGGACCTTTTCGTTTCCCCCTAAAGATCCATTCTAAGTCATAAAAGCCGAAGGCTAGCCATTGGTATTCCTCGGTCCGTTGGGCTTTGCGTGTAAGAACCTGTGCGGTTTCTTGGGCTGTTGGTTTTGGGAAAGAATGTGGAGCGGGGCTGGAAAAGGAATAGTAGCTGGACCGCTCCAGCTGCTCCCCTTCAACTTCGGGTTTGCCAAGTGGGTATGGGTCAAAATAAAACCACCAGGGGACCGCAGGTTTAGTCTTTGGTTCCATTTACCAGGGTTCCATTTTTGGTACGCATTTTTGACCCACATCCAAGGCATTTTTGACCACCAGCGGACTCTCAGACCCTCAGTGGCCATGTGAAACGGAGGTTGATCATGGATGCTTTAACCGGGCTTCACCAACAAAAACCGCCAAACAGCCGAAGAAACCACAAAAGGTTCAGAAACTCACAGCCCAAAGGCCCGAGAAGTACCGTCAATGGTCAGCCGGCTCCAACAATGATGGGTACATTGACACTGCGTTTCTTCAGCTTCCCCTTACCGGGAGCCACCATATTTCTTCTTTTGCAATCGCCCCGTAGCCGTGGGGTCTTGGGCGTGCCTTTTTGGGGCCTGAAGGAAGGCGGAAAAGAACAGCGCCACATATGAACTGGGTTCAAATGTGTTGGAGACAAACCGGCATGGGACGTCTTAATGGTTGTTTTGCTGTGTGTGTCAAAATAGGGGGACCGAGAAATGGTGGGTTTTGCTTTGGCTTTTACAGAGAACCCCGAGAAGAGAAAACCGAAGAAATATCTTGAGGTTGGACCTTCCTTTTGGTGTTTCTTTCCCACCAAAACTTACCTTCGAAGCAAGAAACAGTCGTATGGATCTGTCTATTTTTGAGGGTACCCCTTTGTTGTTGGTTTTAAGGCGAATCCAACAGGAACCACCATTTTGGGGTGGTCCCTGGAAAACAGACAAACCCATAGTCTCTCAAAATTGGGAACCCCTCCAGAAATGCGTGGTTTCCTTTTGGAGTGCTTTCAACTCCATCCAAAAGCGGGTCCTTTTTGTTGGCTGTCCAGTGCATCATTTGCCCATCTAGGACGTCAAGAGATACGTCCCTGGGGGGTGGGTTACCATGAATAAATGTATATATATATATATATATATACATCACACCCATACGTGTATATAATATATATATATATATATGTACACACTAGGCCCCCCAGTAGTGCGGAGGGTTTCCCTACCAAAATAGACTAACAAAAAAAAGTTGGTACCCTTATTTTTAACCTCTCAAATCTGGAGGACCTAGTGTATGTATATATATATACCATATATGCATAATATGTATGATAGGAGCCGCCCCCTATATGTGTAGGTATCTATATATATATATATATATACCTAGTAGGGTTCAAGTCTGAGGAAGCGCAAGAGCTTGGAGGACCTCGGCTTCGTGGCCTCCCCAGACCGCCTGGGCCGCGACCGCGAGCGCCTGAGCCGCGAGCGCGAGCTGGCGGTGAGTCCCAGCCGCCAGGCGAGGAGTTGCTTCGGATGGGCTTGGCGTGTGGGGATCCGATCCGAAAGGGAAGGTAGTGTCTTGTTTTTCGGGTGTTCCTTTCAAGGCAACCAAAAAGGGTATGGTCAAAAAAGAGAGACCCATAGATTGATTTGTCTCTGAGTATGGGGTACCTTAAAACCATGTGCTTTTGTCAGATCATAGTGTTGTTTTACTTGTCCAGTTCCTTTGGGATTGGTCTTTAAATGTGAGCCAATCAGAAATCAACCATTTTGGAGACCCCTAGTTTGAGAAACTTACTGTGAATGGTTGCGAAATCCACTTCTCGCACCACCGCGAAATTCACTTCTCGCACCACTGTTCTAAGAAGTTAACGGATTCTGATTCGATTCCCCAACGTTGGTACCGTAGCAAAGGTTCTGGTTTCAACCATGGTTTGATTTTGGTAGTGCGAAGCGGATTTGTGCCACTCGAAGTAGCTTGAGCGTTCAAACTACGGTTATACCCATGACTGGGGGACTGAACCCAGTTACACGTAGAGCCATGGCTAGAACCTTACAAAGTTGGAGGGGACCCCCCAATTAATTAAAAAAAAGTGTGTTTTTGGTTGCGTAAAATGTCCTCCAAGGGGTTACCCTCAACCAAAAAGAAACATAGCCTTAAAGTCGAGCCCCAAACTTCGGAGAGCAAACCCCTTCAAAGACTGCCTTCACCTACGGAATCATTGCAAGAGGTTCTGCGTTCAAGGGGTGGCTGTTTGTCCAACCTGACCACCTGCTTGTTTCACTCTCCACAGCACCTCTTTATGTTGGCGTCCAAAAACAGGTTGGGGGGAACAGGGTCTTTGCCAAGCAGCGTGTGTACCGGGGCGATGCTCAGATGCTAGGAGTGTGTTTGCCCACGAAATGCCTGGGCCGTTCAGCGGTCCTTACTAGGTCCCCCAGCAATTGGTGCCTTGTTTCACCCCTTTGTTGGTTGGGAGGGTTCCCCTACTAAAATAGACTACAGAAGAACAAGTTGGTACCCTAATTCTATCCTCTCTACTGGAGGACCTAAGCTTAGATGATTCCCGGAAAACCTCTTTGACTTTTCGGAAAATGACGGCCAAGAAGTTGATGAGGTGTTGGGCTCCCTTGGACCAGCCCGATTACAGGGAAACCACAAGGAAGAAAAAAAGCAACCAATGAAGAGGAGCCCTGTTCGTGGCACGCATTGCAAGAGATGAAAGCAGGCTTAGCACCAGCAGGTGGGATTTCATACATCTGGAGCCTGTGGATGTGTCCATCGGTATGTTGAAGACCAACCCCAGTAACCAAGTTTGGGTTTCCAACCCCTGGAATTCGCAGAGGCAATACCCAAGTGCATTACTACTTCTTGGGCCTTTCGTCCAGAAGCTCCAAGTTCGAATCCATCCAAAGCCCCCAAATTCCTCCCAAACCTCCAAATACGAAAGTTTCATCCAACCCCCCACCCACCCAAAGCCCACACACCCACCCACACACCCACCCACACACCCACCCACCAAAACCCACCCACTCAAACCCCACCCGCCCAAACCCCACCCGCCCAAAACCCAGCCACCCAGCCACCAAGCTTCCCCCAGCTTCCCCACCGCACCCATTCGCTCCAGGTGAGCCACGTGAGCCAGGAGAGCCATGAGCTGGAGATCCTGGAAGCCAAGCAGCAGCCGCACCGCCGGAGTCGAGTCGAACGGAACGGAATTTGGCAGGGAGTCTTCAGACACCGGTCTTTCGGAAGCGGGCTGCTGGGGTCCAGAACGTTTGTGGTTGTTGGTTTTTTGTTTTTTGGGTTTTGTTGTTTTGGGTTGTGCTTATCATACATGTGAATAATATGTTTTTTGTGTGCAACATGTGACTGTCAACTTAGGTCCGCAACTAGGTTACATTCAAGGCGAGTCAGGTGCTGTGGTCCCATCAGGCGAGGCGAGAAATTAGATGGACAAGTGCTCATACAGCGAATTTGTTAATTTGTATAGCGGGTAGGCAAGGCTAGGTCCCCCAGTAGTGCCCTTTTAACCTTTTTGGGGGAGGGTTCCAGGGTTCCCCTACTAAAATAGGCTGCAGAAAAAAGGGTACCCTGAGTCTAACCTCTCTTAAATCTGGAGAACCTAAATCTAGATGTGTTTATTTGTATAGCGCGTAGCCAAGGGATCTACCCTTTAAAAACCCAAAAGGGAGAGCGGCTGGCTGCCTACATTGGTGACTGCGATGCACGGACTCACTTCAAATGTCAGTGGCATAGAAAGTCCTTTCCCTCGATTGCAATTCGTTGGAAAGGCAGAGACTTTGCAATCCCCCCCATGCAATGTGCTTCATTGAATTGGGTCCGGGGGAATCAACGTACGCCAGTGGCCAGCATCATCTTGCTGCACGAAATATCATCAACTCGCGTTGAGGTAAAACCTCCCCATGGACAAACGGATCACAGGTTTTTCGGAAGGCGGGCAGAAAACCTGCCAGAGGTTTTAGGCTTTGAGAGGTAAGCCGGATTGTTTCGATGGTGTGGGTGGCAAGCCGTGTTTTTTTCTGAATCGATTCTTTCCGAATGAGCATGCTCAAAGTGGACAGAACCCGTGTTCTTTCAATTTGAACCCTTGAGAAAACCACAAGCTTAGATCGTTCCCGCCCCCTCCCGCCCCCTCGCCCAAATCAAAGGTACCAACAGACCCCAAAAAGGAACATACCCCTTCAGGATAGGGCAGTGGCTCCAAATATGGCTGTCATAGTCCTGTTGGTCCCTTCAAAAGAAAATTGATCTTCCAGGTAGCCTAACGGGTGCCATGTGAGTGGTTGGGGGGGGGGGGGGGGGTAGGTGAAGGAAATTCAAGAATATATTGTTGCAAAAGCACACGAAGTTGTAGTGTTATTCATACATAGTTATATATGTGTACATATATTATGTATATATGTAACTGACCTTGTTACTGAACTTATTCACCCTTTGCCCCTTTCGGGGTTTCCTTTCTTTTTCCCCTTACCCGAGGTTCGTCCGGCAGATTTCGGAGTCCATCGGGCAGCAGGCGCGAAACGAAGCCAAGAGTTCATAACCTTCAAATTGTTGGGGGAGACGATTTTAGTGGTAAATGAACAGCTCCAGGACTTTTTTGGGCCAGTCCACTCCATCGGAAGTGAGCCATAGTTAGTGGGTCGGTACCTGGGGTGATCGTCCCCTGACCTTTTGGTTTTCCCATGTTGGTCTGTTCTTCTCACCTCCCATGTTGGTACATCCAAGTGCGTGCCCTCAAGACAGACAGACACCTTTCGAGCCTACGCCATGGTCAAAATCCCCCCACTTTGAGACACTCACTTGCCACCAAAGCGAATCCATCTTTTGACCTTTGGTTTTTCCATTTGCTCCCTTTCTCAAAAGGTTAGCCTTCTATTTCCAGGTGCTTTAGGGAAGTGAGATGAATGTTGACCCCGGATGAATAACCCCTGCTTCTTACTATGCGGGGTCCCCTCCAAAAGGATCCAATTTTGGTGGCTCCAAAAGGGGAACCTTTTCGTAATATACAGCCAAACCGCCTCCGGGCAAGGGCTGATCCCGTTGTTCAGTGAGGAGCCAGGTCACAGCAGGCAATACCAAAACACTCCCGGAAAAATGCACAACCCCAAGAAGTATCAAACCCTGAAATCCCCTGTCCCAAGGCGAGTGCATGGGGTTGAGGGCTGTTCCTCTCGGCGTTCTGTTGCCTGAGTTGCCTGGGCCTCGGCACAGCCTATGGAAGACCCAGCCGTCAACCTCGAGGAAGTTTGGCGACGTCACCTGGTAGCCATTGTGGCGCAAGTGTTTCCCGTCGCCGGCGGCGGAGGGAAACGCGGCGTGAAACGCGAATGCGGGCATCTGATGGTGCTTCCGGAACCCGGAAGAATGCGCCGACAATGGCGGCTCTGGCTCGTTGCGAGGAGAAGAATCTGCTCAGCTGCGGACAGGTGTCCTCCCCTCACGGAAGAAGGACAAGCCCTGGACGGTTGCGACGTCCAAAGTGAAAGTTCGCTCATGTTGCGTTATGATCATTTGTAGCTTGATGTGCACTTAGTCTTAGTTGTAAGGAGTTGTTCTTGGGTTTGCGGATTATTGAATATAGATTGGCATAGGTTGAAGCTCCTGATCTACGCGACTTTTCCGCAAGGGTGAGTTTCCACCTTGACATGAGATGGGTGTGGGTCAAAATTAAACCACCAGAGGACCACAGGTTTTAGTCCTTGGCTTCATTTACCAGGGTTCCATTTTGGGTACCCATGTTTGACCCACAGCCAGATGACCATTAGGGAAACCCAGCTGACAGATGACTTGCCAAAAACTGGTCCCGGAGCACATGGAGCTGCTCCCCTGATTTACCCCGACGGTCGATTCCTCGATCGTCGATACAGACCTTTGCAAAGGAAGCCAAGGTGTTTCGCAAGGGGTTCCTTACTTGGGTGTTGAAGCTACTTAGTAGATAGGTTACAACCATGGTTAGGGGACTAACCTGAGTTGCCCCACTCATGACTATGGCTATAGCCTACTTGCTAAGTGTGCTGAACGCCCAAGTAAAGGTTCAAAAAGGGTATTCCAGAAAAGGGTTCCTTGGAATCCAAGAATCCTCAAATAGTGCTAGCTTTCTTGAAGGAATAATAGCCTGATGCCATCCCTGGGATTCCCCTTCCACCGCCTTTGGTTTTTTTGGAATACTTACGAACCATTTCAGGCATAGATGTGTGTTGGGGAAATGTGTTTAACAACCATTGTCCAGGGCCATCGATTTGTCCCAAACATGGCTGTGAACGCCCAGTTAGGCAAGCTTGTTTTTGGAGCAATTGTGGGATTGGATCCCTCTAAAGACTAAGGAACCCTATTTATGGAGGCATACCCTTTCCAAGGGACCCTTCAGGAATCCTACCTCTTTTGGTAAACTACGTTATAAGCCGCAAATCAAGTTCCCCGTTTAGTGGGGTTAAGGCGAACCACATACTTGGATGTTCGGGCAAGGTTAAATCCACTAATATTAAAAGAAAAAATGAACTCCACTGAACAAGGGACTTATCACCGAACGAATGCCAACATACGAACCTCAACCGAAGACCCAAGCAGGAACCCCCAAGTATCTCCACTTTGGTTCTGGCTGCCCTTTGGTTGATTTCGTCCTGGACCCCCACCCCCTCCCCCTTAACTCGCTGGTTCTCAGCAGGGAATGAGAATGGAATGACCCCTATAAACCATCCCCGATTTGGTTTCCTCTCAGGGAGTACACCAAACGATTCATTCCCAACGCCCGGACTCGCAGCATTCGCTACCTATCGCACCTGTAAGTATTTAGCAGCTGGTCCGACTAACTTTGTCAGAGTTGTAAGGCCTATATGAATCTGTGCAACCATCTTAGAACCAAAAATGAGTTTGGGTGCTCATCTGCACACTGTTTCAGACACCAGTTGGAATTGCTAGTTTATCAACCAGTACTCCGGGTGTCATCCAACTGCAAGAATGTCTTCATCCTAGGTGCAACTGGGGTTGGTTCCCTAACCCCCAAAAAAAAAACCTACCTCACTTGGATTGAACATGGCTTCTCCCCCCCCACCTTTAGGGTCCTGACTTGGGTTGAACATCCCCCCCCCCCACTCCCTTCGGGTCGCCAGATGCCTCGCCCGTGAGGCGGCGGCGGCGCAGCTGGGCCCCGCAGAGGCGGCGAAGAGCGCGGCGCAGGCGGCGCAGCGCGGCGCCGCGGAGCAGGCGCTGCGGGATCTCGCGCGGAAGCGGCTGGGGTGGGGAATGTGAACCCCGGATTCTTCTACATACTTCCATGTACTTAAGAATAGAATATGTTTTTTGTATTTCTCCCTGTTGGTTTTAAAGGGAATCTATTTCACTACTGGATGTTTTTAGGTTTTTATGTTTTTTCAGGGGGCGAACAAGCAAATGGAAGCCTGGATTTGCCATGGGAGGTCAGGGGACTTCATGGTACCCACCTGGATTTACCAAGGGGTGAGTATCTTGAGGCATCTGGGAGTATAAAGACCATGGGAAGTCAGACTTGCCCTTTCCAACCACTGACAACTATGCTTCATGTTGACCCCATATGAGTCAACCGACTTGTTTGCTAATTGGGCGGGTGTTCCTGGTTTTAGCGGGGAAACACCCCCTGGTGAATAGAGAGAGCACGGCCGTTGGTGGTGATGTCTGTTAATAAACTGGGATTGATTAATATGGGGTCAAAATGTGGGTCTATGTTGCTTCGAGTGGCAGGGTGTCGCACGATAAGCTCAAGCTACCAAAGACGCACGGACTTCTGAAGGGAGCCGCGCAACTACCCGCGGGAAGGTGTCCCTAGGCGGATGGCAGGAACCTCACTCACTGCGTTCCGCTGGAGATTGTTTTGCTCTTAGGATTTCTGCATCACAGGCGGTCGAGTTGTCTGTCCTCTTTTGTGGCTTTGAACATCGTGAAGCTGTACATTACCGTGATTCTTCACCGGGATTTCTCAGATGAGGGAAGTAGATTGCCCGTGTCCCATTTTGCCCCACAGAATTCAGCTGCTAGGGGCAGGTGTGTCAAATTAGGGTGACCAATAGCTGTATTGGTTCCCTGAACCTGAAAAGGGTGCCAACTCCAGAAAGAAACACAGACCCACATGGCTATGAGTTTTGATAAACCCTTGGTCCACACCTGTTTTCCCATGCCTGGAGGTTTCGTAGGGAATACTCCCATATGGGTTTGTATTAAATTCAGGACCTGCAAAAGCCAGGCGGTGTTCAACTCCCCCCCCCAACAAAAAAGAAGCTCAGTTGATATCCCCAACAGCATGCCGTGCTGTGTTTAGTGCTCGCACCACCCCGCAGTCCTCGCAGAACCTCGTGGAACCCTGGTGGGAACCCTTGTGGAACCTTACCTCAGGGCCGCCCCGGACCATCCTGGAGCCTATCGGGCTGAGACCCCAAAGCTTTCAGCTGCTGGGGAAATCAACAAAGAAAACAGAAAGAACAAAAAGAAAAGCACTCTCCAGAAAACAACATCTTTCCATAGCGGATTCATGTCCGATCACGCCCAGACCTCAAAAAAACACCCGCGCGCGACCGAAGCCGTCTAGACCTCGCGCACGCGGCAGGGCCTCTCCAAGGAGGAGGCGGTGGAGGTGGCCGCCAGCTGTGCTGGCCTGGCCGCCGCAGAGGAGCGAAGGGATCCACCGGAACAACCTCTGTGGATGAACGAAATCATGCACCATCTAAGAAACCCTTGCATGAGGATTTCCCTGCAAATACCAAAAACAATGGTTTCCCCCAGCAATTGGTGCCCTTTCTCACCCTTTCCTTTTATGGTTGGGAGGGGAACTAATAAAATCGACGGCCTGAAAAAACGTGGTACCAACTTATTCTAACCTCTCAAATCTGGAGGACCTAGTCTCGGGTCCCAAGCCAGGGGCGACGGTTCGCTGTCGGTTTTTGTTTCCCGCTTGGACCCACGAAAAGCGAACCGCTAGAGGGGTCAACCGGCAGCAACCTGGCCTTCAAGTCCCCAATGAGACACTGTGGTTGGCGTTCGTTTTTGTAGTTTGGCCGTTTTTGTGGGTGTTTCATGTGTTTGTGCTTGTTGGTCCTGTTCACTTTTAGTCGGCTGAGTATTGCATCTCTAGGTGTGTATATATATATATATATACATGCTGTTGGTACTGGTCTCAAAAGTACATGATCTCAGAGGGGCAAACATGACGGGGGGAAAGGTGTTTTATTATGTGTGTGTGTGTGTGTTGTTTGAGCTTCCTTCCAACAATGTGGTTTGGCGGGTGAGTTCTGCATGCTGATAGCATCCATTATAAAAAGGAATCTCCGCCATGTCACTCGATTTGTAGGGCGGAAAAAATCATGGCCAAATGAAAAGAAGCCCTTCAAGGATACATGCGTGTCATGTGCATGTGCATTTCAGGATTTCCTTCTGCATAGGTCTGCTTAGTGGCGCTTTTGCTTGATTCCGGTCCTCGGTCCCATGTGCTATGGTGCTCTTGCTGCCTCCTTGGCAAGCAAAAGCATTCGAACTACAGACGGATCTGCCTCACTGCTACTTTGCGCACATGCACAGATGCTGCATCGTGCTAAGTTTCGAACCTGAGACGTTAACCAAGACGTGCCGGAAAGAAGGCCGGAGAGAATCGTCCAAGTGCCAGATTTTATGGAGTCCCTGAAAAGTGGTATACCCCGAAAAGATCGGTTCCCTTGAATGCCCCCCGCATTTTGAATCGCATGCCCCTTTTGTGGAGGAGGGGAATGAACAAGCCCGGTTGCCCAAGGGATGTAAAAAGGGGTATGTACTTGTCATGTCGGCCATGAATATTACACTTCGACCAGCAAATGTTGCAGGCTGCCATTGTGAATATGTCTGTGACTGTTGGCTATATCTTTGCGGGAACGATGAACATGGGCGCAATGTCTTGGTTGTGTTTTGCGTTGGCCGACCTTGTGCACAATTTGGTGTCCAAGGGGGGAGGGTGGGGTGGGGGGTGGGCCTGTCCCAAAGTGGATCCATTTCAGCCCACCAGAGCCAACCCCTGGAAATCAGCCCATGGGCTTCTCTCAAAGGCCCTGAAAAACGGTGGGCCTCCTTGTCTTGTTCCCTGAAACCACCCAAAAAATGGCACCCAATCCACGTAGAGACGAGCCCACGCAGACCTCCGCAGGCTGCAGTTCAGCTGGGCTACAGTCCGGAGGAGGCTGCGCTCACGGCAGGGGGACCCTGGCCGGATAGGAAGGAGGGCGTGGGACGGCGCACCCTTTTTTGTTTAGGGTGTATTGTTGTTTTTTTGTTTTTAATGGGGTCCATGTTGATTTGTAGGGGGGTATGTGTTATTTCCCATGGTTCTAGAAGGAATTGATGCCCCAGTAGGTGTCTAGGTCCCCCAGCCAGGTGCCCGCTCTTTCACCCCTTTTTTGGTTGGGAGGGGAACCCCCTACTAAAATAGACGTCCTGAAAAACTTGGAACCCTCATTCTAACCTCTCAAATCTGGAGGACCTTATGTTGAATGGCGCATTGAATTGGTGGGGTGTTTTGTTCTTTTAGGGTATCTTTGTTCATGGTTTTGAAAGGGAACCACAAGGAAAGCCGCCAATTCAAGACACCGGGGACGCACTCTTCGTTTGATTGGCTTTTGGTTCGTTTTTGTTTCAGGGTGGGTTTGAGGTTGTTTGGAACATAGGTGGGTTTAGGGTGGTTTATATAGGGTGGCACCACAGCCCACCCCACACACCCCGCCCCCGCCCGCCCCGGTTGCACCTCGTGTAGACCTCGTGTACCCCTGCTTAGACCCCCTTGTTCGCAAGATCAGGCGCAGGCGCATCTCTTTGGAAGGCTAGGACAGTGTTTGCTGCAGAAGAAAAAGAGAAAGTGAATCAGAAAGCACAAGCCAAGACAAGGAAGGGTAAGAGAAAGAAAACGCAGGAAGGAGAAAGAGAAAGAGAACAAACAAGGAAAAAAGAGGAAAGAAGAAAGAACAAAGAGGAAATATGAAAGGAGCTCGGTGTTTGTAAGAACGTCGCAATCGTAGACCGACAAGGTGGAAGAAGTTTCAGTCCTTCCACTGGAACGTGCCGAAGTTGATGGTGTGAATGACGCCACCGGACTCATGGAGAACAACGAAGACACGTGCCATGGATGTTCAGCCAAAGATAGGTTCGCCCCATCACCCGATCACCCGACATAAGCACTATAAGCGAAGCAAGGCCAACCAAAGACCAACTTCATCCCAAAGCGCAGGCGAGATTCAAAAAGCAACAGCCAGAGAAAGATCAAAGCACCATGGGATCCCACGGCAAACAAGAGACAAAAGGCGAGCCGACATCAAGGAAAAACACGTCATTTCTGAAAACCAAGAAGAGCAATCAGAAAGTCCAGCATCGTGTGAAAGTCCAGAAGATAAAAGATCCAGCAAATGTTCGCCTGCTTGCGCCATCTCCGTTTGAAACCGCGCTTGCGACACGTAGTCCGACTGAACCTCGTAAACTGATCCCTGCTGCACTTCACAGGCTCCTATCACAGCGTCATAGCGGGGAAGAAGAACTTGAAGCGCCTGCTCCAAGCGAACGCTGGGCATCGATGTAAAGAAGCCAGGTCTTGAGAGATGAGGTTGCACCCGCGTGGGAAAGAGGGTTAACCAAAGCAACTCTGTGACAGAAAGTTGACCCGGTACATGAGCAAAGGCGACACGTGTCAGCTCGTATATGAGAGCACCAAACACTGTGAGCAAAGCTTTCAAAGGAAAAAATGATTAGGTCGGGCTTTGAGCCAATCCTTGCGAAGAATAAGAATCCATGCAGAAGGGAGAGGATTGTGTCGCCGAAAAGCCCAAGAATACTCTGTAAGAAGACGATCAGGAACAGATACAAAGGTGTTGGCTCGAAAAGTGGCCACGTATTGACGACAGAGCGCAAAGACCTCGCCAATGAAGACAGCACGTTGCAGGAGATGGAAAGCGGAAGGAGTGAAGAACGAAGAACGGAGTAGTGAAGACTTGCACGATAACGACGACAATGTCCACGGTGAAGTGTGCTGACGCTGTGCGTCGTGCTGTGAAAGCAAAGAAGAGAAGAACACACCTGCATCATATGGGTGTGGGTCAAAATTAAACCACCAGGGGACCGCCAAGTTTCCATTTACCACGGTTACATATGTTTGACCCACATGGCCATATAGAAACGAAGAGGAGAATAGGTTCCACTGCTTGGCAAACTGCCGTAGCTTCCAATTGAACATATGCCTAAGTTGAGGAGAGCGAGCGTAAAACTGATCCTTCTTGGAGGCTAGAAGTACCTCCTAGTCTACCCCAGCGAGACTGAGATTCAAGTAAGAGACAGCCACCAGGTGATCATTGCTTAGACTGTGAGCAGTCTCTTTGGTCTCAATGATGCACAGTGTTGGAGGAAAAGCGAAGGAAAGGCGTCTTGATGAAGAAAGACCCCATGTCGTAGCCAGAGGTGCCAAGTATTTTCTTCCGCATAGGAAAAGCTGCTGAAAGTAGGTCCCCCATAGATTCTTATGTGCTCTAAATCAGTCCTTTGCACGACCCGCCGGGAAAGTTACCCCATTTCCCATGAACTTGGCCCATCCCGAAGCAGATGCGCTCCTACGCGCATTCACAAGCTTCTACATGTCTGAGCTAGGTTGCGAGCTTGAAAATTCTTCGAGCCGCCCGCACAAACGCTCGGCACACCACAATTCGCCAACATGCGCTGCGAAGAGGCTGCGTTCTTTTCTCATTGCCGTGCCTATGCGCTTATAAGCAGTAAATGTTCAAAAAGCAACGGAAAACCAATCATACTTTGCCATGGCACATCGAGATTTAAAAAATAAGAAAATAAAACGCTTCAAACAAGGAGCCCTGGGCAAGCCGCAAGCTTGTTATCTTGCCGTTATTTCTTCTTTCTTCTTTTGGCTCGCATCCAACACGGGAGCTTCGTGAGTATCGAGTTTGACTATGGCGGTGACGGCCACTTAGTCTTATAGAGGTGTTGGGTCTTTTTGTTTCTTTTCCCTGGCTGAAGTGAAATGGTCATGAGCGATGAGCTTGTTCTTTTGTTGGCATGAGCAATGGAAATATGGGCATAAATGGTATGTACCATTTCCCCTGTGGTACTTGGGTCGCTCCCAAAGCGTAGGGGAAACCCTGTTCAAGACTTCCTCTCCAGATCGAATCGAGGTTTTGCCCATCCCGGATGTTCTTCGGGTGCCTGAGGCCACCGAACAAACCAGCTCGACAGCTTCGGCTTCTCGACTGCAGAGTCGTCCTGGGCCGTGGCGAAGGCTACCCTTGGCAAAGGTTTTCCAGATGGAAACCAGATGGAAACCCCAGCCCATGTTGGAGCTTCCCAGTCCGCACCCAGAAGGGCCGGCCAAAAAGCGGATGGCTTCGTTTCAAGCCTTTTGCGACCTGGAGAGGAAGTAGTTTTGGGCATGGGGGTACCAAAATGGGACCTGTTCTTTGTGAACATCAAGGAAGGTCTTCCGTTTTGGTGGCTAAGGCACGTGATAGATGACATGTTCCAGGATGGCCGGTTTCTGAATTACCCGTTTGGGTACCCTCACCGTTGAAGCAGCACGTCAAGGGGCAAATCAACTGGTTCAAAGAATTCCCCCCCCATCCTATTTTTAATAACCCCTTCACTGGGGACAGGGAAAGCGGGATGGGTGGGTTGGGGGTTGGATCCGACATGGACTGGAGGCAGTTTTTGACTCCAATCCTCGCCTGTTCGGCGGCTTATTCAGACCTTCTTTTTGTTGGTGGGTTTTGTTTGTAAGAGACAACCCCGGTCCCCCAAGTCGTTGCTTGACTCTAAAGAAGGAAAACCCTCCACCCAAAAGGAAGCGAGTGCCGAAGGGCCCAGGGGCCACATCCGGGTGAGTCTTTCGCCTGAAAGACGCTGAGCCAGACAAAAGAGCTTTTCGGTCTCACCAAAATCGTTGGGATGCTTCTTTGGGGGAAGGGAATGGGAGGGCGCCGCTGCAAGCTGGCTGTTGGGTTCCATGTTGGTGGATGGGTGAATATTATGGTAAGGTGGTAAGTCATGTCAAGATTAAGGGGTTTGCTATGCAGGTGAACAACAACATGGTGGCAAGGGACAGGCAACCATGGTGGTTCTGGGCTATAACCATGGTTACGCCCCTGCCCCACCGGGGTTGGTCCCCTTACAATGGCTATCCCAGGTAGACCAATTAGTAAACCGCAGTCATTCATCAGGAGTCCCGGTCTCCAGGAAGAAAGAGATCTGAGGGGAGGACTGTAAAATGCGGTGGGAGACCCATCAAGTTGAAGCACTTCACAGCAGGGACCTTTGTTTTGCCGAACGGGTCGTCCGCCTGGTTGTTCTGAAAAGAAGGATGGTTGAAACGATCAAAGTAACTAGTCGACCCTGAACTCAACCAGACCGGCCGGCGGCATCGGAGTGGACATGAGGGTGACCTAAACAACCTACCATATGGACGATTCCTGCACCTAATTGTCCCTGGAATGATTCGACTCCCCAACGTAAATACCAACAAATGTCAAGAACCCCCCCCCTGTAAACACCATTATTTTATATTCCAACAAGCCTTTCGGCTTTCAACCACGGATCTTCCAAAATCCTGGCGCCCGGAGCTCGCCACATCCGCCACACCTCGCCTCACGCCGTCCGAGGCCTTGGGCCTGAACAGGGGCCAGGCGCTGCAGAGCGCCGCCCACGCCGTGGGGGCCGTCATCGGCAAAGCCGCCGCCGGCGGCTCACGGCACGTCGGGCGCGTCGAGCGGGCGAGTCAAGGGGGGGGGGCCATGGTGGCGCCTCAGCCCGTGTTTTTTTCCTGGTGTCCTGGTTTTACCCGCAAAAAGTGGTGAAAAACTTGTTGTGGCTCAAACTTGTTGTTTTGCCAAAAATGAATCACATTTATCAAGAATGGTTCAAGCTCGTTGTGGTTGCGCTTCTTCCGAGGAACTTCCGACAGAGCCGTCCGTGGCGCGCAGTTCCTTCGCCCACCTCTGAGGCCGAGAGCCATTGGAACCCGGCAGACGCTGCGGGCCATGCCGCCAACACACTGCGGAAGTTCATCGACACTCGGAAGAAGAAGCAAAAAACGGGCGGGGAGACTAGGTCCCCCAGTAGTGCCCTTTTACCGTTTCTTTTTTGGGGGAGGGTTCCCCTACGACAGTCGACTACAGAAAAAAGGGTACCAACTTATTTTAACCTCACTGTAGGACCTAGGAGAGGTGCCGCTTGTTGGCCCGTCCCATCCCACCAACCCAACCCCAACCCGACCCAACCCAACCGAACCCAACCAACCATCCAACCAAGCAACCAACCAACCAAGCAACCAAGCAAGCAACCAACCATCCAACCAACCAACCAACAAAGCAAGCAACCAAGCAACCGAGCAACCAAGCAACCAGCGCCCCTGTTGGACGTTCAACCAACTTGGAGGTGAAAGGATGACTCTTCTCCAGTTTAAGATGAAGCCCATGAGCGGTCCCCGAGAAGTGAATTCTGAAGGGACGGGCATTTGGTCCACGGTTGATCATTGTGTCCGGAACAAAAAAGACCATGGCCAGCTTTTCCTTCATGGTGAAAGTCATCTTTTTTGGTGGTGTCTCTAATGGTCACCCCATGTAAAGGACCTTTTGATCAACCCCCACCTAGGTTGTAACCATGGTTATCTCACTCCCGGATCGTTCCTGACCTTAGTCAATATTTGGGGCTGGACCATTTTAGTTGTAAGCAAAGATGGAGTGGTTTTGGCCCATCCTCTCAGGAAGTGAAATATAAGTTGGGTAACTGGGGTTTGCGCTCTTGGATGCTCAAATAATAGGGCAGAAGCCCTCCTCGCTCGAGTTTGCAGACTTCATACTTGCTGGGAAGACCATTTGAGTGTTAATTCCGGATGAATAGCTCCCTCATTGATGTTGATCAGGTCGCGTCCCGTTTTAGAGGAAGTCTGGATCATTTTTTTGCACATCCCAGCTTCTTAGAGGTTCAACCAACTTGGTAGGTTATAGACATGGCAACTCCAGTGGGGCGACTGGAGTTGATCCCCTTCAAATCGTCCTCATAACCCACTTGCCAAGTAGCTTGGACATCCAAGCATCGCTAGAAACCCTTGCTTTCGTAGCCCCGTGCATCCCGGGTAGCCAGCCCTTCTCCTAGTGGGTTTTCTTCGCAGGGCTTCCTTGGCTATTCAATCCAGCCAAACCAACCCACCAAACCACCCAACCGACCAACGAACCAACCAACCAACCGACCAACAAACCAACCAAACAAACAAACCACGCCAGCCAGCCAGCCAGCCAGCCAGCCAGCCAGCCAGCCAACCAACCAACCAACCAACCAACCACCAAACCAAACCAAGCCAAGCCAAACCAAACCAAACCAAACCAAACCAAACCACGCCAGCCAACCAACCACCAAACCAAACCAAACCAAACCACGCCAACCAACCAACCACCAAACCAAACCAAACCAAACCAAACCAAACCAAACCAAACCAAACCAAACCAAACCAAACCAAACCAAACCAAACCAAACCAAACCAAACCAAACCACGCCAACCAACCAACCAACCAACCAACCAACCAACCAACCAACCAACCAACCAACCAACCAACCAACCAACCAACCAACCAACCAACCAACCAACCAAACCACGCCAAGATGCAGCCTGATTGCACCCGAAGCGCGATCCTCAGGATGCCAACGATGCTCACGACAACCTCATCCAAACCACGGCCACCGCCACGCACGAGGCGGTCGGAGAACTTGCCCCCATGGAACTTCGCTGCCGCGGGTGGCTCTCTTCGGAAACCCGATCGGCCCCCCAAAATGGGCCTCGGTGAACCCGAGTTGGATTTTTGCTTTTTCTGCAAGGCCACTTGCGGGGAAGCCTCAAAAGAGTTTGCTGCGCGGCGGAGCGGCCTCTTTTTGGGAGCCAGAAGGGGCCGCCAAAGGCTTGGCTCAAACGGAAATTTAAATCCCTGATTCATCTCAGTTCAGGGGCCCAAAGGACAAGAAAGCAATAACTAAGGGACCCCCCCTTGTTTTTTGGGGGGCGGCTCAATGGGTCAGCTTAAACTCTGTGGAGTTTTTCTCGAAATGGGAGATTTGTCTGCATGCCGGAACTAAGTGGGTGTTCTTTTGTTTCCCCTCGAAACAAAACAGGTGTCAAGTGTCTGCATGCCGGAACTTCGGTGTTCTTTTGTTTCTCGAAAGAAAACAGTCAAGAAAAGAATGGGGTGAACAGATGAAGACTTCATCACATCAGTGGCAAGTCAACTTCTGGCACTTCTATGAGCTCAAGAAGGCCGCGTTCTTTTTAGCGTCTCCAACTCGACTTCTAGGTCCCCCAGCTAGGTGCCCTTTCTCACCATGTCTTTTTTGGGGGAGGGAAACCCCCGACTAAAATCGACTACAGAAAAAAGGGTACTCTTATTCCAACCTCTCTACTGGAGGACCTAGTGTTTCAAGGGGCCGGAAGTCTTCGTATGGAAGTCGATACATCTTTTGGTCCTTGGATCCTGCTGATTGGTGTGATCACGTCTTGTTGCTACTTCAATGTCACTACTTCAACCAAACATTGGCGCGCTTGTCAGATGACCTTGCCTGGGTGTTCTTTGTAACGAGCTCATTTGGAGTTTAAGCGAGCTCACGCATGTTTCCGGTTTGTGCAGACACCATGGAATTGCCGTGTTTCAAGGATGCTTGCTCCACGGCACCACATCCTTACTGGTCTGGTAGCTGTGCTGTTGAGCACGGCAGTTTGGGGCAAGCAATGATGTATTCGATGTTTTTTCAGACTAGTCTTCACACATTCCCACGAAATGAGATCGAGTGAGCCCCTCGATTCTTTGGAAGAAGTCTGCTTCGAATGTTGCTTGCATGACTGTTTTTTTTTAGCCATGGACAAAACAAACAATCAACAACTCAGGCATGCAGGCACTAAACAAAAGGCCACTCAACCAACTTAGGTTATAACCAGGAGAAACGATCGCAGTTGCCAGGTACTAGCCATGGTGCTCTTTTCATCTTGTGGAACGTTGCCTGAGCTTCTGAAGGTGAGCCACTGGCTCACTTGGAGCGGCTCTTTTCCTTACGCAAGGGCAGCTGAACTTCGCGGTTCTTGGCATGTGTGGTGGTTTTCTTAGTTTTTGGGTTCTGCTCATTTTTACTGGGGGTCTGCAAAAAGCAAAGTTTTTTGCTACCATGATAGTTGCCAGACATGCCAAAGCTGTCATGGATCACTTGGGACTTTGCACTAAGACCATAGCCTCACAACGAGAGGCTGTCCAGGGTTGGTTGAGCCATCAGAAGTGAGATGAGGCCCCTTGGGACGTCGGGAAATCAAAAGTTGGTCCTGTTTGGAGATCCCTTTCAGGTAGGTTAAAAGGGAGCCTAATTGGCGAAAGCCAGTTGGGGGGGGGGATTTGAGGGTTTTGGGCTGGTGTTCAAGGCCACCGAAAGCACCGCCGAATCTCCTTCGACACGTGGTCAGGGGAACCCAGTTCGGACCTGTTCCCCGTTTCCAGGAGACTTCAGCAATAGGCTTACTTGGGCTAGGTCCCCCTTTCTCACCCTTTTTGGGGGGGAGATTCGGTTCCCCTACTATAATAGACTACAGAAAAAGTTGGTACCAACTTATTCTAACCTCTCAAATCTGGAGGACCCAGTGGGTGTCAACATCACTTTAAGTAGGTTCTAACCATGGTAAGGAGACGATCACCCCAGTTTCTAGCCAATCATAGCCGTGCTTCTAACTTCCCTGACGTTTTCAGATCCATCTAGAAAACGGTTTGGAGTTTCGCGCTGTTTGCGGATTTCACCGGTTCTTCCCCCTGTAGGTCCTTTAGTACTCTTGTTCAATGTCCTAAGGGGGGGGGGGTTCACAGATTCGCCACATGCAAACCGAACAATAAGGAGACTAATATCCCAGTCCCCACCCACTTGCCATGATTCCAGCCCTGGTTTTCAGATCCATCTAGAAAACGGTTGTAGAAAATCCAAACCTCCAAACCACCAAACCTCCAAATTACCAAAAAGGCAACCCACCAAACCTCCAAACTTCTCCAAACCTCCAAAAAGAAATCCAACCCACCAAACCGCCGGACACCGCCGGACACCACCGGCTCCGCTCGCGCCTCGCCGAGCCTCGGATGCCGCGAGGCGGCGCGCGCGGTGGCGCTGGCCCAAGGGGCGCCGCCGGCGCTGGCGCACCAAATCGGCGCGGAGGAGGCCATTGGCTCCGTGGGAGTGACGGGCCACGCGGTGGTTTTGGGGACCCATAGGTTTCCCCTTGAAATGAAATCCGGACATGTGGATCACAGGTTTTGGAGGTATTTACAATGGAAGCCCAGGTTTTTCCAAAAGTTCCCTAGAAGAAGGGGGTATTTGGAGTAGGGGGTAGGTTTCCCCTTATGAAATCCACCCATAGGTTTCCCCCCCATTCCCATAGGCTCCTGTGTTGGTTTTGGAGGGGACCCAAAAATATACCTACTCCAAATTTACCCCCGTTTCTTTTTTTCTGGTATGAGGTCGACCCTCCACTAAAAAGGAGGTATTTACAATGGAAACCCAGGTTTTTTCCAAAAAAAATCACTAGAAAGAGTGGGTATTTGGAGTAAGGGGTAGGTTTCCCCTTAAAATGAAATCCGGACATGTGGATACCGTAAAAAAGAAGGCACACACCCATGTTGGAGCCAACCCGGAGAAAACCTTCTCAAAGGGGGGGAGTTCAGAGATTTGTCTGGGTTGGTGCTGGGTTTAGGGATTGGTTTAGCGTTGGTTCAAGGTTGCCTTTGGATGTAGGGAGCGTGGGGGTACTGGTTTAGGGTTCGCCCCCAGTTTGTTTTGGAAGTCGGTTCTTCTTGTTTCATTTTTCGCGCCGGGGGCGGGGGGGGGGGGGGTGTTTGGGGGGGATATTGAGCCCAGACATTGCCTTGTGAGGCAATCCACAGATGTGTCCCAGCGACACCTCTGGAACAGGGTCGGGGAAGAAAAAGAACAATGGCCTCTGCTGTTACTTCCATTTGCTTCAGAATGCTGTGTTCCTGGACTAAAAGCTTTTGGGAAGACAAATTTAGTGGCAAACCAGAAGTTTGGACTTGTTTTGGCCAGTCCACTCAGGAAGTAAGAAGGCGCGTTATTTTCCACGGTTGGCTTTAAAGGGAGTCTATGACTACCGGATATATGTTTTTTTCCAGTCAAGCAAATGGAGGCTTAGGTTACAAGCGGGAATCCCCTGGTGCTGAGGAGAAACAACCAGTCCAAATTCCTTGTACCACGCACAAAAAGGCAACCAACGCTGGCGCCTTTGCTTGGCCTGAATTCTGGTTTTCGCGCAAGTCGCTCCGAATTCTGAAGGTGCCAGATTTGGACAAATCGAAGGAATGCCCTGGAATGTGCAGAAGTTGGGGACTCCGCTGGCTGAAAGCACCCACATAAAGACCCCACCGACTTTGCTCAGAATCCCCTTCTTCACTCTCCCTATGTTTGCACCCAGAATAGTGGAGGCATGAAATGTAACCCACACATAATAGTGCCTTAGCCTCACCATTCTTGAGATCCGTGTTTGGTTGTTGCATTGATCCTGGTCGTTAAAACCAAAACGTTGCGTTTTGCCTTCAATAACAGGGATTCAGGGTTTGCAATTGATTCTTGCCATTTGGTTTGACCTCAACCCCGAAAAGCGCGCAGGTCCGGCAAACCTCCCGGGTGCCAGACTTCCTGAACTCGGGGTGTTGCCTGCAGTCTAGGACACCCAAACAATTCCACCATAAGTTGTTTTCAGGGATGAGAGCCTGCGCTGGCAAACAAACCGAAACACCTCCTGTGGTACTTTGCCACACTTCGAGCTAGCGGGATGGATCAGAAGCGTGAGCCAGTTTTAAGACACCCTGGAGACAAAGGGCAAAGCTTGCTTCGTGAAAAGCAAAAGGGAAAAAGGGCAAACAGTTGGGGACAAAGGGCAAACCAAAAGGAAGAGCCAAAAGGGCAAACAGTTAGAAACGCAAACACGTCATCTTCACACCCTTTCCGTGCTTTTTGCTTAAATGGGAAACCCCTCTCCAAAGGCAAGAAGGGCTTGGAAGGAAACCAAGAGGAACATGCAGCCATTCCTCCATGCCTTCCCCCCATTTGCCTCAGCCGATTAAAGAGGATGAGTGAAAAGCATTGCCCGGGCTTGCGCTTGACTCTGATTACCAGATTGGTCTCTCGGACTCCTGCAGACGTCATCGCCTTATATCATGGAACCGCTGTGTGCATCTCACGCTTCTACTTGCCTAAAAACGAGCCAGCAACGGTGACAACCTCTTCAGGTGTCAGCTACCTGGTCTCAGTGGAAACATGTACGGATTTGCACCCCGCGGAATGGCTTGGACGAAATCGCCAAGCTTGTCGGAAAGGACCACTAACCATAGTTCCCGCGTGATGTTGAGGATTGTCTTACTCACGACCCTGTCCAGCCACACACCGCCCCCAAATACACCCTCGTGCAAAAACACAAAAAATGAAATGGCTTCGCTTTTTCCCTCCAGTTACCCAGCCTGGAAGGGAGGGCTGGGAAAAAGAGCGCACAACCCATCTCTTTCCCATTCCTGCCTTGCTCTTCATCCTTTGTCCATCACCACCTGCTGACCACCTTCACCTCTTCACGTGAAGGAGATGGAATGGCTTTCTTGATCACCCCCTCATTCTCTCTCTTCTCTTTTCTCTTTCCTTGCTATATTCTGTTCAACCTTGGAAGCGAGGAAGAATGGGGGAAGCTGCGATTAGGGGGGACATTCCAACTTTGGGTTGGAACTCCAGTCTTTCAACGGCAGGCCAACCATAAACCAACCTTAACCCTGCAAACATTCCAAGTAAACCAGCCATTTACAACCAAACAAAACAAACCATTGGGGTTCCATCGAAAAATCCTCTTGCACCAGCTCCTCGCATCCCAAGAACTCCCTTGTTATTTTCTTCTAGCCACCTCTTCGGGTCATTCCACCCGTGGTTCTCTCATTCCACCGTTTCCTCCGCTCCAGTCCAGTCCAGTCCGGTCTCCGACCTCCATCCGTCCAGTCCGGTCTCCGGTCCCCACCCGTTCGGTCCCTCCGGCCCGGTCGGAACGAGCGGTGAGGCCTCGCGGATCACCTCGCAGCTGGTGCCTTGACTGCTATTGGAAGTTGGATCTTTAGACTTGTTTGAAATCAAGTTGGGTTTTCCGCTACACCCCCCAAAAAGTGAGAAGAACTTTTTGCAGGAAAGTCCTTGCAGCAACCAAGTGGTTGGTTCTTGGTTGCCTTTATTGCCGGGTTTTCTCTCGTGTTTTTCTCCCCGGCTCGTTGCAGCTTCAAGGTGCATCAGAAGCTCCGCTTCGCGGCCACCTCCGCGGTGGCCGCCGCCAGCCCCGGAGCCGGAGCCGGAGGCGCGGCCTCCAAGAGGTCGCGAATGTTCGCGGGTTAGGTGGACCAAGGAAGACCCAAGTGGGTGTTGGTACTCATACCTGGAGTCTCCGGATCTGACCCTTAAAAGATGGTTGGTCATTACCCAAATAATGGTTGGTCATTGACCCATTTTTAAAGGGTCATGGAGACTCCAGGTACTTGCTCAAAATGTTCAGCAGGAGGGGCAGACCGCACGTTTTGGTCCACGTTTCCACTTACCAGGGTTCCATTTTGGGTACCGGTTTTTTGAGCCACAGCCAAGTAAATCCGGGGTCGGCTTTGACTCGCTGCATGGTTTCAAAGTGGTTGGGCGAATCGAAGGGAACACCCAAAATCCGGGCTCGGCTTTGACTGGCTGCATGGGTTCAAAGTGGTGCGAATCGAAGGGAACGCCCAAAATCCGGGCTCGGCTTTGACTAGCTGGCTGGCTGCATAGGCGGGGAAAGGGGGCATGGAATGAGGACGAGAAAAGCCATCCCTTGTTCCTTTAAGGGGACCCCTGGGTTCATTGCCAACACCCTAGGTAACCAGCAAGAATAAGCCCAAGTGATATCCTCCCAGCCGGAGCCGAATCTCCGGAGTTGAAGCCTCTCCCTTCAACGGGCTGAAACCCCGAGCCCCAAGCAGACCTCAACCTGCCTTCCCTGTGGAATCTGGATGGGTGGAATACCTTCAAAAGAGCTAGTGGACTAAATGATAGCCACCAATTTTCAGCAAGGGTATGAATTGTTCAGGCTTCAAAACGGTTTGAAAAGGGAAGGGGGTTGTGGAGTTTGGAGTTAGGGCGGGTTGAACCCGAAGTTAGGAGTAGTCAGTTGCCAAGCACTGGCCAGAAACACCCTTTTGCAGATCTCTTACTTTTCTCATGGCCAGTTGGTCACGGCCTGCATGGAAGGGAGTGGAAACCTACATGAGTTGAGGTTGAAAGAGCTTCAAGATGTCGCATATGATTGAGTAGTTTGAGGATGTGTTTTAACTGCATTCTGAATCTGACTGCCAGAATGGCTTGAGAAGTCGAAATTTGGTCTAAAAACTGGGGAACACCCGCCCCCCGCCCCCCGGGAAAAAAGGGGCTTGAACCCTCAATCACGAAGCTTTTCATATTTGAGCATGAATTATGAATTCTGGCCTCCGAGTAACCCGCCAAAAGGGAACCTAAGCACAGGGTGCCAATGATTGAAATCAGCTATGGGAAGGCGAATGGACCGGATCTGACCTTCTGGTTTTCCCATCATGTTTATTTTGAGTTGCCCTTTCACCAGCTGGCCCAGTCATTGCCACCCCCCCATCCTTTCTTGCTGGCTCAGGGAATGTGGGAATGACATTCCCTTAAACAATAAGACAAAGAGAAAAAAGACCAGGGATGGCTTTTCAGGGTTCTCTCTCGCCAGATGCGGGCGCCTCCCGCTTCGTGGCCTCCGTGCCACGAAACACTGGGAGCCGCGCCGGAACCCTCAGGGGGAACAGGAAGGGGGGGGTGGGGTTGTGGGGGTTAGGGGGTGCGGGGGTGAGGGTGAGGGCATGTGTTAATTTTTTCGGGGGCCACAAAACCGATGAGGTGTTTGTTAGTTTTCGGGTGGAGTGGGGTGGGGGGACTGCGACAGGAGGACGGTTAGCAAGGCGGAAGGAACATAACCAGAGATAAGTTATTGTTTGTTTCTTTGCTATCTAGCAATGATCAGGTAATTTTGAATTGGTCGTTTGGATTTGGATTCGAACCCCTGGTTCTTGAGAGTTAATGGGAGACCACCCCGGACGACCTCCAACCACCAATCCAAACTACCATTTGGAGACGTTTATGTTTGGTCGTTTTTTGTTATTTTTTGGACGCCAGCAGGTTCCTTCTCTCAAGCAAACCCATTGCGTGCGTGTTGCAGGTTGGTCTTTTGCTTGGTGACCAGATTTCAGCACTGCTTGTTTTATCAACCAGGCCCCTCCCAGCATCCACAGGGCCTGGAAGGCAATCTGGGGGACGGAGTCCCGCAGTCAGCAGCGCCGTTGCCCTGCTGGCTTAGGAATTCGCTCGCCGAAGATGGAAGCACCAGCAAACCCCATGGCGCAAGAGAGCAAGCTATACCTGGCAGGAGATGGAAGCTCAGGTGCCTGGAGAGAACTTGGACAGCGCAAGAATCCACCAGTCGCCTTAGTTACCTTGGTGTGCAACCCGCAGGTTTTACCCGGCACGGAGCCAGAGATGATGGGGCTGATTCGCTCAAGAGCCCGTGTTTTGGCGTTGAGTTTCTGAGTCGGTGCAAATCAACTCGAGGCACCCACAAAAAGAAAGGGAGGTCCCCCAAAAGGAGAATCCTCCAGAAATGATTGTTGGCTCCATATTGACTTGCTCGAGTGTACAGGCTTTGCTTCGCGCCGTTTGCGTTCAGAGCAAACCTGGAAAACTTGGAGAGTTGACGCCAATTCAGATGCTGTAGATGGACGAAAACCATTTCGCACCAGCTAAGAAACCCGGGAATGATGATTTACTGGGTAAATACCAACCAACAATGGTTTCCCATGCAAGGTAATTCCAGCACCTTACCAACTAGCACGGAAGTGCACAGACTTCTTTTGAAAGATTATGCTGCAAAGGGAGTCTGTGCACGTCCCTGTTTGGCGGGTAGGTCAAAACAACGTTTGCTGGCTCCCTTGAACTTTTGATCAACCGACCACATGCGTCATGTACCATACAGCTCATTCAAGCAACCGGCTGTTCATCCCTTCGTTTCAACTAGGCCGCGTTTCTCTTGATTTTCCCCGAAAGCAAGCCAGAAGAAATGAGTACCTAGGTCCCCCAGTAGTGCCCTTTTACCCTTTTGGGGGAGGGTTCCCCTACTAAAATAGGCTGACAAAATTTGGTACCAACTTCTTCTAACCTCTCAAATCTGGAGGACCTAGGTACCGTATGTCGTGGATCGTTTTTTTCCCCCTTGCGCCTCTCTCAGGGCAGCGAGGGATCTTCCTCAAGATCCTCCAGACCCTCCACCAAGGAAAGGCCTATGTCCAAAGGCGTGAGAACGATCCATCCATGGTGTTTTTGCCTCTGTGCTGTGTTCTTCTTTTTTTACTTTGTTTGTTTTCTTTGTTTTTTTTGTGTTTTTTTTTTATTTTTATTTTCTTTCTCGGTGCCACAGGTGGGCTCGTCTTCGTTTTAGGGGGCGGGTCCCAAAGAATTGGATGTTCCATGTTGGTGGCCCTTCTCCACAAAACGGATCCCGAAAAACGACAGACGCAGATCTCTTCATGGCAACTTCTTAGGATGGTTTTCCAAGGAAACTGAAAATAGATTTTTCCATTTTGGGGGGGGGAACCCATATAAGACACACCCATTTCAGGTGAGCTTGTTTAGGGGTGGTGTTGCAAGGGGAAATCCGGGGAACCTTGACACTCCCAGAGTTCCGTTTCAGACTTTCGTCGCTTAAACCTTAGTGGCCCTTACAAGCAATTTGGACTTTTTGGGCCAGTCCATTCAGGAAGATATTTTGTTACTGCGCTCGGCTCCTCTTGTTCATTGCTCGTCCGACCGGTTTCGATGGCGGTTTTGTTTGTTACTTGTTAGGTAACCCCATACTTCGGTGGCAAGCAAAAGTCCAGGGACATTTTCTGACCAAGCTCAAGAAGTGAGTTGAGAGAGCCCGAAAATTGCGTAGGATCACAGGCTTATCCGGGGCTTATAGTACTTGCATCTTGAAATGAATGTTTCATGCCAGACTGTATATGTGAGATTAAGGATACAGTGTCCCCTATCGGGTCACGTAGTTATGTCCTCTAAGGGGACTTGAGGTGAATTTTGCCGAAGCCTCAGGAAGCAGCGGCCAGGTGGAGAAACATTGGGCCAGGTTTTTTGGGATAGGTTTTGGGGAAGGTTTAGGTTTGATTTTGGGACATTTTAGGAATCTTGGATTAGGAGAAGCGTCGGATCTCCGGCCTCCAGCTGAAACTTCCCTTCTCTGCAAACCAAAAAGCACGAGATTTCCCCCAAAGAACCTCTCGGGATTTTCGTTCCCGCTCGAAAATCCCCATTGAACCCAGGCAGCTTCAGACCTCCGGAAGCTGCACCGCTCGTTTTCGGTCCTGGGAGGCTTGGGCCTGCCAGAGGCTTTGGACCGAGTGCTGGGGGTCTCAGATCCGCGTTTGGGTTGGTCCGCAGAAATGCGAGGTGGACTCCCCTTGCGTGGGGATGTTTTTCTTTTCTGACCAACCCCAAAAAGGACTCAGAACTCAAAAAAGAACTCACTTCCTGAGTTCCGCGAAAGGGAGTTGAGTCATTTTTTGGTTGGACCATTTAAGTGGCTTGTGCAAGAAGTTTGCTTACTTTGTTGGACCAACTCAAGAAGTGAGGAATAGTGGCAAGCAAGAAAGGTGTGGGCATTGTTGGTTAACGTTGCTTCGCCCAGAGTTTCGATCCATCTTGAAGGTGCCAAAAGTTGAACATCGCTCTTGGGTGGGGAAGTGAGTAGGAAACCATAGCTCCTGTGGTGCCCTTGCCCTTTTCTGGGAGGTGTCCACCACGCCAAGTGGCTATGTGTTGTTTGTTTTATTTTGTGTTTAATGCAGGAAGCATCTCAAAAGTGGTGCAACTGATGTCCACCAAGGGTCCATTATTCACTGACCCAAAAATCACTTGGTGGCTCCCAGCCACCCGGATAGCTTTTCAGCATCTTTTCGTGTTGCGCGGCAGTTTCCTTCCATTTGACCCACGTATTCACTTTTAGCGGGGGATCCGAAGACGGGCAGCCTCCATGGAACTTGCTGCGGGAAATCGCTCTGAGGCCTCTGCCACCGCTGAATTTGGAGAAGGAGTCGATCACCAAGAGCCTGCCGCTGGCCCTTTGGCAAAACGGTCTTAGTGCGGCCCTGCGTGCTGTTTTTTTGTTTTCCTTTCTCCTTTTGTGTGTCTTGTTCTTTTGTCCTTGTCCTTGTTTATTTGCGGGGGGGGGGGTCAGAATTGTTGCGTGGGCGGACTTCTTCTTCTTCTTTTTTGTTGGAGGGGGGCGCTTAACATGGAAGTACACAAAGCCCCTCTCCAAGAGGAAAGTCTTTGTATAGGAGTTTGTGCACTTCGATGTTAGTCGGTGGGAGGGTTTGTTTTTTAGATCTGCCACAATTGTGACTTAGCGCTTTCTGAGCACATGCAAAAGCATGTGCTGGGATGTTGGATACTTCTGGCTTGACAAACTCTATTAGAACCAGCTCAAGAGCCGAACAGAAAAATATAGGCAGGCTAATACAGTGGATGAACAAAATCCACTGGAAACCATTGTTTGTTGATATTTGCAGGGAAATCATCATTGTCGGGTGTCTTAGGTGATGCAGGATTTCGTCCATCCACCGTATGCTAGCCATACATGGGAATCGATCTATACGTTCAATCAAGCTAAGCTAAGCACGTTCAGAAATGTACTGAGGATATAATAGAAAGTCCGGGGATTGAATTGTTTTTTGAGGGCCACCCTTGAGCATCGCAGAAAATGCTGCCCGCTTCTGCCCATGCAAATCCACCAAGGTCTCAGGGTATCTTGAGACTCGATGTCTTGCCAGGAGCAAAGGCCGCGTCTTCAGTACTGCGAGCCCCACATAAAAGGGCATGCTCAAAAAATAGGGCGGCCCCCAAAAACTGGAGGGGCGGTCTTTAAGCCAAGAGAAAAGGAAAGAGAAGAAGCGAGAAACTTCCATGATTGCAATGACCCCGGATTGGACCTCATAGATTGATTGGGGTGGCTTCTAACAGAAGACGCAAGCTTCCAACACCTTCAGCTTGTGGGTCGATAATCAATTGCTTGTGTTACACTGTTGTTGCTGCGTCTAGATACGTTTGATCTGTTGCAAACCGGTTTGTGACAGGGAAAGCATGAAAGGATGATGCGTTGTGCTCTGCCGCAGCGCCAAAGTAGTTTTGGTTGTGAGAAGCGAGGGCGCCTTGCCTGGATTGGGTCAGTTTGCACTCCCCAAAATCTGTCAGTTGGCCGTTTCCCCCAAAGAAGCTTAAAAGATCACCAAAGAAGCTGGTTTCTGAGTGTTTGGAAGGAAGACAGGCCCTGAGCGCTCTTGGCTCATTTGGACACCTCCTTGGGACAACAAGGAGCTCACAGGACCATTCAGATGCTCGAACTTGTACCAGTGCGAACATTTCAGGCTTGTCCTTTCAAGATTTTGCGGTCACATGTGTGCGCCCCCAACTGCAGGTTCACTGGCGTAGCAAGGTGTTGTTTGCCAGATTGATGTTGCAAAAGGATCCGCGTGGTTGAAGACCGGGATGTCCAGAAAAATGCCCGCTTTGGCCAACACATGTACAAACCCAAACCCCTTTGGATGTTTTTTGTTACATTTTTTTCAGAGAAAAAACAAATGGCGGCCCGGCGGTTGGTTGGCTTAGGGACACCAACCAAAAGTTTCGGCCCAGGCTCAGCCTTCCAGACCCGCCGGGACCTTGGACCTACGATTCGAAGCTCGTGGGAATCGGCGGTTCTCGAAGCCATCCGGTTCCTCGGGGTGGTTTTTAGAGGTTGGGGTGCTGTTGAACCCACAAGTCTTTCCCTAGGGTGTTGAGGTTTTTGCTGGTATTTGTTTTTGCTTTTTTAGCTTTGTGTGTTTGTGGGTTTTAGGGTGTTTTTTAAGCTTTTGGGGTCTTTAGGTTCGGGTTTCGTGGTTGGGTTGCCGTTTAACCTTCTAAAACGTTCAACCTTTAGCAGCGGATTGGCTCAGTTGAAAGACCAGCGTGTTGTTGAGGCGCGTTCTTCTGCTTTGGAACTGGCCAAGGGCAAAGCAAAAGGTTTCCACTTGCCTTTGGGTTTAAAGTTTGGAGAGAAGCCGGCCCTCCGCGCCCCCCCCCCCCCAAGTTTGAAACATGTGTTGCAAACATAGGTGTCCTTTTAGGGGAATTAGATGGGTTTCCCTGGTAGATGATTCAACCACCAGGTAAACCAGGGCCATCTACTTTTCTATCAAAACCAACCAAAAAGGACACCCATGGCTGCAAAAGGCCCCTTGTCAAGGCACTTAAAGGGGGCTTCTTGGGGTGCTCACGGTTCGGCGTATTCAGAAGTTCCAGGTGCTCTCAAGCGGTACCCAGAAGCTATCGCCTTCCCCTCCCTTATTTGGTGGAGCTAAAACGGGGGTGGCTTCTCATTTCCCCTCTAGGCGTTCAAGGATCCAATTCCAGCCGCCAACTTTCAGGCGCGCCTGAAAACTGGGCTGTCCAAGCAAAACACGTGCGTTTCAGAACATCTTTGGTGATATTCCTGGTTTCAGAGGTGGAATCTATGGTCACACATATCTCAGTTCTCCCAGGCAAAAACGAGAATGGCCCGCGACCCCTACAGCGATTCTCCAACCAAACCCACGGGAGCGCTCGATCGACCGGAGGCGCCAGTGAAGCGCCGGTTCTCCATCACGGAGCTCACCATGCCGGACTTTGCTTCGGGGCAGCGAGGGGGGGGGGAGATGGGGGGAGATGGGGGGAAGGGGGGGGAGACAGGTGTGGGGACACGTCGATTTTACAAGGAACCCGAAACAACCAAAGGGATGAGGTGCCACTGGGTCGTGAAAACGTTCAACCGACTTGGGGGGGTTTGGACCACAACTTACCCCCATGAGGTTGAAAGGGTTAAAATTCAACCAGGAATTGGACCGCAGGTTTGTCCTTGGGAACTTATTTTTGACCCACAGCCAAATAGGACAAGAGTAGGACTAGCAGGACTTGAACCTGCAACCTTCCGCCGACACAGCGACCGCGCTGCCATTGCGCCATAGCCCCTTTTCACAGATAGACAGCAGCCCCCGCTTTCAGTGAATCATGGCCAAAACTTCCGCCTAGCATGTCGGGGGCCTGGAAGACCGTGTTCCTGAATGGGAGGGTAGCGCTGACGAGGACATGCCGCAAACGGCGCGGCGGGCCTCGCAGGCACAGGCGGTCCCGAGCTGTCACTACTTAGATGTTCTGGACATAGCTCCTGGTGAATGATTCTGGTAAATGGGTTACAACTAGGGTTACTAACCAAATAGCTTAGTCCCAGGCCAGCTAACTGTTTGTTTGCTTGTAATCGTTTTGCCCTTAAACCGGCCAAATCCTGGCGTTCCGAACACATTTATCAAAGGGCGCCAGACCCTCTTCACAAGTCCCTTTCAAAGTGCTCCAACTGATTCTTTTTGGGGGGGGCGGAATCAAACAGTCCCAACCTGAAAAGGGGTGTCTGGGATTGGGCAGGTGAGGCAGGACTGGCAAGAAAAGCAACCTTGAGCTTTCCCGAAAGGAAGCCAAAAAAGCGGTGGATCAGTGGATCAGCATCATGGTGTCCAAACAACCCATTTGGCCCCCTGGAAAAAAAAATAAGGGGGAAAAAAAGGGGAAAAAACGCATAGACCCCAGATAGCAAACCAGCACCTCCCCAAAAAGCGCCAAACAGCACCCGGCCGTCAATCGAGCCAAAGATGCGCCCGCGCCGTCGCTGGCACCTCCAACAGCACCCATCCCAACAGAGCCACATGAGCCACATGTTTTTTTCAGCCCGGATCTTAGACCCTGGCGATCACCTCAAATCCACAGCAAGCGATTCGTTACGATCAAGCGGCTCAGCAAAGCTTTCCCAGCTCCTCCCTACTCAAAATGGAACAGGAGGACGTTACCTCGGCCTCGAGATCAGACTGGAAGCATTGCACCTGCTGAGCATTCGGCTGTGCAAAATCATCGCATACTGCATGTGCATTTTGGTCGCGATGGAAGTCCTCCGCTTCATGTCGCAGTCCTTGGCCTGGGATCTACTTCTAGAAGCATTTATCTTTGATTGCTACATGGTGAGTGGCTCGCATTCTGGGGGTCAAGAACATAGTGCGCGGGGGGGGGGGGGCAAGAGAATGATGGTTCCATGGTATTTTCTTGATTGCAAATGAACAGCAGTGTTCAGCCTTGGTTCCTGCTCAAAAGGGAGCGAACTGTTTGGGTTACATCTTTAGACTTTCACTTTTGGGGAAATCAAGAAGGGCTGTCCCTTGAACCCACAAAAAGTTGCATTTCTTGCAGGGTGGTCCTTGCAGCAACCAACAAATTCGCATCTGATCTTTACATGCTTAGGGGCGCAAGCCAGGAGCCAGATTTGTTTGACAAGTGGCTCTGAGCGCATAAAACGGCCTTTTTGGTTTTTTGAGGGTGCCCTTTCTTGGTCTTGGTTTGGAGGGAAGCCAACTAGGTCCCCCAGTAGTGCCCTGTTACCCTTTTTTGGGGGAGGGTTCCCCTACTAAAATAGACTACAGAAAAGGGGTACCCTTATTCTAACCTCTCTACTGGAGGACCTAGCCAATCTCGGCGAACCAGTTTTGGCGGCGACCCTAATTTGGAGACAAGTCCAAATTACGAAGGGGGACCAAATCGAAAACATCCATCTTGCGTGGGCGGGGGGTTGCTGGTTTCCACCGTCAAATCCAACCCCTTTGAGTTGTTGGAAAAAATCCAGAAAGGAAACTACAAGGAGATGGGATCGACGTTTGTTTTGCCAGACCCCCTATTTGACACCAGGCTAAATTGCCCGAACTCGCGTGCTCCTTTGGCCTCCCAGATAGCCGACGCAGATGCTTTGAATATGGCAGGGGCAATTTATGACAAAACCCTACCTCCAACGTGTGGGGCATCCACCGTAACCGAGTGATCGCTATTTACCGGAGGGTTGTTTTGGGAATTGTGAGGGGCACCATGGTGACTGTCCTCATCACTTTTGCTTGTATCGGAGCATCATAGTTCATGTTCAATTAGAAGTTGTTGTGAGCCAGAGCTTTTGGTGAACCTGCGCCTTTCAGATGCTTCGAGCTTTTCATCGAAAACCAGAGGCAACTGTTGTTTGAGTTGTCCGATACTGTTCAACATATTCGTGCCATCCAGAACCTCCACGATATGGCTCTATGCGTCCATTCGTTTTGGAGGTGGCATCTGATGAATAGTTGCCAGAGTCCAAATGCGGGTCCGTGTCAAATCGGAACTCCCTAAGATGGCTGGCTTTCCTTTGTGTTCCAGGCGCTGGAGCAGCATGGCTCGCTCACGGAGAGGCGCGGGCCGATTTTTCCGTGGCCAGGCCAGCGCTCTTGTTACCCGACCCGCCAGTGGCTGACAAGTGGCCCGGCCTCAGTTGCCTGGTTCCTCAAAGGAAATGCCCACCGAATCAATCCCCAGATTGTTGGGAGCTAATTGGGTTTTGTGCTTTTTGGAGACTATCTTGGGGGTGGGGTTTTCAACGGAAACCGAGGAGCAACTCACCCTTTGCGGATGGATCTACAACCTGCATGCTGCTGCAAAATGGAGAGTACTGAAGAAGGGAGTACTGGAAAAGGACCATTGGTAACGACGACAGGGGTCGGTCCCCGAGAATGGGTGTGTCTTTTTCCCCAACAGCTGAAAGCTTTGGGGTCTCAGCCCAGATAGGCTCCCGGGGTTGTCCGGGGCGGCCCTGAGGAAAGGTTCCACCAGGGTTGCACCACGTTTCCTCGAGGGTTCCACGAGGTTCTGCGCGAAAAAGAGCACCGCATGCTGTTGGGGATATCACCTGAGCTTATTAAGGATTCGGAGCCCCAAATGGTGGTTGGTTTTTTGAGTCTTCTGGAGAAGATTATTAAGGGAGGACAAGTGGATCAATGGACCCTGGTGCATCTCCACTCAACCAGATAGATCTGATTAGGTGGCTCTGTCACTCCCACAGGCAATTTGATTCGGGGATGCCATAGGAACAGGGCCTTTGTCTGAGTTTCCCTCACTGCGAAACCAAAAGAAGCCAAAAGGGCAAACCAGCATTTTGGGGGTCCCCGAAAAAAATGCCACATTCATCATACGTCAACAGCGGGAATTTGGACCCCATGGGTAGTTTCGCTTTTGGTGTCCCTTCTGACCAAAGAGTACAGGTTTTCCAACAAAACTCACTCCTGAATTCATGGACTGTAGTCACTTTTGTCCGGACCCTTTTTGCTGGGAAAACAAAGAAGCTCTGCCATTTTGGGGGGCCATCCACCCAAAAAGTCAGTGCAAAAGCCGCCGTCAGGCAGGCGGGCCCCCGCCTCTCGGCGAGCGAGTACCCCGAGTCCGCGCGGATCCTGGGCTACGCCAGGCCCGGGGAAGCTCAACCTCGGCGCTTCGGAGTGCGCCGGCATACTGTAGGGCTACCTTCCAGTTGGGTGTGGCTCAAAATTCAACAGCAGGGGCAAACCGCAGGTGTTGGTCCATGTTTCCGCTTAGGGTTCCATTTTGGTACCGCCACAGCCATGTCCATTCTTAACCCAGGCATCCTTCGTGTTTTCAGGAAACCATCAAAAACCCAGGGGAAGCAGCGACCAGTTTTTGAGAAAAGAAGGATGGTTGAAAAAAGAATGGAATCGGAATCAAGCCCTAGAACTGTGGGTTGCGGAATCCGCGGGGCTCGCACCGCCGAAATCTCTGATGTCTCCCCTTATAAATACCAAACCTTGTGATTCGTTTCAGCCATGGTTTCATTAATACCAACAAACAGTGTGGTTTCATGGTGCGAAAAGGGATTTGTCCATGCACGGTAGGTGTCTCTTTTTGGTTGAAAATCGATGGCCCTGGCTTTTGGTTCTAATCATCCAGTGCCATGGATTTGTCCAAAGCGACACCTATGCTTCGGACCATGCCCAATTCAGTGGCGCAAAAGGTGTCCCTCGTCCGATGGCTTCACTCGAAACCACCAAGACAGCCTTTGCCAGGGTCGCTGAAGGTAGGGCGTATCCATGCGAGCAAACGATTCGGGTTCCATGCAGCCAGTAACCCGAGGTTTGAACCCCTGCAACTGGGAAAACCACCCCTTGAGCTCCAATCAAAAATAAAGGGATAGCCAAGGGGTGGTTTAGGGGGTCAACCATCCCTGGACCTCCAATAGGGGAAGGGGGGCGCGAGAGGTCCAAGGGCAGCCACTCTGGTTGGCAAGAGGGAAAGCTGAGATTGGTGGGAAATGGCTATGGTTCGAATGGGGAGCCACGAATCCCACGTCACCAAGCAGTCCGGATCACTTTTGTGAGTGACACTTTCCTATGTGTAGAATCCGGGGTCTCCGGTGATTGCCCCCTACAGTTGGTGTCCCTTTCGTTTCCCTTCAACTACCAAAAGGGGTCGTTTCACCATTTTGAGAACCCCCCAACAAGGGCTTTGGGTTGTCACTTTCTGTGATACCACGGGAAAGCCCCTTCAAAGTGATAAAGTAGTCATGGGAACTTCAAGGATCCCTTCCAACCAAGAGATTGGTGGTGTTCCCTTTTCGCTTCCCTTATAGACCAAACCCCAAAAACGAAGCAAACGGCGTCCTCAAACAGTGTGCGACCTCCATGCTCCCTGACTGCATGGTGTCAAGAGGGCAAAACATGTCGGGAACGGCCCCTTAGCGTAGTTTCGAATGACGTGTATTTTCCATGTCGACACTTGGCAAAAACGCTTTTTCACCAGGACAAAGGCCCTGTACTTGGGCATCCCTTGTTTCTGAATGACTGTAGAAATGCACATAGTACCGTGGACGGGCAAAATCCGCTTCGCGCCACTTTGCAGCCATGACTGAAACCATTCTCTGCTGGTATGCGCCTTGGGGGATCCAATCAGAACCTGAAACGGGTTTCTCAGAACCGTGGCGAGAGGCACGAATCTCGCAGCCATCCACAGTACAAGCCCATTCCCGCCCGGCAGCCGGATGCCTTCCAAGGGTTTGACCCTCTTTTCCGAGGTTTGAAAGACCAAAAGTGGGGCATGAACAAAGCCCAAGAGCCAGTCCTTCCTTGGGAATGCTCGAACGGGAAAAAGCACGAGGACCAAAATGTTCATGGCTTCTGGTTGCCGAAACCAAAGAGACCGTGATGGAACTCCTAAGACGGGTACAGGGCTGGGTAGTTGAGAGCCTTCGAGTTTCTTAGGGGTTCCCAGCCTCGCGTCAGGACCGGGGAGTCGCCCGAGAGCCGACCGGCCTCTTGACAGAACCAAAAGATGGGGAGCCTTGAATGGGCGCGAAATTGCAGATGCATTGTTGTGGTTGTTTTTGTTTTGTTTTCTTACTCGAAGGGAGACCAAAAGCGGATGGGTATTGAGGTTGTTTTATTTGTGTGGTTTGTTCCAGCCCTCCATTTCTTGCACCAGGTATGGCGTCAGCTGTGAGCAATGAACATGTACTACCTCGGCACCGGTGTTAGGAAATCTCCTACCGTTTTGCTAATTGGCGGTTGTGGGTTTTGTATCCGTATGTCATAGTTCGCCTTTCTTGAGCATTACCGTTTGGTTGATAGCCTTGATTGAGTTTCTTTTGGTTGGGTGATTCGTGACTTGCTTTCGGGGAAGGAAAGAGAACTATGGTCCCCTGTCGTTTCAGTTGGGTAAACCAGTCGCGGCCTCTGCAACCTCACATGCTGGGTGAAGGTTCCTTCCATAGCTACCCCTAATTGGTTGACCAATATCTTCACCAAGATTGAATGTTGCTGATCCGCCACAATCCTGGAGTTGTATGGTAACCATGCATATGCGCTGCGCTATATGACAACAACACATATGTCTCCAAGAAAGTGGCCACATGCTTTGTTGCATGCCTAGAGCTAATTTGGATGTAATTTAGACAAGACCCAAAAGTTGATGGGAGAGTCACATCCCTAACTGGATGGACAAATACATGTGAAAACTAGTAATTGAAGGAATGCAATATATGTACACATATTTTGTACCTTTGGAACAGGGTCACACTTCAATGGTTAAACTGCTGAGTGTGCTCATGTGTAATATTCATGATTCATATGTATATGTCTATATATCTTTATGAAGAACAACACACACAAAAAAGAAAAGCTCCGGTGCTGAACCAATGTGTGGTCCAATGTGAGATACCAAGGATAGAGGTGTGTCTCAAACCCGGATGCCCCCTCTACTTGAACGGAATAGCAAAGGAAGTCCAACCAACCCAGCACTCAGTTGGGAGTTGTCTGACAGAAAGGACTGCTCCTTGGGTCTTTGATGGAAATGCTCGGGGGGTCTGTCAACAAATGGCAAGTGACATGCCTTGTTTTATGTTGGCACCTGCATTGTGAGCAACGATGCAGCACAAAGCTGGTTGCTACCAGCCAGATTTCCTCTAAAGCACAGCTAGATCTTTACTTGACATGTCTTCTTAGCATTTCGATCCGGGCTGTGTCATGTTGGCCGAACTGGAGCAGACGTTGACACTTAGCCACGTGATTGATCTATCGGCGTTCGAGCACAGCAAGTGGGTTTTGAGGAGCGTGCGGATCGTGCCGTGAAAGGGAGGACCTTTCGGTTGCAACAATTCAATGTGTGTTTTCTTTTGGTGGCTTCACTGTTGTTGCCAAGTTTTAGGTGTTTGTTTGTTTGTTTGTTTTTGTTTGCTTGTGTGTTTCTTACATGTTTGAGTTTGTTGGTTCTGTTCATGTTTAATAGGGGCCTTGAGTTTGTGGCTGCCTTACGAAGGGCGATAAAGTGGTGCTTAAAAGTGAAAAGCAAGGAACCTGCCCATGAGCAGGGCTCCCGGAGAAGCAAGTGGCCGACATCGGGGAAATCAAGGATGCCTCGCCGGATTTTGTACATCCCCTTCAGGGAAGAGCATCGCTTGATTTGCAAAATGGTGCACCCCTTCTTGGGCATCCTTTCCTGTACTGTCCTCCAAAGTTTATGTAATAATAAAAAGAAGAAAAAGAAGAAGAAGAAGAAGAAGAACGATAATGATAATGATAATGGTAATACTAATGATGTATGTATGTATGTGTCTAGGTGGTTGTTTATGTTTATTTCCCTCGTTTCTGTCTTTCTTCATTTCTTTTTGTATTTATTTCTTTCTCTATCCTTTCTTTCTTTCTTTATTTCTTTCTTTCTTTCTTTGTTTCTTTCTTTCTTTCTTTCTTTCTTTCTTTCTTTCTTTATTTCTTTGTTTCTTTCTTTCTTTCTTTCTTTATTTCTTTGTTTCTTTCTTTGTTTATTTTGTTCTTTCTTGTTTCTTTGTGTTTTTGACTTGTTTGTTCTTTATTGATTTGTTTCTTTTTTATTTCTTTCTTTCTTTCTTTCTTTCTTTATTTCTGTCTTTCTGTTTTTCTTTCTTTCTTTTGTTCGTTTGTTTGTTCTTTTTTTCCTGTCTGTCTTTCTTTCTTTCTTTCGTTCTTTATTTCTGTCTTTCTTTCTTTCTTTCTTTCATTATTTCTTTCTTTCTTTCTTTCGTTTGTTCGTTCTTTCTTTTTCCTGTATTTCTTTCTTTCTTTCTTTCTTTCTTTCTTTCTTTCTTTCTTTCTTTCTTTCTTTCTTTCTTTCTTTCTTTCCTTCTTTTTTGCTTCCCAGCGAAACACAAACCAAAACGCCCCTGATCATCCCCCGTTGACCAGACTGGTGCTCTGAGGCTGAAAAACCGGAACGACCTCACAGAGGTCCATCGCAGGCCGTAAGCCGAGAGTGGGATGTCCTACGTGTCCCCCAAAGTCGCGAAGAGCGAAACCCCGGAATCTTTAAGCGACTTCCCTGGAACCGAAAAAGTAGAAGTACTTGTGTAGGGTTCGGTGAAGGGCCAAACCCGGTTTGTTTTGGGAGTTGTTTCTTCTTGTTTCTTTTTTTTGGTTTGGGTTGGGGGGGGGGGGGATGTTGAGCCCAGACATTCCCTTTTGAGGCAAATCCACAGATGTGTCCTAGCGACACCCTGGGTTAACAGGGGCGCATAAAAACATCGCAACCCATGGTCCTGTGACTTCCATATTGCTTTCGCTGAGCTCCTGGACGAACTTTTCGGGGGTGACTTTGTGTGGCCAAGTCCACTCAGGAAGCAAGAATATGTGTTTTGTTGTCCCTTTTGGAAGATCACTTGTTGGATCCATTTGAGGAGAGTGTCCTCTTAGTGATGTGACGTGTGAGGGGAAGTATGGGGTGCTTTGGGCTTGCATTGGAAATGTGTCTCTGGGTATGGAACCCTCAAAGGTACCAGGCTCAACTTGGGTTGGAAACTGGTCAGCAAAGGCACACGAAGACTACCAAGTGTTCGTTGCTTGGCCATACAACAATTTTGGGGCTGGAGCCATGTTGGCCTTCACAAAAAGTTTGGGTCCTGGGCCAATCCGCTGAAGTGGCCATGGGTCAAAAGCCAAATCGTACCCCCCAAATCGTAGCCCCACCTTGCTTCGCCATGGCCACCCCGCGGCACTCGGTCAGGAGCCTCCTCCCTTCCAACGCCGGGCTTCCGCCATCCAACTGGAGCTCGAAGCAGTGCTGCCAAGCACCAAGCCCAAGCTGCCCGGAGACCAAGACTGATGCATCCCGCCGGCTTGAGTACCTCTACTGGTACCTATACTCAGTTGTTCAGTGGCACGTGTCCCTGCTTTCTTTGGTGGCCCCACTAAGAATGGTCCAAGCCCCAAAAAGGGTTCCCTAGTTTTCCAGGGTCACTGAACTGAGTACAAGTCCCTCGTTCAGTGGGTAAACAGCTTGTGTACTAGGTGAGTGGCGGGCCATCCATTTCCGCAGAATTTATGGCGAGCGGTTCCACCGATTCGGGGGCAAAACGAGCTCAAGCCATGGCTTGTGATCCTTTACCTCGGGATCCCTTATTTCAGGTTTCGGAATTATTGTAAAATGTGCAGAGGGAAAACGGTGAAGCCCCACAACCAGAGACACCCCCATATTAAGAAATTGAGGTTTGAGACTGGGTTTACCTTCCCAGGGTCATAGAAATCCCCACATAAGTCTCTATAGCCATGGTAGAACCCAAAGTCAATGGGGTCACTTAAGTCGGCTTACCCTGCGATGCGGCTTGTTGGTCCGGTGGCACATGGAGAGCCATTTTTTATCAAGTCGGTTCTGTGGGCCAATAATCCACAACTGAAACCGAAGCTGAAAGGTAGTGAGGGACAGTGAGCATACGTGCAGATATCCGCCCGTTGAATTCTTTGGGTTGTAGACCGTTTCCTTTGCGTTTGATTGCGACCAAAGTGTCTCGAAAGAGTTGCTCCCCTTTGGGAGCCCTGTTGAGCTGTCTCTCGTCATGCGCCTTGAAACGAGTGCCTGCATTTGCTTGACCAAACATTGTGATGGAGGCCAAAGCTAAACTGGTTGCGATGAGCTCAAAGGGGAAAAGTATTTTGCCAGATCGCCTACCTGACACCTAGGTGAGTGTTGCAAGGAGACTAACGTGTTAACAATGCAGAAGTCAAAACAGAAATGCACACACACACACATTGAAGACTATCTCGTCATGCAACGGTGCTGTCCTGGGTTTGTCTCAAAATGAGGCGACGTCCCATAAAGTCAACTGGAATCCTGAAACATAAATGAACCAAAACAGGTACCTGCATATATATATATATATATCATGGTTATAAGTTTAAACTGTTGGAGCACCCTCAAATGGTTGGTACGTGCAAACATTCCATTACAAAGGTGTCGAAGCCCCACAATGAACTGCGAGTTACCCAACTTATTCCTGGATCTCGTTGGTTCACTTGCGTTGTTTGGGAATGCACTGTATCCATGGCAAAAAGGATCGGCGCAGCACATCCTGTGGAACACATCCCGAAATTCCCGGGTGTGTTGTTTTTTGGAGCGCTGTCTCTGGCTGTTTTGTTCTTTGCCAGTGTTTGCCATGGGTATTTGTTGGCTATCTTTCTTGTTGCGTCGCTGCGCACTGGTCGGGTTGTCCATTGTAGGAGTCTGATTTGGATTGGGAAATCAGAAAAACAAAAGGGCCTGCTTCGACCGCATAAGGATCGCCTTCTTCAACCAGCGAAATGTCTTTGTTTCCCAAAGTAAGTTGCTTGGGTCAGAAGTCTTGTCGCCATGAACCATGTAACATGATCAGGCAGGGATGGCAGCGAGTCCGGGAAAAGCGGGATGAGAAGGCCCGAAGTCTCCCACGGCTGCAGGGAAGGAGGGAGGGAGACAGCTAGCACAAAACAGAATTGCTAACAATGGAATCGGAGCAGGGGGGCTTTATGAAATCTCATGTTTAGTTCCATGTTCCCTTTGTGAGGAAGACTAGATGCATGGAATTGAAAATTGAGGGACCCCACAGCCTCCGAAAGGGAGCGAGATTCTTTACATGTCCACTTCCGCAAGCTAGTGGAGAGCAAGGGACCCTTCCCGCACTTTGTGTGAGGGGTCTGGTTTTTAGACGAAATCCATTTCGTATTACCTAAGAAACCCTGGAAATGATGTTTCTCCTGTAAGTACCATCAAACCATGGTGTCCCATGGTTTACGTGGTGCCAAGGGATTTGGTTCTTCCCTGTTCAGCACCAAAGTTTGATGGCTTCCCCAACAACCAAGCCCACAAGGCGACTGCCTTGGTTCCACCAGCTGAATGGATGGCTTTACATTTGCCAATTGATTGGAAGTAGCTCGTCCAACCATCTATCCCAGTGCTTCCAGTAGGTAAGCAGGTATTTTTACTTGTAGGTGTTTTAAACCATGGTTTACCTACTTTACCGGGAACTGGAAGCACTGGGTTTGATTCGATTCTACCACTTGGCTTCAGAAGCCGCCAACCCGATGGTTCCCCTTTCCTGAACCATAGCACTCACTCCCGGAGCTCCTGGACTTGATGTTTTTGGCTGGACCAAGGCAGTGGAAAGCCAAAAAGCTCGGACTGTGCTTGGCCAAAGTCAGACCGCCCACTTAGATAGTTTGGGAGTGGTTAGTAGCCCCAGTTGAAGCCCATTTCTGGTCGCAAGTCCCCCTTTGCCAGAAGTATAAACCGTTTCGACTGCTACCTTCCCCACTCGCTTTCCAGGGTTCTCTCTAGAAACCCCCCGGAAACCCATGGAAAACGGATCCGGTTTTTGGAAAGAACGATGGTTGAAAAGAATGGTTAGACTCAAACCCCAGAAAGCACTCGCCCCACCCGGCGGCCCAAAGGCGACCGCCTTGGGCCTCAGCCCCGAGCGCGGCCGGGCTCGCAGGACCTTTCTCCGAAGCGATCGGATCGATCGGATCGATCTCAGGCGAATTGGTTCGTTCGGCCCAGATCCCTGGGCCACCAGTTGGATGTGAGGGTTGATCAAACGGTCCTTTACATGGGACGACCACTGGGGAAAACCACTAAAAAGATGATATTTGATATTTCCCACTAAATGGGAAAAGTTACCCATGGTCATTGGGTGCCAGGAATATTGACCAACCCCCATGTGTTTGTAAAGCTTGTCTAGAACATGGGTGGCGAAGCGACATGTAGAAAGTGCAGCAGTTCCCGCCTCCTAGAGGCGCCCACACTTAAAGCATGCCTGAGAAAAAGTTACTCTGCTTAGCGACTTCCATTTGCTGAAATGAAGATTTGGTTAATTGTCCCAGGGGTTGGCTTTAAATTAAAGGCAATCTATGACTCGAAATATGTTTGTTTTTTCCAGTCGACTTAAGCAAATGGACGGTTATGTTGATTCATTTACCATGTGTTGCATGACGGTTTCACTTGGTTAGTAACTGTAAGGGCAGCTGGATCACAGAGATATGCACAATGTTTGTTGTCATTCCAAGTAAAATTGCTATATTGCACCATGCGCGCTATTCCCCAGGCTTTCGTGGAATCCAAGTATCTTTGCCTTGAAACCGGGCCTGCGGTCTTGGCGGAAAACCACAGATTGTTTTATTGGGCCATGGCTTATGGTACTTCCCGTTTCTACCCTGTTCCCCTGTGTTCCCCGAACACAGCGACCCGAAAAAAGCATCCCATAGGCGAGGTTTTTCCCTGGGACTGAGATAAATGGTCACGTCCGAAGCCGCTGTCAGGACCCAAATTCTTCAGATGCCTAGACCCCTTGGTTTCTTCGGTGAGATTTTTTTCTTAAGAAATCCGAAAAAGTCTCACGATCCCCATGATTTCACCAGAATTACGGCGTGTCTGAGCTCAGCTATATCACCCACCCTTCAGACCCAAGAATCATGGCAGACCCAAGTCCTTGCCGCAATCTCATCGCAGGGCCTCACTTACTCCGCGGCCGGAGCCGCCTGAGGAGCGGGGCAGGGCGACTGAATGTGTCCTTCCGATAGGAAAATGCGTCACCCACCCACCCGAGAAGGAACGAAAGAAAACGAGAGGAGTGTGTCTTGATTTCCCTGGAAGCAAACCTCCAAAAAGGTTTGCATTTGGTTGTCATGGCGTTCCCTTAGCCCCAAACAAAACTCGGGGCTTTGCATTCGGCTTCCGTGGTTCCTTCAAGAACAACTGCCACAATGCTCAGATTCCGGACCAAACTGGAGGAATCTCCCTACTGTAAGAATAGATCCCCAAATAGGGTAACCCTTGATTGATATGGCCGTGAATTTCGAGAGTTGGAGCCACCTGAAAAGTGGTGGACATGAATCCCGACCGAACGTTGATGTCCACTAAAGGCTCCCCCATTCAACTTCATACCTGGTCTGAAACAATATGAAGTCGACGTCTTACACATTTGCATTGGGGGGGGGGGCCAATTCCTCAATTCTTGGGCCCCAACTGCTTTTTGTGAATCCAGCATGTTTGGTTCAATGCCTCCTTCCCCTTCTGGCTCCTTCTTTCAGGCAAGGGAATTGACGAGGCTCACAAGAAACCACTGGGCCTCACATCGAAGTGGAACCATCGAACCGGGACAAAGAGCAGTTGACACAATCCACCGACTTTCCAACTGCCTAGCTTTGATTGTGCCTCCGATGGTCGTCTACTAGTTGATTCTTAGGCAAATTGATGATTTGTTGAAAGGGAAGTGGTCATGACTTGCATATGCTGTGGCTTCAAAGCAAGGACCATGGGTTTGGGTTAGGGAGAGGGGAATTGTGTACAAGAAGCGCCATCAGGGTTTCCTGGGGCTTCACATGGGGAATCTTATTTCAGGTTTTGGACATATAAGAAAGGCGTGGATCTTTGGGCTTCCCCTAGCCATCCAACGAGAGCCCGGTTTTGAGAAGCACGGGCGAAGGGAAGTGTTGGCACGCGAGGAGACCTCGTCTCCTGAGACCGACCGAAGGCCCGGCTTTCAGCCATCGCGGGAAACGAGCGGCGTCAAAATGGACCCTTTTAGTGGGTATGTGGGTTTTTGAGGGACACGAAAAGGAAACCCAAGCAGTTTAGGGTGACGATTCCTATTGTGATAAGCAGTCTTGGGGTAAAACCAGCTCACCATGATGGTGGTTCTGTACTTGGGGACAAATTCGATGAAGGTTCTGGACATGTGGGATTTGCAGATGTGCATCCGCTTTTCTTCATGTTTGGCTCCGAATCACCCTGCGTGATGCGAAGCAACGCTGGGCCCGATCGTATCGAGCAAGCCACCGAAGAAATTTCGCCTTCCCAAAAACGAATGGAAGCAGAAGAGTTCCCTCTTTTGAAAGGAACTTGTTGCCATTTTCTCATGGATTTGCTTATGGCTCACTGGAATTACCATCACTGATTGATAACATGGGGGGGGGGCCACCACCCCAATCGAATTTAAGGGACTCAATCGAGGAAACCGGTAAAACACTTCGGGCAGATTTGCCTTTCCCAAGTTTAGTACTGGCTTAGAATTGGCTTAGTATTGCTTTGTGCTGCCGTGGCTTTGCCTTAGTACTCAGAAGAAAGAACGAGTGGACAAGAAGAGAAACGGGAATTTCTATGGGGCAGCGGCGGAGAGATGGTTGTGCATAAATTGGGTACCCCTTTGTCATGTCTATTATTGAGCAGTTGGAACCCGCTTGTAAGAATTGGCCACTGAGCCGTTTTACATAAAGGATAGGTAAGGAAATCGGTGTCTTGGGGGGATGGTGTTGTTTCCGAAGAAATATCGGACCAAATGTGACTCGGCTTTCTCCTGATTAAGTCCCAGATTGTTTGTTCCAAGCGAAGAAAGTTTTGCAATAGGTGGCCTTTGCATTTTTGGGGTAGAGAATAAGTTTGTAAAAATCATTACCGCTGAATTAAGTTGTTTCGACATTACCCTTTCCCGAGATGGCCACTGGAGGTCCAACACTGCAAATAGAGGGTTACACTCCTGAGAGGTTTACGGGAATGTGCTCAACCTCAGACCTTCCACTTGGTTGTGATCGTTGAAATGAACAGGCCGAATGCGTGTCTGCTTTGCCCTTGTTTCTTTTGTGGAGGGGTTCAAAGGCAAACCGCCCTTGACATGCCCTTTAAAATCACAGTTCGTGCTATGCCCATGTGGGGCACACTCCAAGACAGACTCAGGAACTTTGCGCAGCACATCCAGATGACGAAGGCTCCGCATCCCAAAAAACGAGCGGCTCACAAACCCAGGTCTTCAATAAATCGAGGCTGCTAAGCTCTGTTGCCCAATGCCTTGCCTTTTGTCGGTACTTTCCTGAAAAGTCACGATGACCCCTGCCATATCTACCAAAAGCTCTGGGTTCATTTGGTGGATTTCAGCATCACCTTCGAGAATTTTCGGACACCCTGGTTCGGCGTGATGGGGAGTCCATTGTTTTCCCAGACAGGCTTGTTTCCTTTCACTCCTGCTTTTGCAGAGGTGGGCCCTTTTAAGCTCTAACTCTACCAAAAAAGCCGCCCGTTTTCTCTCTGGCCACGGCCTCAAGAAAGTGACTAAGCCGCAATGAAAACCTGGCAGAGGAAGGTTTGGGGGGACAGTCCCCATAGATCAGATGCGAGTATCCGCCCTTTTGATCATTTGCATTGGTCGATTTCTTCAGGACCGTTGGCACAATCAATGGCAACTTGGGATTCATCCCAAAAAAATGGACTGCGTTTAAGACTGAACAGGTTCCCCACAGAAAAAACCGCTAAGGCTCCTTTTGATTGAAGCTTTGGCCAAGCTTTCTCATGCCAGAGTGTCACGTGACCTAAAATTGACTGGCCCATTGCTTTCCAGGGTTCAATCGCTTGCCGAATTCCCGTGTCCCAACCTGCGGGGAGGGCATCTAGCAGGCCAAAAAGGATAGGCTTCATGACCCTTCTTGCAACGGGGTTCACCAATTCCCCAAGGAAGAAACTCGCATCCATCGAGGTATGTCCAGAGATGGATTTCATGACCTACCACTACAACTCACTTTCGGAGAGCTCCTGGACTCAAGAGTCACTTTTTGGCTGGCCGGTTCCCATTGTGGTAAAAGGATTTATTTAGAAATAAGAATGAAGAATCTCCAGCCCTGGGCCCAAAACCGGCAGTGAGAGCGGCAGCGCTCGCTTCCGCCAGGTGGCACAGGAGCGTCCGAGTCCCCCACGGAGGCGGGGCTTGGTTTCCTGAAAGGCGACGTCCGGGTTTGGTTTCCTGGAAACCACCAGCCCAAGAGAGCCCTGAAAAAGACAAAGACCTCTTTTGGTCATTTTGAAGATCACTGGTGCCGGTTTAGGGTGAGTCTCCTTTTGTGTATAGGGAGGGCATGCAGAGCCCGCAAGGGTTTCACCAACGACCTCCAGTGGTGTGGTTTTCCCCCCGTTTTCCCTTTTTCTTGGAGGGGCGGGCAGCTTTAAGACCAACCAGCAACTCACTCGCAACCAAAGCGAATCGACCTTTTATCATTTTGGTCTCCCTGATTTGGCGCGTGTTCAGTGATGGAACCCAAGAGTGCTCACCTTTTAGTATCTGGGTCCCTCAACCGGAGATGAAAATGCCTTCATGGCACATCGGGTTTAGCAAGGAACTCCTCCGTCCGTATTGCTACGTACTTAGCTTTGGAGTCGTAAAGCCCATGTCATACTTTTCGGGGCCGGTGCATTTTGGCTCTGCAAAAATTGTGGACTCCTTTTTGGCCCATCAACTGAGGAAGTGAGTTCGTGACCATGTTAGAACCGATGCGCTATGTTAAGGCACATCCCTAGGAGGGAAGAGTCCTATCCTAAAAATGGTTCGACCTTTGTGGAAAGGGGCCTTGGTGTCACCAACATGGCCCTTGTCCTTTTGCCCTTTGGGAGTTGCCCAAGAGAAGTTACCGATTTGCAGGGGGTCCAAAAGCGACAGGCTGAAGCCTAGCCTGAAGGCTCCTGAAGAAATGTGGGGTGCCCCCAATAAACCCAAAAGCTTGCAATTGCTTGAAGGGTCAAGGAATATGTCATGGCTGATTCAAGGCGTGCTTCTGTTTTTGAGGGCACCCCCTTGTTTTGAGGGCACCCCGTAGAAGGAAAACAGTTCATGTTGGGCGTCTTCGTGGACGTGTGCAGAAGCAAAAATCCTTGCAAGGCAGGACCCACTGCAGGGGCAATATCACTGTTGCATGGCGAGCCACAATTTTCGGAGCCATGTTAGGTTTGACTCGGAGGGGTTCCCCTGGTTCTGCTGTAACACCACCGCGTTTTCCGCCTCTCCGTCTAGGCCTCCTGGCGTGGTGCCGCAACCCCCCAGCAGCCACCCGGCCGGCGCCGCGGCGGCCGGGCGCGCCATGCGCCTCAACCTGGCAGTGGGCAAGGCCAGGCGCCAACCAAACCCAAAATACGGGGGAGGTTGTTTTTTTGGTTCCCAGCTGTCCGGTTCAACTTAGGTTGTTAGTTGTCTTTAGTGGGTTTAGGCCAAAATGCGGTGGTCCTGTCCGGTTCAACTGAGGCTTTTAGCTGTTTTTAGTGGGTTTTGTGGCTGGGGTTCGGATTTTTATCCCACAAGTGATTCAGTCTTAGCAGTGGATCTGAAACGGACCGAGTTTTGATGCAGCATCAACACTCGTACGGTCAGCCGAGCGCGGTGATCTCCCGTCGCCAGGCCCCGGCCCCGGCCCAGCCGTTGGACGCCACGCACGCCTTGCAGGCACGAGGTATTTTGAGAGCTGAGGGGAAATTGTGTTTTTCTAGGGTGGTCATTGACCCTTAAAAATGGTTGGTCATTGACCCTTTGAAAGGGTGAGAAGGAGACTCCAGGCAGGAACTCAGAAATTCAGGAAAAATTGAGGGTCTGGACCAGACCTCTCTTTCCAGGGATCCGCGTCTTTCTAGAAAACCGCCCAAAATCCTGGGGAAATGGATCTGGTGTTTGAAAAGAACGATGGCTGACAAGAATGGAAACGGAATCAACCCCTAGATTGTTCGCCGAGCTTCTGAAGCAAAACAGGTTGAAGACAAAGCAGCCGTTTGGATGGCCCACTTCGGTCCCACAGAAAGGGTTCTTTGCCACCCAGAATTTGCGTGTTCGCTTTGGTGGCACTTGCAAACGGCCCCGAAATTGGTACCCTCACTGAACAATATGTCCCCGTCAGACATCACGTTTTGGGTCCACGAAGTGACCACCAGGACCCTAAAGTGAGGACTGTTTTCTGCTTAACAAGAAATTCCTTTTTGCTGATTGAGTTAGCTCTGCTTAAGAATGCATGCACTTCTACGTGGGTGTTTTCTAGAAGAAGCACTCCGCGTGAATAAGCTGGACAACGCGAGAACTGGGGGAATAGAAGCGGGCCGAAAACGTGACACGCCAAAACTCGGCTCGTCCGCATGTGCGCAAACCTCGGTCGCGACGCCTGACGGAGGCAGGCTCGGAGCGGGTTGCGGGGGCGCATTGGCACGACAGCGCGCGCTGCTTCGCAGCCTTCAACCTTCAACTCCTTGCACGCTGTTCATTCTTTGCAGCCGTGGGCTGGAAAGAGGGACAGACAAAAAAAAAAAAAGAGAAAGAATAGATCACAGAGAAAGAGGAAGAGAAAGAGACAGAGAGGGAATGGGACAAGAATCGTGCTCCAAGCTATGGCTATTGCATTTTGAAGCTTCGGCCTTCCGGCTCTACTGGACTTTACGGCCCGTTTCCTTTTCCAAGCAACCCTTGTGAAAGCGTGGAATTGGAGCAACCCTGGTGCTTAGAGAATGCCGTGGTTCATGATGTTAGCCAGCGCAGGCATGTTCAATTTCTCCTGAAGACGGCCAGCGGCATTCGCCGCCTGGGCCGGCGAGCCGCGGCTGAACCCGCAGCGTCTACGGGCAGCGCGGACAAGAGCCAGTCATGGGTCAAGCTGCGTATGAACCTGGCCGAGAAGCGCGCGTGGCGGTGGCGACGATGATCGGGGTGAACGTGCCCCCTATGGCTGGGATCGCTACAAGAACCGGCATGACGTCAACCTTCTCAGTTTCACAATCATCCCATACTGCATGATGCCCTCATTCTGCAATCTAGGGGTTCAGGCCTGAAATTCAGGTGGTCTGTGTTTCAGCTGGACCCCTCGAAGATAGGATCCTACAAGAAATCTCGGGAAAGTTTGCGCAAAGTTCTACAGTTGGTGGAACGTAGACGGCATAATTCCCTTGATGCCAGCGCGCCAAGGGATGATGAGTTCTGCATGACCATTCAGCCACTACGTGCCCTTTACTTACTAAGAATACGTGGAATGACCCTCAACCACTTGAAGCCTACCGCACCCAACTGAGTGTGTGGGTTTTTTGGGGGGGGAGCCCCGCAAAACCAGCCCGGAAGCAGGTTTCCCACCATGTCTTCACAGGGAACACAAGACATTGCACGTTCATCTCACTTGTTTCGGTCTGCTTTTTGGGTGCTTTGCTTTCAAACAAAGGGCTGGCAGCTGCCGCTTCGATCTTTTGACAGTGGTGTTTGGGCAATTGCTGCTTTGCCCGCCAGACCCGACTCCCAAATTCAGCCCCTTCACCCCGCGGAATGGATCACAGATTCAGCTGAGATGTTAGAGTTCTATGGCGGGTGTCTCGAAAGTCGGAACCCCAAAATGGTGGTGTATCCTTTGGTGTCCTTTTTGTTGCGGAAGGGTTCCCCCTGCAAAAAGACAGAGATATGATATGGAGAACCAGCATGTTAGCAAGGGAAGAGCACGACACAAAGGAGGAACAAACAAAAAAGTCCGCAAGGGCCTTTTTAAGAGGTTGGGTTTCGTCTTGCACGACCATCCTCTCCACTTCCATGATTGGAAACAGGGAGACTACATGATACTCCCATGATCATATGAAAAATATGGTTGACAAACAGCCCTTAAGCGCCTTCATGTGTTTCAACATTGGCGGAAAACAGGGTTCGTTTGGGCGACAACCAGGTTCAAGGCGCAAACAAGGGGGGCCAAAGCAGGCCCGGGGCAGCACCTTTCTGCGCTCCTAGAACTCTGCAACTCTAGGATGTAGCCTCGCTTTGCTGAGCGCCTTGCGCAGGAAAAGCTGCATCAGTCGTATCTTCGATTTTCGAGAAAAGACTGTTGCAACAGCAACAAATTCCCACCATCCATCCCCTTGACACCTCCAGCATCTGTAGTTAGAGCAAGTTAAAAGAGCGTAGCACGTGCACGAGGTGACGGCCGCCCAACTTCCACGCAATTTGCACCGGCTGGCGCTCGCGTGAAAGGCCCAACTCAGAAAACAAGTTGGTGCTCCTAAACGCGTTTGAAATAGCTTCAGTAATCCTTGCCTCAGACCATTCTGCACAGTGCGGCAAAATGAGACGAGGTAAGACACACTTGACATCAGCCCTACTGGAGGATTGAGGTTGGTGGGTGTGGGCTGCCAAAGTAAAAGAGAGACCTGTACTATGAAACAGCCTCCCCTGGAAATCGCAGACAGCTCTTCTGCCTGCGTGTTTGTCACTGAATCTGTTCAAAATGCGACGAATCTGGGCAAGTGGCCAAGACACGTGAACAGACTTCGGGTGTGCGGAACTGGGCAAAAGGGGTCGCCATTGCCTGCTCTCTTTGAGATGCAAAGCGTAGTCAAGCACACCAGTACGTGCCCAACCAGGACCTTTAAACAAACGAACATCCAACATTTCGACCTCGGTCTGCGACACACTCTCAAACGATATTTGGAAAAATCCAGCCCTTTTCTTCAAATTTCTGCAGAACTCAAACCGCTGTTGGTTAGAGCCGTCGATGACAATCAAACCATCATCTTTGAAGCGGCAGTAAAGAAGCACACCATATCGTTGTTGCGTCACTGGGCATGCAGCAAACTGTTGTTCGGCCAGCTTGTAAAAGCAAGCATCAGATAGCTCGCCTGAGCACCGCAAGCCCATGCCCCGTGCCAACCCGGACAGCCCAAAAATTGTTGCTGCCAGGTTGTTCACCAATTGGTTCTCAAGCATGCAGTCAATCATGCACCGGGCATCCTCATTCAAATCAGCCGGAAAACACTGTGCAGCAAGATCAGCCAACACACGGTGTTTGCCACTCATGAAAAAGTCTTTTATATCGAATTGGATAAGCCGGGCCGTTGTCGGAACTCGAATTGCGCGTATAAGTGCCAGCAAATGGTCCGAGTCACGAAGAATGTGTTGTTGTTGCTTAATGAAAGCCTTCTAATGGTAACCAACCCAACGCATACCAGGGTTCATGAAATGCACAGGAGCAGCATGTATCATGCGCAAAGACACCTCACCACGGGGCTTGTGTGTCTTCACCGTTGTCCGTATAGAACAAACACACTCTTTGCAGCCTTTGCGTAAAGAGGAAACCAAAGTAGAAGCCAAGTCTTCATCACCAGTTGTTGCACCGATTGCGTGTGAGACAGAACGATACTGCTGCATCATGTCATGCACCATGCCCTCATGCATGTATACCTCTTCATACTGTGGCTCGCGTAAAGATGCGAAGATGGCGTTCTGCAAAGCAGTCTTATCACACACGGCAAAGCCACCATCTTTGTCAGTAGGCACAGCGCCCAAAGGTCCTTTCCTGAGCATACGCAAGCCATGTCGGGCAACTTGGCTCAAGTTTGAAGATTGATTCTTCTTGTCCAGGAAAAAGCTCTTAGCAGTGACACAGGCTCCCAAAGCAGCGTTCTTTGCCTCTAGTAGAAATGATTCCCAGGCATCAGGCAAAGGATCTGCAATGGGTGGGGTCAAACTGTGATCGCGCAGCTTCCACCATTGTGGAACACTGCGCGGTTCGTTGTTTTGGGCAAACTTGCCGTGAAAATGCATCCAGCGTATCTTGAATTCCCATTGTTGTAATGCAAAAAGAAATTCTGGCCAGCGATGGCGACTTCCGGGGTAGAAACACATGCTTTGCATGCAAACGCAGGACAAACTCGATGGGCCAGGGTAGTTCTCTGCACGAAGGAACCCAAGCCTCTTTGTCCAGAGGAGAATACATGTAAACACCGCCATGTCCAAGCCCACATTGCAAAAGGCAGCAAAATTCAGGAATTGGCATGCCGCGAATCCATCGCAGAAAGGTGTTAAGTCCACTGCTCAGGCATCCCACTGGAAGCCCTTGCTCTTTCCTTTTCGCTGCTTTCCAGCGCTTTCGCCTTTGCCTTTTCCCTTCCTGCCGAAGCTAAAAACTGAGTTCAGCTTTCCCTGATTCTTGCCTTTTCCTCCAGATTTGCCGCCATGCCCTTTGCCCGACTTGTTGCGGTTGCCTTTGGGGTTGGCTTTGCCTTTGCCATACCAGTCTCCCTTCTTTCCTTTGCCAGCATGTCCTGGAGGGCCCTTGCCTTTCCAAGTAGTCATGCCTGAGCCCTTACCACTGGACTTGCCCTGAGAGCCCCAGCGTGAGGGGGCACTTTCTTGGACAAAGGCTTCAAGGGACTCCTTGGACATGTTTGCATCAGCGGCTGCGGAGACAAAAGCTGCGGCAGCATCAACGTTCAACCCTGGGGGCTTTCTGGGCATCTTCTTGCTCACCGGTTTTGCTTTGGCTTTGGAAACGGCGATGCGCTGGTCAATGGCCTGGTTCAGAAAATCCTGCGGCGAAGTCTGTAGCAGGCTATTGACCATCTTGTCCTTCTGCTGGTCCTTCCGGATCTGTAAATCCTTTTTGGCTTTCAAAGCAGACGCCGCTTTTTCAACTGTGCGCTTGTAGATCACTGTGGCTTTCGCTGTGAGCGACGTTTCCGACATGGTCTGAAGGTCAACCTCGTCTTCATCAACGTCTAAATCCAGTTCTTGCCAGAGGGATGACCGTGCTGATCTTGTTTGCAAACACTTGTCCACAAAAGTTGTCTTCTTGGTCAGCAAGCGTAGTTCTTCACGCTGCTGACGTGCGAGGATCAAGTCAAAACTTCGCATTTTCTCCAGAAACGCTCTGTAGAGATGCTCTCTGCAAGCTCTCAGTGTGGAGCCCTCAGGAAAGTTCACCGTCCACCCCAAGGACTCAGCGCTGGGACGCACCGAGTCCCAGAGAGGCGTCTCAAACGGGACAGGGAAGGGCTTGGAGCCATTCGGAATACGTCCTTCAGCTAGAGCTTTGAGATCGCCATCTAGTTTGCTGATTCTGGCATTAGTCTTCTGGAGCTGCTGGATCTTTGCGGCCAACTCTAGAGAGCTCTTCTTGATGCACTTGATAGCGTCTGGGGGCAGAAAGCCCTTCAGCTCCTCCTCCACCAACCGTTTGATCTCCGTGATCTTCACTTCTTCAGCTTGCCTCTCTGAGGGCAACAGTCCGGGTGGATCAGACACATTCGGCTCAAACTCACGTGAGCGGGAACGAGTACGCGGTGTAGTTCCTGCCCGGTTCAAGGCAGCTTGCCCCTCAGGGAGTTGCGAAACCGGGTGCAGCTGCCTGCCACGTTGGCTGGCACTGAGCTCACCGTCACCGTTTGCACCGACCATGGCGTCGAAGGATTAAAGTACAACAAACAGGGTTCGTTTGGGCGACAACCAGGTTCAAGGCGCAAAAAAGGGGGCCAAAGCAGGCCCGGGGCAGCACCTTTCTGCGCTCCTAGAACTCTGCAACTCTAGGATGTAGCCTCGCTTTGCTGAGCGCCTTGCGCAGGAAAAGCTGCATCAGTCGTATCTTCGATTTTCGAGAAAAGACTGTTGCAACACAGCAACAACAACAACAACAACAACAACAACAACAACAACAACAACAACAACAACAACAACAACAACAACAACAACAACAACAACAACAACAACAACAACAACAACAACAACAACAACAACAACAACAACAACAACAACAACAACAACAACAACAACAACAACAACAACAACAACAACAACAACAACAACAACAACAACAACAACAACAACAACAACAACAACAACAACAACAACAACAACAACAACAACAACAACAACAACAACAACAACAACAACAACAACAACAACAACAACAACAACAACAACAACAACAACAACAAACAACAACAACAACAACAACAACAACAACAACAACAACAACAACAACAACAACAACAACAACAACAACAACAACAACAACAACAACAACAACAACAACAACAACAACAACAACAACAACAACAACAACAACAACAACAACAACAACAACAACAACAACAACAACAACAACAACAACAACAACAACAACAACAACAACAACAACAACAACAACAACAACAACAACAACAACAACAACAACAACAACAACAACAACAACAGCAACAGCAACAGCAACAGCAACAGCAGCAGCAGCAGCAGCAGCAGCAGCAGCAGCCGCAGCAGCAGCAGCAGCAGCAGCAGCAGCAGCAGCAGCAACAACAACAACAACAACCATGTCTTCACATGTCTTCACAGGGAACACAAGACATTGCACGTTCATCTTACTTGTTTCGGTCTGCTTTTTGGGTGCTTTGCTTTCAAAAAAAGGGCTGGCAGCTGCCCCTTCGATCTTTTGACAGTGGTGTTTGGGCAATTGCTGCTTTGCCCGCCAGACCCGACTCCCAAATTCAGCCCCTTCACCCCGCGGAATGGATCACAGATTCAGCTGAGATGTTAGAGTTCTATGGTGGGTGTCTCGAAAGTCGGAACCCCAAAATGGTGGTGTGTCCTTTGGTGTCCTTTTTGTTGCGCAGGAGTTCCCCCTGCAAAAAAGACAGCGATATGATATGGAGAATCAGCATGTTAGCAAGGAGGGCCTTTTTAAGAGGTTGGGTTTCGTCTTGCACGACCATCCTCTCCACTTCCATGATTGGAAACAGGGAGACTACATGACACTCCCATGATCATATGAAAAACATGGTTGACAAACAGCCCTTAAGCGCCTTCATGTGTTTCAACATTGGCGGAAAATGGACGAGACTTCCTCACCACCAACGCGGCGAGCTGTTCGAGCCATGGGCTTCCGCTCCAGGAGCTTCGAGCGCGAAAGCCGTCATCCAAGAAGTCCACGGCACCTGGCTCAGTCCGTTTGGTGGGGGTTGGGTTTTTGGGAACGTGTTAGAAGGGATGTGGACCCCCCGCCCAATGGTGTATCTGTTTCTTGAGATGTGTTGATTTTTAGGGAGCCTCCCCCCTCCCCCAGAAAAAGAAGTGTGGGTTCATGTTTGCCGTGATTTGCACCAGAGTGGAGGGGTGGGTCTCCAGTCGTGAACTCGAACATCTGATCCTTTTCTGGACAGAGCGGATCCCTCGATCTCCGAAAAGAGGATAAGTTGATTTTTAGGTGTTCGCAAGTTTAAAACAACATAATTAGTGGGGTTCTCCCTGAAAAAAGTGGTTGCCCGAAAAGTGGTTCCAGATTTCTTTGGGCGGCATGGGACTCGAACTTGTCAACCAGAAAAAGGTCCGGCGGGACTGGCCCGTTTGGAAGGCTCTGTGATTGGAGCCCCATTCAGTTCGCGCATGGGAAGGAAATTAGCTTCCCTCTACTTGGTGGTTTGGATTGGTTTGGAGCTTAGAGGTGTTTTTTTCATCTACCATCAACAAAAAGCAGGGGTCAAACCGCAAACCACTGCTACCAACCACCAACGAGAAAAAACGCACCGAGATATAAGTTGTTCAGTGTGCCACACTCGGTACTTGAGACTCAGCGATGTCATGTTTTCTGCAGTTGAATGAAGGTCCCCTATAGAGTCCTGAGTACAGCATGATGATGTTTTTGGCTGAAAGCGGTTGACCCTTTGCAAGCCGTGCAAGCCAGCCGAAGTATTCCCAGAATGCAAAGTAAGGCGTACAGGAGAGGAATGAAGCTACCGTGAACATCAGTCACCATGAGGTTCCCTTGCTATCCTGACAACAGCGGGTCTGAAAAGGATGCTCTGCTGATGCGAGAAGTGACGGGCTGGTTGAGAAGGTTTGAATGTGCGTATGGCCCCCCTTTTGGTTGGTAGTGAAAGGGAAACCGAAAGTAAACCGTTACCATTTTCGGAAATGGTGGGTGTGTCTTGTTTTCAAGAGCGCCCATTGTTTTGTGGGTTTTAGGGAAACCCACCAAGAAGGCCCCCACTTTTTGGTGTCCCCAAAAACAAGACGGCACGAGTGCTTGGAGACGATCAAAGAGGACAAAGTGGCCAAGAGATTCAGATGGTTTCCAAGGCGAGACCAAGCTGCGGGTGTCAGAGCTGAAATTCGAGCTCATGAAGCAATTCATGGATTGCAAGAAGCATGACCGCCACCGCCGCTTCAACATCTTTGGGCTGCCGCCCCTGGCCAGCGTCCTGACCATGAACAAGAGCTACTTTTTCCAAGTGGCTGGCTGCTGGCCACAAACACCCGCCGCTGGACCTGAGGTTTATCCGTGACCCGACCCCCGCTGAGCACATTGCGGTCACGAATGCCTTTACAATGTGGGCTTGGGTGCATGAGTTGCTGGCTGAGCCCCTTGCTGAAGACCCCCACATGGACGGATCCCCATCCGACATGCCAGGAGAAGGCCCAGTACCTCCGCCCTGGCTTGAAACATGTCGCCCTTCGGATGCTCGTGTGGCGTCGGAAGAAGACGTCGCGGGCAAAAAGGGATCAGACATAAAACGTCAATTTAATGAAATGAATCTGTTTTATGTTCCCCTGGTTTTTTACTGGTTGGTCCTCTGTTTTGTTCCGAAGGATTTAAGCAATAGAGGAAAAGATTGCGGTGGTTTTGCCTTTGGGGCATGGCGGTTCCATGATGCCAGTTGGGTAAGAATGTTCACAAACATTTTGGTGGACATCGTCACGGGGATTGAGGTCTACCAACCATATTGGAGGAGTTTCAACCAGTAAGATTTGAGATCGGGTTGCCATGGGATCGAATTGTGTTTTTGCGGCACTGTGGTTTCCTTCTAGTTTGCAACATGCGGCAAACCTGGCTCAACCATTGCTTTGAGGGTTTCATAATTTGCTCAGATCTTGCGGGAATTCTGCACACCTACCCAGCTTTTGTCCTGCAATCACTTTCCATGCGCCATTTGTTTACAGCAGCTGGACATCAATCCGTTGATGTCTACCAAAGATTCCCACGGATTCGCTGTGAGCAAGCCATTTTGAGCCTGAGCTCCCACCGATTTCGGCAAGCCCCAGCAACTTCGGCGAAGCCGTGTTGGAGACTCGGTCCCGTACAGCGGACAGAGCTGCTCTCAACATGCCAGTGCACAAAGTGTACCAAAAACAGACGAGCATGACAGTATGTGGCTGTAAGGCGAGTTTTTGGGCACCTTGTCAAGCCCTGATTGAGCAGTTGCAGCTGATTCGCGGGAATCTCGATTTGGACCTTGCTGTCTTGGAGCGAACGTTCCGTGACGGGGCAGGTCTTCCCTTTTCAGTCCTGGGAAGAGAAGAACCAAGTTTACTGGCACGCTCCCGGCTCGGTGGGGCCAAGTGGCTCAGAGCATGAATGGCACAAGTTTGTGTGGCAAACCAAAAGTTTTTGGATTTGTTGTTCTTCTGCGTTTTTTGGGGGCCCATCCACTTCAGCGGCTTAAATCGGTACGACTCCCCCCCGCTTTGGGGACCCCTCCGCCTCTTTCGCCAGGCTCGGTGGAGATCTGCGTGGGAGAAGCCCAGAGAGATCAGCTCTGGGATCCACGTGTCTTATTCCTCACTCCCTGAGTTCATGAACTTTAAACTTTTTGGGAAGACCATTCTAGTGGTAAACAAAAAGTTCGGACTTGTTTTGGGCCATCCACTCAGCCGGTGAGTTATTCCTTGGCTGCTATTGGGTTAAATCTTTAAACTGCAACTGTTTGGTTGAAGTAAAGTTGTGTCTCGCAAAGAGAACAGCAACCAAGTAGGGATCCAGTTGTCTTATTCTCAGGGACAAAAATAGGGCGAAAGCAATCTGCTTATCTCTGCTTATCCAACTCTTGGACATGTGGATCCAGTTGTATTGGGAAATAAGGTGTTCCTATTGGGGTAGTGGAATCCTTTTGATTCAAGTTTCTTATCAGGTTTTGGAAGTATGGCAAAAAATCGAACGCCTCGGGGGTGTTCCTTTTTGGGGAGCCGTCCAGTGGCCGCAGTCGACTTTGGCCAGCAATGAACCGGCACCCAGGGTGCAGCTGGGTGGGCCCCCACCAGCCAACCTTTCTGGATCACTTTTTTGTTTAAGTCTCAGACCCCCATGAACTACATTTCTTGGGTGCTGTTGCAATGTCTGGGCCTGACAACATATACATATACATATACATATATATATATATGATGTATGCATATTATTCTAGACAAGTCGAGGTTCATTCACAAAGCCTAAGGGATTCCACTTCGGTCGCCCCGGGGACCTCTCGGGCTCACCCCCGTTGGCTTCAAGGGCTGAAAAGGAGTGGGTGCCCAAACCCATTTGCCAGTTGAGTAGGTGTTGGTCTACTACCTGGCTTCATCTGCTGTCTGAAAAAAATAGAACTGGACAAATGCAGAGCCAAAAAATCAAGGGGTTTTGGGCAAAGCGACTTCCTTGCTCCAATGCCAGCACCCTTGGCTTCTGTTCGTCTGAGGCATCGATGCAGTGCGCCCCCTTCCGGAGGATCGGAGACGGCCGCTTTCTCTTCGGCCTGTGGGAATTTTGTGGTAAGAAAACCCCTGATTGAGAACCCCTCTGGGGTACAACAGGTATTAAAACAGGATCCCTAGGATCCCTATCGTATGTCATTCGGGGGTCCTGAGTCAGTGCGGCCAAAGAAGTCAAATTTGAAACTCAGGGGGCTCGCTCAAATTCGCAGGCGATTCATCGGTTGGTTGCTACTTGGGGTGGATCAATATTCCTGGGGTAGCGTTTCCCATTTGGGGAGAAATATCGCATTTTTTAGTGGGTGGTCATCCCATGTGCGGCACCTTTTGATCAGCCCCCCACTTTGGGCCCATGGTTAACATGTTTAGGGGCCCCTTAAGTTTATGAATCTCCTGTGGGACCGCTTTTGGACTTTATGGGAATGGCCAAGCAAGGAGAAGTTCGGAGCCGAGAAGTCCTTAGCCAAGATGCTCTCTTGGTTTGCGACCGCAGAAAAACAAAACGTTGCCCTTTTGTCCTTTTTTCCCATGGAAATCCACTGGGCATCTGAGCACCCATCACTCCCCGTTGCCCAATGACCACTGGTCCAAGCACTTTTCGGAGCCTTTCTTTCAGGGCCTTGTGGCTAACTGCGTGCAGTGTATCAATGTGAACTGAACCGGTACAGGTGGCAACGGGACTCCGAGCAAAGGCAAGACTTGGGTGTGGGTGAAAAATAAGCCGCACCAGGGGACAGCAGTTTCTCCTTTTTTCCATTTACCAGGGCAAGCCATTTTGGGTACCCGTTTTTGACCCACACCCACTTATGTCGACATGTTCTGTGGAGGCAGGTAGGCCATTCCTCTCTGGCAAAAGTAAACCCCGACTCGAAGTCTTCTTGTTCTCCGTTCTCAACGTTTGGGGATTTGCGCAAAGATGCCTTCCAAAGAGAAAAGGCGAGAAGGCCCCACACCCCAGGAAAGGCACTTAGACGCTTATAATGCATGTTGAAAGTGATCTGATCGAATGGTTGTTTTGCAAGCCTTTTCGAGGGAGGTTACAGATACGGGTGTCTCTATATGGGGGACAAGCCAGAAATGCGGCATGTGGTCAATTCGGTTTCTCTTGAACAGCCATGGTCCCGATGTCTTCCCTAAACCACGGGCATTTCCCGAAGCTGTATATTGTAGACAGCTTCAGGAAATGCATATTCCCTTCTACAAAAGGTACCCTCAACCAAAAGACACGGTCATTTGTGTTTTACTTTACGCAACAAACCACCACCGTGCCAGGGGCACGTCCCTTTGACATAGTCTGGATCGTAGTAGTGTTCTGCGTCTTACGCAACTTGAATCCCATCCTTTTGTTTTTAAAGTAGTCTAAGTCGACCGTGCGGGTCTTGCATGCCTCCATCGGCACGCTTGCCTCACATCTTGCAGTCACTCAGCGGGCCGTGTGCCCGAAGGGTTCGAAGGTGAGCCATGGCCCTTTGCAGCTCAAGCCGTTCTGCTGCCACCCTGAAACGGAAAGTAAGATGATAGCCGCACTCCAGTCGCATGCGTATTGTTCCATTGCCAACCCCCAAGTAGGCGACCCAAAGGAGAAGACCGAGCGACAACCGTCAAATGTTCTGCAGGGTCATCTTTAATGGGACACACCTATGCTTTAGCCAAACATTCAAACTTAGCTATAGATGAAAGCATATATCCTTATGCTCACCCATTGTGGCCCTTCAGGTCACAGTTCAACTGTTGTCCAATGTTTTTGAAATATCCTTTCCCAGACCCCCAAGTGAATGTTGTTTTTCGAGGGAACCCTTGGTCAGTCAGGCTAGGCCCTACTTGGTGGTTTGGAGATTTGAAGCCCTGGTTCTTGCAGAGGGTACATGGGAACCACCTCATTTCACCACCAAACCGTCTCCAAAAGTTTTTCTAAGGAAGCTGAGGCTGGAACCCTCAAAATGCTGCACCCCCTTTGCAATGGATGGGGGCTTGTCTTTACCCTTTCTGGGATGGTTGAAAGGAAGCTGATAAAGGGATCCCACTGAATGCATGTTGAGGGTTTCCCTGGGGCGTGTGTTTATTCTCAAGATGGATGTGGGCCTGTCTTTAGGGTATCCTGGGAGTAAAAAATGCCAGACTGGGGGACATGAATGTCACTGTCAGTTTTCCCTTCCCAAAAACACCCAAGGATGGGAACCCTTAAAAAAAAAAAAATGGCGCCGTTTTTTGGACAGAGACGCTTCTGGTTTTTCGGCCGAAGGGAAGGCCGCGGCCGCTTTCGGCGTTCGGCGTTCAGCTTGTCGGTCCGAAGGCCCGCAGCCCGGACCGGGCCCGGCGGCGCCAGAGCCACCTGCCGGAGGCCGGCGACCGCGACCCGCGCAAGCGCCGGCGAGCCAACGGCGGGCGGAATGGAGGGACTCACAAAGCCGGGGGGACGTGTTTTTGTGTTTTCCTCGATTTTTTCGAGTTTTGCGTTCAAAAACCGCCTGGTGTCGTTGATGTTTGTCTGGCTTGGTGTGATTTGGGTTTGTGTTATGTTGTTTGGATCTTGTTTCATGTATTGGTGTTGGTGTTTTTTGTGCCCGAGTGTCGTCCTTTTGTTGTCTTTCCTGTTTCGAGTTTGCCTTGGAACCCCTGGTGTTGTTGATGTTGGTCTGATTTGGTTTGTTTGGTGTTGGTTTGGATTGGTTTGATTTTGGTGCTGGTTTGCTTTGGTTTGGTTTTGGCTTGTTTGGTGTTTGTGTTGGTTTGCTTTGGTTTGTTGTGTGTGTTGCTTGGTTTGGTGTTGGTTTGTTTGCTGATTATGCTGTTTGTGTGTTTGTGTCTTAGGGTTTTGTTCATGTTGTTGTTGCTGTTGTTTTCTGACGGGACGTACGCAAGGGCCTCGGGTATGTGTCGAAATTGGGCACCTGCAAGCCTGAAACGTTTTGTTTCATGTAGGTGTTTCTTTTCAGAGTGGACGTTTTTTTGCACAGTCACAAGTCAGCCATATATTTTGCTGGAATGAGGAGTGGTCAGCCACGCTACCTGCATCCTCATCTTCAAGCTGAAGACCTCTTGCGGGCAAGAACTGCAGCGTGGGTTTTCGTGGCGCCTGATTGCGGCCGCGCATTGCTTCTTCCCGCTAAACCAGGGGCGGGTTCTGAGCGGTGGCTGTAGCATGCCATGCCACCGGGGTTTGGGGGGATCACCAAGGTACTCACAGTCCAGTGCCCCGGGGCCACGTGGGCGCGTGGCAAGTCCCCGACGGGCTGGAGAATCTGAGTTCTCGCTCAGCGTGCGATGGGGACAGTGCAATGTGGATCTTGAAGTACAGTCAGCAGCATATGTTCATACATGCATGTCTCGGGGTCGCTCTCTCTCTCTCTCGGACGCAGAGCGACTCCGCGCAATGCTCAGAAGCATGCAAAACGAAGCAATCGCACTTCAAAGGAAATCACGCTGTACATCGACTTCCTTCAAAACATGAGTATCGCCGTGGACGCCAAAAGAAAGAAGTGCCTCGGGAACAACATCCAGCTCAGCCTCGACCTGCAAAGCGCCTCGGGGTCACTAGAGACCTCCGAAGCATCGTTCGGTTTGAAGGCTTTTTTTCGGGGGATAACCCTTGCGGTGGCCACCCAAGAGATGTGTTGCTTTGAAGCGTGGATGCGTCGTTGCGTCGCAAACCGTACATCACTATTGGAGAGGGGGGACCAAGTAGACTGATATGATTTGTCTACTCTGTTGTTTAGGGGCTCTCTCCATTTACGCATGCGCCCAAAACAAAAGCCTTGACGGGCTTGACTGATTTGTTCCTCACTTCCAACGAAGCTCTTGCAAGACCCATTTGGTCAGATTTGAAGCACTGTTGGTTCGCGCTTCCCATATCTTCTTTGTTAAGTTTCCCAACAAGGGGCACCTGAAGAAATTGGTTTTCAGGGTGTGAATCATGTGCCAAATCCCCAGTCGTTAAATGGTGTTTGCTTCTTATTCAGGCATTCTACGTTTGACCCGCTTGAAATATGTCCACAAAACGGACACTGAAAAACCGGTCTCTGAACTAGGGCAGTTTTGGAGAAGTCACTTGCTACTTCAAACCTTCTTCTTTCAACCAGCTTTAAACCAGCTTTACACTACTCAAACCAGCTACCTTCTTCTTCCAACCAGCTTTTTCAGCTACTTCAAAGCTCCATTCCACCAGCTTCAAGCCACTTCACCAGGTCCCATCTCCCGGCTGGCGCCAGGCGAAAAGCAAGGAGGCGCCCTTCGCGCCGGACATGGCCAGTTTGTTCGTGGGCAAAGAGGAGAAGGAGAAGGACACCGATCGGACTAAAGATATCAAGAGGCTCAGTTCTCCCCCAAAAAGGGTTCTCGGGTTCTCTCTTTTTTTCCAGGGTTGCTGAACAACTGAGGAAAACCATCTTCCAGGTACCCTCCCACAGTTGCTATGTTTGTTGAAGGGAAGGTACATGTCGAAGAAAAGGTTCGGGTTTGTTCTTGGATCTAACGGCGGTGTTCCTTTGAAACTCCACCTATGCTTTGGATTTGTCGATTGTAGGGGGAGTCCTTGATTAACATGGTCCGGGTGAATGCGGGGTTAGCATTATATAAAGCTTGCTGCAAAACGTGAACCCATGGTCGTAGAACCAAACGATGGCTGAAACGGGCGCCTGGGCCATCCTATGCAGGCTTCGTGGCATATCCCACACGGGGAATGGAGGCACAACTGCAAACCATGGGCTCCGTAATACTTGGGAAGAGGAGCAACCAAGGCTTTGGATGTTCAACCAATTCAATAAGCAGGCTGTTACCATGGTTATGAGTGGCAAGTAGAACCAAAGGAGATTGAGCATACTCCTAAACTCTCAAGCTAGAATTGGTTGGAAAATTGATAGGGTCCTTTGGCCCTTTCCACGGAGCCATTTCTACGAGGGGCTAAAGAATCACATCCATTCTCAGGATCAAGATGTGGTTTGTTTCTTTTTTAGCGTAATCCACAACTTCATTCTAACTACTTAGTCACTTAGTTCCCAGTTTCCACCCTTTCGCAGCCAAAAAACAAGGAAGGACCATAGTCAAGTCCAGCGAAAACCGACTCCACCCGCTTCGGCGCAGGAGGCGAAGCGACACGAGCGAGAGGTCCGGGAGCGCCAGGCGCCGGGAGCCACAGATCGACCCATCAGAAACCGCGCGAGCGGTTGCGCGACTCGCCTTGACTGCTGTTGGGTTAGATCTTTAGACTTTAACTTTTTTGGTTGAAATCAAGGTGCTTCCTACCAAACCCCCAATAAGTGAACAACTTTTTGCAGGGGGTCCTTGCAGCAACCAAGGTGCCCGGAATCGGCCGAGCAGTGAGTCCGTTGGGAGTTTGTTATTTGGCTCCTCCATGTGGCTTTATCTTTTTTTTAGGTGTGGAATTTCGCTGATGGCGGTTGTCCTTTGAGATTCCCTATGTTTAAGACACGCCCATGTCCCTGTTTGGAACCTCCAAAAGTGGCGATCCTTGTCGCGGAAGCCAGGAAAATCGACCATCTTGGGCTTGATGAGTTCCATGGAAACAGAAGGTCAGATTTTGGCCAAGAATGGTCCTTGAAAAAAGAATGTAGGAAGACTACCGGATTCCAAATGAAGTTCAGAAAGCAGTGCGAAAGGGTATATCAAAATAGTAATCCAACAAGGAATTGTTTGTTTGATTTCAATATCTGAATTTTGCAGGGTTGGGGGAGAGCTGGACTGATGCAAGGGGGCAATTTTTTGTTTCTAGGGGGTTGCAATGGCTTCAAATTGGTTTTATTGGGAGGGTCCAGCCCAGCCACACGAGATATTCCCTTCTGACTTGATGTGTCAAAGTCCCCGCTGCATTGCAACTCTTTAGGCCCTTTACATGTCAGGCATCTCTCGTCTCAGGTCCCCTGGTGAGGCAGGGCTGTGGGACCTTCGCGCGTCTCGTTTGGGTCGAGAACCCACAAGCTCATAGCATGGGACGACAGGTTTTGGTCCATGGCTCCGCTTTCCAGGGTTCCGTTTGGGGGTTAGCCTATTGAAGCACAGGCATGTGGCTGTGGGGTAAAGGGCATCCTAGGGTATCGCTTGCCACGCGAGATTACTGCGGTTTGTGATGGTCTTATGTTGGTTTTGGTGTATTGGATTTCATTGGCACCCTATTGGTTTCTTGTGACAAAATTGTTTGGCATACATAGATGAACAAGTATGCAGCATCTCTGGTTGCCCTTGGATCTCGATAGCTTTTGCGATGTGTGACCTGCAAACCGTGTCCGAGTGCCTGACGGATTAACGGGAAATGTCCTATTTAGGATGCAAACTGCAAACAAGCAAGCAAGCACGAGCAAACAAGTAAGCAAAAAAGTAGACAAGCAAGCAAGAAAGCAAGCAGACGATGCAAGCAAACAAACAGACAGACAAGCAGTCAGGCAAACACAAACAAGCAAGCAAATGAACAAGGAACAAAAAAGGATGCCGGATGCAGGATGAAAACAAACAAGCAGACGAGCAAGCAAGCGGGCAGGATGCATGAGTCGATGCCCGATGTCAAATACTCCATCCGTCCAAGCACTCTTGCCAGGGTGCGATTTCCCTGTTTGAAGGAGGAAATCCAATTGGACAGAAGACCAGACATTGCAAGCAGAGGATTTCTCCAATTTGTGTAAATTCCCTGGGTCCCAACTTGGGGCCCTAGCTGGTCCTATTGACACATATGATGGGGAGAAGGAACGTTCCTATTGCGAGAAGCCCTCCCAAAACACTCCTTGAAAAGCTCGATTTGGGCGTGTCTGTTTTTT